GTACTTTTATGTACGTCATGCTAATTCTAGTGCAAGGAAGTATGTCAACATGGGCATAACTTTAATTTTATAATTGGAGGCACGTAAACACTATATGTTAATTTTGTTCACATGGATGGAAAAAAAAGTCCTCCGTCCTTAATCAATACATGCCTTCATATGTATGCATACACACACACACTTACAGACACACACGCACATATCCTTCTAACTGGGTGGGACTTTGAAGGCCATAGTTTTTCACCGAACCATCGCCTCCCCAATTAATTTTATTCCTATCAAACGCTTTCTTTCGATTGGGAAGCACTCCGTATCTGGTTAAATGTATCTACATCTCTGCAAAAGTCTCGAACGCACTCAAACGGATGGCTTTGAAAAAATGTGTTACACGGATTTCGCTCGAAAGATACATTTTCCGCTGTATTGTCTTTTGTTGCGGGGCGCTCCGTGATTTGCAAGCTTCGGGCTTGTTTGCTCTTTCATCGGGCCTCGGATGGCTTTATTTTTTCATTTCTTTATTGGCCAGGCGAATGGAGATTTTTTACTCAAGCGTTTCCATGTATCGAACGATGACGAGAAGTACTCAAAACTTTTTAGTACACAAAATGCCAAAACAGGCGAGTTAGCACCAAAATATCTACTTATACAACACCACTTTTGAACACAGCCAACCGAGGTAAACAAACACATGCAAACTCGGGCTCCATATGAGGCGCATGCGCCCCAAAATCCCTGCTGAAAATCTGCCCAGCAACAAGACTATCGATAAAAGACGGTTTCAACTGTTAACAAAATCAATATCTACCGCTTTTTGATAAGGAACCAAAATATAAGCTTATATTGTTCTGTATACAATCTCTTTTATTTAAACAACTTGCATTTCTTTTAAAAGCATTTTAAACACTTCTTATCAATATGGCTCAACATTTTGTATACATTTTTAGTTATTTATTTGTGATACTTTTGCAGTTGGGGGCTGATAGCTTGACCTTTCCTGGAATATTTCTTGCCATGGACTCCTCCTTTATACTTTTCAGTAAGTCCTTCTCACGAGCATTGCAGCCTTTTTCCTTGGCAAAAATGTTGAGAGCTAGTTTTGCAGCCTTTCCTCTTTTGCCAGTTCCTGGGGTGAGCTTCACTTTGAATCTATAAAAATAAATTATGGTTTTGTTAAAAAAAGGTTTTATAAATATCAGTACGACTAATAATCAATTTAAATTTAAAATAGATTTTTTAAAAGTTTAAAGGACTACATAAAAATATATAAACATAATATTAAGCTACTTTCAAGCATTAAAAAAATTAAAGTGATTGATTTTAACTTACTTGTAGTTCTGCAAGGCTTGGTAGGGAGCCACTACAGGAATTGCAAAGAGCAACTCATCTCCCTCGTGTGGCTGCCCAGTCAGACTGTTGAGTATATCCACATCACCGCCGACGGGCACTTCATCAGCATCCTCCAATTCCACTGGGTTTTTGGGAGCTGCGCTTTTATCTGGTTTCACATACTGTTTAATGACCTCACTCTTCTCCACCACTTTTTCAGCAGCTGCCTGGGGCTTTTCCTTGCCCGAAGACTTGAGAATCATCATACGAATTTCACGCTCCTCATCATCTTGATCCTTGTATTTTTGTTTCATTTTCTTCAGTTTACCCTTCTGACCTCTCTTAACCTGCGATGGATTTTTGGGCTCAGTGCTTACAGGAGCGACTTCCTGTTTGGCAGCTTCCTGTTTCGCAGCTCGGGCTTTGTCTTCTTTAGTCTTTTTAGCACTAACTTGCTTCTTTCGGCTTGGACCAGCCAAAATAATGGTCGTTTCCTCATCCACAGCTTTAGTTGGAAGTTTTTCGTCTACCTCTTCTATCTCTGCAGTCGCTTCGTTCTCTGGATTTAAAGAGTCGGATCTGACTGTTATGCGGCCAGTATCGTGTTCAATCTTTACTTCCGTATTGGGAAAACCAGTAATCTCAGTATTAGAACTATGCTCCTCGACATTTGTAGTGGGATTTGTATCAGTATCTTCACCGTCGGACAAAAGATCGTGCTCAACTTCAGTTTCTTTAACATTTGGATCTATCTGATCATCATCCAAGCTTCTAACTTTACGTTCGCCCAAATGACGCTCTATAAAACTGTCCTCCAACTTAAAAAGTAAACTTAGACCCATGGTCAAGTGGCAGGATGGCAGGAAGTTCTTCTTTCCTCTGATCATGAAGCTACCAGTTGCCAAGTATTCTCCAGTAGGTGCGGTTTTACTGACTTGGTCGCTTGTCACCCAGTAGGAATTTGTTACCACCTTGGCATCCCAAGCCACACTGTACGATATAGCCATAGATCCAGCTTCGAGCAACGTTTTAGGAGGTATATCCTCTCCTGTGGGATTCTGTATGATAACACTCGAGGCACCTTGAATCTCAGCGTGCACATAAATGTCTTTTGGACGCATGTATCTGAAATATACATTTTTGGTTATAACAAAGTAAACAATATAATGATTTCAAAATCCTAACCTTTTAACAATAAGCTCGTTCTGCTGCGCATCTCTGCCTCCAATAACCAAATAATTCTCAGAGCTTATAAACCAGTAAAACTTTTCAAACCAGAATACTTTACGGGCCTTTACTATGTTGGAAATAGTCCTTACTTCCTTAAGCGTTTGTTGGGTCTTGCGCTCAGCAGATTTAAGCGCTTTTGGGAAGCATCCACCGTTTTCTTTTCCTTTTGAGCAGCTGAACGTTTCTTATCGTAGTATCGACGGGCGTTGGCCCAGGCAGATAGCGCTAAATCCACATCCACAACGGTCACCTCCGGAGTCTTAAGATCCTCGTCTTCGTTATTATCATAAGGATCACTGAGCATAAGCGATATATGGTTCGTTTCCAGCTTTAACTGCTTTATGGAACTAGCTACAGCATCGCCATTTGCTTGGGCCTCCTTAACCAGCTCATGAATATCCGGCCAGGACAATTGACTGGCGATAGCCGACTGAACTGCCCGGATTGCGTTATCCACCAGGCTTTGATTGGACGTAATAAGCTCTGCCTTCTTTCTGTCCACATTCTGAACTTTGGTCAACTCCTCCAGACGCTTGGCGTGGTCATTTTTAACATTGGACAGCTTTTTCAGAGCTTCACGCTCCTGATGCAGCGTTTTCATGTCAATCTTCTGCGATTCTTGAGTTGAATAAAATTCATCGACGGCATCCATAAAGGACTCGAACGTGGCCTTTTCAAAGTTTTGAAATTGAACAAATAGGTAGGGGTGGAATTCGATGTTTCTAAAGAAAAATTCCACTTTTCCATTCTCCACCGGTTTCTCCTCTTTCACTTGAATAATGTATCCTTTGGTTTTTCCACTGTTTCCCTCGATTATAAGATCTTGGCGCACTAAAAGATATAATATAATGGTAGTACTATTACAAAGATTAATAATGTAATTCAGATACTGACCTTCACAGCCTGTTTAAGAATTGGCAGGTCTTTAACCATATCGAATGGCTTTGTTCCAGTTTAGCACTCTGTTGCTTTTTACGCTGCTTCTTACCACCTTTATCTGGCTTTTCCTCCGCCTCAGGAGTGTCCTCGGCTTCTTCTTTTTTGATTACGTGATTATCCAAGCCGTGTGACAGAAGGACGTGCTCTATAACTGCCGGACCACAGTCTAAATGGCCGTTAGGATCTGGCGCAAGTAATCGCCGTTTTTGGCATTTTCCAGCAGTTTTTCCAGGGCCTCCGGCTGCAATTCCTCGGTGGCCTGTTTGGCCCGTTCCACGGGGTATTTCTCGCGCATGGCGAAGCGCAGATTCTCGCCCTCCGTGTGGGGACGCAGGATATACAGCGTGGTCAACTCGTAGTCTGTCAGAATCACATTACCGCGATCGTAGAGCTCCAAAATAACATGATAGGCGGCATCGCCGGTACCGAACTGAAAGTCCACGATACGATCGCCACCCAGTTGTTGGATCTTCTCCAGGCGCTTGTTCTTCAAGTGCTTCCTCAGCTTCATACTAAAGCCAGATGGGGCCATATTCTTGGGCCATTCGAACCGGGTGGTATGGAACCGGGTGCCGGATTCTAACAGCAGGGTTACCTTCTCCACCGCTCCGGTCCCCTGCATCCGGAAGAGATAGGTCTTGTTATCCACGTCATAGATCTGATTCACTCGCCAGCCGACCAACCTGGAACATAAATATCACCTTGCCATTATCCCAATATCGTTATTATCGTAGTTACTACATACTTTTGCAGTTCGGCCACTCCGCAGATTATATCAAAAGTATTGAAACGTGTCTTCATGGTTCCAGATCGAAAGTTGACGATGTCAACACGGAAAACAAAGAAATTGAATCTATCTAACGCGCTAGCTTATCATTAAATATTAACAAACTTGCTATCTATGGTAGATAGGTAAAAAACCTTAAAGGAAACGGAATAATAACAATTTTATTCCTGGCGAAATTAAATATCGGTGTAAATAGTGATGGACGAACTTCAAATAAAATGTATCGATGATATGCGGAAGTGTTGAGGATGATTGGGATTATAAATAAGTAATTTGGGTGAATATATTTACCAAACTAAATAACTATTTCACTTATTAAAATCTATATTAATCTTAATTGTGTTAGCTTATTTTAATAGTATATATATATTCCATTCCATTTCGTTCCAAGTGGATTATCGAAATCGTAGTTAATCGGAACATCTGACTGCTGTGCCATCTCCAATCCTCATTTGTAAATATGAGTACGGATGGACCTGTTGTTAATGTGCACGTGCTGTTTTTTGCCAAAGCTCGGGAATTAGCCAATAGCTCCCGATTGAATGTGGATGTACCCACCGAAATCGTTGCATCCGATCTGCTGGACCAGCTGGTGTCCAGATTTGGCCTGACCACCATCCGGGATAACCTGATTTTGGCCCACAACGAGTCGTATATTAATAACCTGAGTGATAGCATTCTGTTCAAGGAAGGAGACGAACTGGCCATCATACCTCCCCTCAGTGGAGGCTAACTCATTCGCCATGGATCACGTTAAACTCGTTAATAACCCCATTGACATCGCCCATATCCATCAATTGCTGGCTGATGAAGGCTGCGGAGCTTCATCGGTTTTTGTGGGCACAACGCGCGACAATTTTCAGGGCAAAAAGGTGGGTTTGCTATCTCAATCAATTAGATTCATTTGACTCATTTATACTTTATGACCTTCCAGGTGGTGTCATTGGCGTACGAGGCCTACGATAACATGGCCCTTAAGGAAATGAAAAAAATATGCTCTGATCTTCGATCAAAATGGCCTGAGCTGAAGCACATTGTTATATATCACCGATTAGGAACAGTGCCCGTTTGCGAGGCCAGTGTAGTTATAGCCGCCTCATCGCCACACCGATCAGAGGCCTTAGAATCAGTATCGTTTGCAATAGACCAGCTCAAGACCCGGGTTCCCATCTGGAAAAAGGAAATTTACGAGGGCGACCACGACAGTGAGTGGAAGGAGAACAAGGAGTCAATCAGGCCCAGTAAGATCTTATGAATAACCACCATGACATGTATTCTTTTTATTTGTACACTTTTAAATACAATTAACAATCGAGCAATAACAATTTCTATCGCTTCTCTTCTGTGCATGTACATTGCAGAGAAATCTCTAAGTGCCTTTAACTACGCAGCGTGTCCCTGCAAAGTGGAGGAGTCACATGACGTTCCACGAACTCTGGTGCAAATTAGAGTTAATGACGCCGAGTTAGCCAAGCGTTTAGAATGTTTTGTCAACAGAAAACGAGCCGAGATCAACTCGCAAAATGTAATTGACTTCAAGTCGTCTTTTGCTGACTCAGAGAATGACTTGAGTGATTCCTGCGCTCGTACACAGAGCACAATTATAAAGCAGGAGCAGTCGAATTGTCATTTAAAAGGTGGGTACTACTTCTATAACTATCACTTCATTATATAAACAACTTCAAACAGTCCGACGGGTAAACAATCGCTGTGGTCCCCAACAAATGGAGTTGCGGCCTAACTACGAGCTTGAACTGAATAAACTAATGGGATCGCGTGACGGCCAAAGCGACCCATCCAAAGAAATGAGAAAATCGCTGCCCAATTCGCGTCTACAGGCAATTGAATCATACATGGGCTTAAGTACCGATAACGAGGAAAACATTTTCACGAGAATAAAAAAGGTGGAAAATAGAATGCTGCAGCTGGAGTCCATTTCACCAGAGTATAGACACTTTGTAGGTTCTCAACATATTTCCATTTCTCTGTTAGCTCTATAAATATTCAATGTATTTCCAGACAAATCTGGAGCCGCAATCTATGGAACCCCCGCTGCCCAAAAAGATCAGAAAGAAATCATACTCTGCCCACGAACTAAGTGTGTTCATTCAAAAGATGAAGGATGGCAGGGAAATGAACGAATAATAAATCCATATTTGCACATAAAATAAACATTACCATAATAATTTTTCCTTGGTTTATAAATGAAGTAATTTATTTCAACATTCCAACTATTTGTAATAGTTATTTTAAATGCGTAAATGATGAGAGTGAAAAAATTCAAAAATTTTTGTTTACAACTAAGGAATATGAATAAGCGTGGCTGATTTGTTTCTGTTAATCGGTCGTCAAGCTTCATAGATTACGCCCGAAAATCTAATGGTTATTCGTTAACCAAAGGAGCAGCTTACTAATTATGTAATACGTGAAATTGTTAAACCTTATTGTTGTTGTTGTATTCAGTTCCTAGCACAGAGTGGGGAATTGAACTTCATCGTCGACCTTCAGGGGCTTCTGAGCGGAGCGGCGTTTCTCCCCGAATCTGTTGTTTTCCTGTCTGTTTTCAAAACCGTTGCTGGGTCCGTTGTTAAAGCGCGGTCCACGGAAACCCTCTCCGCGAGGACCGTCGTTGCGGAAGCCACCCTCCCCACGAGGTCCCTCGTTGCGGTAGCCACCCTCTGCACGAGGTCCGTCGTTGCGGTAGCCACCTTCTCCGCGAGGTCCTTCGTTGCGGGTTCCCTCTCCGCGAGGTCCATCGTTGCGATAGCCACCCTCTCCACGAGGTCCATCGTTGCGATAGCCACCCTCTCCACGAGGTCCATCGTTGCGGAACCCGCCCTCACCGCGGAATCCTTCACCACGGGGACCGGCTCCTGGACGGGGTCCCTTTCGGAAGCCGCCCTTGCGTCCATCATTAAAATTGAACTGGATGTCCACGATGCGCTGAAGACGACCCACTCTCTGGGGATACAGCGAGGGATCGTACTCCAGCTCGTCCTCGCTATTGCTCTCCTTCTTCTTGCTCAACACCACCATCTTCTTCCATTCCGCGTTGTCAACAGCTCCCTCACCAGCCTTGCGCAAGTTATAGTTGGGCTTGGCACGCTGATCCCGCAGGGCCTTCCACTCGTCAAGGGTCATCTGCTTGGACTCATCTTCCTCAGCGGCGATCGCGGGATCAGCCGACTGCTCGTTGGCAGAGTCCTCTTTGTCCGCCTGCGGAGACGACTCGCCGGTGGTCTTCAGGTCCTCGATGTCCTGCTTCGGGGACCCCCAGTTGTGGGCACCGCCGCCTTCGCGTTTGTCAATTGACTTGACGCCTGCAAGAAATAAATTGTTAGTCAATACGTGGTCTAAAGAAAATGCAATTAAAGGATTACAAATATAAAAGGCACGTTATTTTTAACCTAGAAATAACAGAAAGCGTTTTACCAGGGGACTCGTTGGCATGTACTACAATTTTTTATAGAAAATTCACAAGTAAAAAATAAATATTGATTAGAAATCTTTTTCTTACAACTTAGTCACTGATTTAAAGTATTTAAAAATAATTGTTATTTAAGATGTGTCTACAAAAACACACCTCGCTGCTTTAATATTAGACCATAAAAAAGTAATGGTTATAAATATTTACAAACACGTTTTGGGCGGCTCTAGTGCGAACTGAATTGATAAACGCATTTACGAAAATTTCAGCCCCATAGGCTCGAAAATCACGTGAGAAATGTGTGCTGTAGTAGGCGATATGTAATCTTGTTGCCAAGGGTTCTGTTTTCTCTATATACTTTGCAGCATGCCGCCATTGCAGGTTAGCGTTTTCCCCTCATGAGAAAATCGAGAATTTTCGATTCTTTAGCCGACTTGAATTGTAAACACGAGAACAAAGAACAATTTCTTGGTATAATTACCGGTTTTATCGGATCCCGACTGGCGATCGAACTCGCGCTTTCCGAACTTCTCGCCGGCACGGGCGCGTGGTGGTCCCCTGTTATCACGATTGCTGAACTGACGCTGGGGCAGCTCGTTTCCGAACTCCCCGGTTGATTCCTTGTTTCCGTATCGCTGGTTGTTGTTGCTGTTGTTGTTATTGAAGCGGCCCTGGTTGTTGCCTCCATTGGTTGTGGGGTTCCTGGTACGACCCAATCCCCGCCAGACGGCACCAGCTTGCCACCACCCTTCACCGGACTCGCGTTCTTTGCCGCCGGATTGGTAGCGTTGGCCTTGCGGGCCGACACCACCGGCTTGTTCTCCTTCTCCGGCTTGCTCTTGGGGGCCTTGGGGGCTTGGGGCTCTGGTTTCTTGGCAGGCGCCACTACGGCGGGAATCTGTGGCTGGGCAGGCGCGGAGGAGTCATCGTCGTCCATGAACAACAGCTCATAGCGGTTCTTGGCAGAATTGTCCATGTTGTAAAATGTCTACGAATTACAAATGAACCAGATTTGGGGATTACTTTGGCTTTCGGTGGCAACGATTGCTTATCAACTTATTGGCACATGGCCGGCCGAGTGCTCAGTCGGTGAGTTAGTCGGTTAAAATTGCGAAAACGCGGAGCAAATTACGCACCTCGCCGGAAACGAAAGTGAAGGGAGAAACATCGATGATCGATGGTCCCACGGACGCATCGATGGTTTTCCTGCCAATCGATTGTTGCTCTGGACTATCGATGGTGGCCGGTGCGATAGATACCATTTTTTATTATTATTTAATTTTTAATAGAAAAACTTACTTTAAATAGAAAAATACAAAAGGATGTTATAGCTTGAGTACTGCAATTCATGTTTAATAACCAATATATACCAGAAATAAAATTATGAAGTCAAATACAGCCTCACTAAACACCGCAAGATATAGGGACAAAAATGATCGATATAACTTTCGCAATAAATTCATTTCAAAAAACGTTTTCATGTTTATTTAAAGTATTTTTTAAACAGTGCACTCTATTCCTTGTGCTTTTTAATTTTTAAGTTGGTAACTGGTTTTCGTATATTGTTAAATTATAGGAAATAAAATAATGAAAATTATTTTTCTGGCAGAAATAATTAGATTAATAATTAAGTTATGAGACTTATTCATCTACATGTAATACGTTGGGATACCAGAATCACAAATAGTAAATAAAAAACCCAAAAATAGTACCGAACTATCGGTATATTTGAATAAAAAATAGGTATACATCGATTTATCGATGGCGCCCCGAGGTTTCTTCCAGCTCTAGCAGTCCACCCCATCACCAAACGTAGAATAACTTTCGGCCCGTAGAGACAAATGTGACATTTGTTTCTTTGATGCGTTGCCATCGAAATTCTCTGTCCTCTTCGGCCTGATGCAAGTAACAAATTCAAGTAAAGGCAAATTCTCCTTGTAATCGAGAGCGAGTCTCCATCGTGAATTGTGGCCATTGCGTACCGAACCGCGTGAGACGAGAGCGACGAGAGCCAGCGAAATTGGTTGCGAAGAAGGAAGAGGAGAGGGATCTCGAGCACCCAGGAAAATCTCCATCCACCACCTCCACGTCCACGGGCCCCCAGTATTCGCAAGTGGTAACAGGGCCGCGTTTGCGTTTCGCCGGTGAGTCCAAAATAAGATAATGCACTCTATACATATCTGTACCCTTATCTATAAGATATTCATAAGGCTAATTCTAAGTGCGTGTGCTCGGGCTCAAGCTGGTTCCTCCAATTCCTCATGTGAACGCGGGACATGCAAAAACAAAAAATCAATACCGCTCGCCTGCTATATGCAGTTTCTTCTTTTTTTTGGAGCTCGGGGTTTTACGGCTTTCTGCATGGATTTTTCCTTGACCTCTTCAATTGCGCGAAACTACCTTTAGCAGCAATATAAATATTTCACCCCCAAAATGGTTGGGCAAAAACAAACAACTAATTGCTTTAAAAACATGGTAAAAATGTCGTGATGTCATTTCCTGACATGCTTTTTTGCTAGCCCTTTTTTGGATTTTAGTCGCATAGAAAACGAGTATGTTATAATAATCGGGTCAGGCAATGGGGCTCCATTTGGTTTTATGCATATGTCGGCTCTCTGTTTCTATCAGTTTTTCAGGGGTTGGTTCTACCCTTGCTTATAGATAACGTTTGGCCCAAATGTAATTTTTACACCCTCAAGAGGTGATTTCCTGTAGCAGTATTATATCCATAAAAGTGAAACAAGTGATTTTTGCGTTATACTCTTTTTTGAGTAAAAAAGTGAAAGAGGTCTTGAATTCTTAAGCAGTGAAACAACGATATATGCAGATATGATGGATATATTCCGTCCTCTCAGCAAAAAAAAGTTCCGCAAAATTAATTTGATAGGAGTTGTCGCAGTGCTTGCACTTTGAATTCTCTTCTGATAATCTGCATGTCTGAGCGTAAACACTTTTTAAGGATTATTCTGAAATTTTACGAAACTGTAATATTTGGAACTCTTTTCTTATCCGGGTGTTAAACTAAATTAGGTTTTAGGCTATAAATTTCAATGTGATTTTTGGGCTTAGAGCCGATTTTTAGTTAACCATGCGAAAGAGGAAAGAGGCCTTGAAAGAATTCCATCCACACTTTTTATAAAGTCCATACTTAAAAACTGTGGTATGTACTTAACACCTTTGCAACGATTTGTATTTCACTGCGACTTAAAAAAGTGGATTACAACTAACCAACTTTTACAGTTGGCATAACTATAGTATATTAAGGTAGTCAATTTATTTTCGTAATGGAATTTAAAAATGTATATTTGAAAAATATACAATTTTCTTTTAATTTACATAAGGCTTGTTATTTATGAGCTTAAATCGATATAGTCGATTTCAGTTTTTTCAAAGTGGAATCAAAACACAAATTAATTAAATTGCTACCTAAAACATCTAATGTTTTTTATCAAGTCAAAATGATCCCAATTTTGATTGCTCTCAGCATAGAAATCAAATCCATTGATTTATATTTACGAAGCGTTTAAATGCTATTTTAAAAGTTTTAAAAAACTTGTTTTTGTACAACAAGCTGAAGATAAAATCAAAAATTCGTTGATTTTGGAAGTGGGCTAGGAATGTGAACACTCTTCTATTCCTTAAAGGTTAATACCCTTGGATAGTATTGGATAAAAGGAAATACATTTCGTTTCTTTGAGTCTCTTTTTCAATGAGCTCTTCAAAAGTTACGTTTAGAATATTCTTTTTAAAACCAAAAATCTTGAAATTTCCGAACTCATATATGATATGGGTATCGCAATTGTGCCCCCTCATGGTCTGCCGAGTGCTAATAAATGGCCCACACTCCAGCTATGTGAATATACAATGCATCAATTAAATCCAATGCTTTTCATAACCATGTTACAGACTTGACTTCTTTGTGTTTCAATATATTCCACTTTAGATTTAGTGCTCTATCGCTAGATCATAACATAGCTGCATGCAATTTTATATTATTTTATTGTCCAAATAATGTATTAAAATTGCTGTGGCGGTTGAAATGTTCGTCTTGAATTTCATGGCTTTTTGATTCCTGTGAAGACATTATTAGAAATCCCATTGCTCCCTAATGGACAAATTTAAAACTGCTGTTTCCCATTACTTTAAGAAATGTAGTATTTAATAACTGTTTTTAGATTTCTAAGAAAAGACTGATTAGCTTAAGAGTAATTTTTGGTTATTACATGTATAAATTTTACATAAAATCATTTTTTCCTTCAATTTTATAGCAACGCAAAATCTGAAATCAAAACCAAAATCAAATTTGTACCGGTTGGTAAAAATAAATATTACTCCTGCGAGCCACATGCACATTAATTGATGTTCAACGGTATCACAAACACAAGATGAATACCAAAAACATGCAAAACGATCCCATGGATGGGACAAAATTTCTTGAGATCTTGTCAACAATATCATTGGGAGAAATATTACAATTTGAGTTCCGCAATAACCCATCAAAAAAATGGCAGTTATTGATAACCGCCACAGACGGAAAGTACGTTTGTAATATTTGCCATGTTGTCCAATTCGGTGACAAGAATTTGTTTAGCCACCTTTGTGGTAAAAAACATAACGCAGTAATGGTATCTGAACAACAATTACAAATAAGAGCTAGGACCGCTGGTGCTCCACAGAAAGCGGTTTCAGAACCCGTTAAAAAAGCACCGCCAAACCCCAATAATAACCAAAACAGCTTGTCCCCCGTTGTTAAAAATCCCGTGGCTCCCAACAAAAATGTTCAAAATAGCAATAACACTAATACTGCGGTCAAGCCGACAGCTGGAAGTCCAGCTGTAAAAGCTCAACCCATTCAAAAGAAATTTCCAGCTCCTGGCGTGAACGCTCAAAAAGTTGCTAGCCCTAATTCCGGTATAAATTCACCCATTAAAAAGAATATTCCAGCCAATAACCAAACACTTCAAAAAAATATTCAAGGCAATAATACACCCACTCAAAAGAATACTTCAGGAAATAATATTCCCGTTCCAAAAAATACTTCAGGAAATAAGACACCCGTTCAAAAAAATACTTCAGGAAATAATACACCCATTCAAAAAAACACTGCAGTAAATAATACAACCATTCAAAAGAAAATTATAGGGAATACTCCACCTACTCCAAGGAATATCCCGGTTATTGGTACGAACACACAGAAAAAACCCAACCAAAACGCGGGAAATAATCAAGTAAAGAAACCTGTTGCTAATGTGGCGAACACACCAAACTCTGGGGTCAAGAAGGGACTACAGTCAATTACACCTGGCACAGCGGTTAATTCGAACATTTCAAAGAACACAGACGGTCCTGGGCCCAAGACTACTGAAGGCAATACTAATTCTCAGCCCAAACCTATGAATAAACCTGGTCAAAATGCACAGCCCCCATCAAAAATTCAGACCCAACCACAATCCCCAGCTCAAACAAAGCCACAGCCGATCAAAACTGTGCAGAATGCTAAACCGAAGACAGCGAATCCAGATATTGTCAAGAATCCGCTGGCCACAAAAATTACTTGTGTACCGCTGGCCAAGCTAATCAGCTCAAATCCTGAGCCGCCCGATGAAGAGGCCGATGTCATAATTGTTGAAGACAAACCAAAAGAGGTTCCAAAAAGGCCGGAAGCTCAGAAAAATGCAGTCCCAGTTCAAGCTACAAAACCAATTAGTTCGATCCCCGTTCAAACAACAAAGCCGAATACTTCGATACCCAATCAAGCAACGAAACCGAATACTTCGAATGTAGTCAAAAATCCAACCAGAAGTGTTGTGCCCCCTGTTCGGCAAAATATAAGTAAGGCAATAGCACCTTCTTACGCTGCTCCAAAGGATTATGCACCAGCTAGGTACACTGGTGGCACATTTGAATCCAGGCGACAAAATGATGTAATGGGTCTCGTTGGGGTTGAGTACGTTTTGAAAATAGTAAGGAACCTGGCCGATAGGCATCCGAGATACCAATGTTGTTTATGTGAGATCACTTCTGATGAGCAATCGATGCACAACCATTGTTGGGCTACAACCACCGTCTAAAGTATTTTGACAAGCATTTCCCGACTGCAATGCGTCAGTACCGTCAGTATGTTGCCCAGGTGCCGGAGGGCGAAGTCTGCAAAATAATGATGCCCATTTTTGATAAGCTTGCAATGGCCATTGAAACCCATCACGGTCGAAAAACTTCCCACCTGTGCTATGAACATGAATACAATAAGGATCGCCAAGCTTGTTTCTCTGAGGTGTATAATAGAAAGCATTCATCAGAAAAGATGGGGCCGTCGTTCACCCATGTCGTTGACGCCAAAGAGGTTGACGAATTAATTGAAAATGCTAGGAACAATATACAGCCCTTGATGAACATGGAAAATCCGAATCCGTATTACATTCCACCATACGGATCTCAGGCTCCGCCTAATTATGTCCGCTACAATAATGCGCCGCCAAAGAATACAGCCCAGCCTGTTGATGACGAAACGCACAAACGTATGGTTGAGAACTTCCTCAGGGACACCAGAAAAACTTCGGGCGATGTCCAGAAACCCCGAAACCCAAAACGAAACCGTTCAAGGTCCAATTCGCCGGTTCAGAGGAAGAGAGTCACCCAGAAAAGGCATTGGAATGTGGAGCGCAGGTCAGTGTCTCCCTTGCGCGATGGGGACATTTGGCAGGCATACCGCCACATGGTGGATCTCAAGGTGCGTGATCTAAACGTGAACTTTGACACATACAAATCTGACCCTGAACTGCATCCGAACTATCAGACAGAGTGGCAAATGTTTTGGAAGCGCCGCAAGGATGAACTTACACAGGCTGGTATCAATCATCGTTCTTATAACTTCCAGAACGAATGGATTCATTTCTTTAATGCGCGTATCGAAGAATTGTACAATCAAGAAATTGAAAATATCAAAATAAAATGCCGCGAAAGGCTGTGTTTGCCAATGACCAATAACGAACTAGCCAACGAAAAGTATCACGTTCATTTGCCCCAAACTACCGAGTCCGAAATGAGTAATCCCGAATCTAACAAAAGTCCTGAGAAAATGCCCACGGAAGTGGATCCTCCTATTGTGGAGCCACCGAATGTAATTCACGTCCTTCGTCTTTTAACTGCTTTGGAGAACTACCTTGGAAGTTTGGGTCCTTTCATTACAGAAATGCTTGTAAAAGCCTTGCAAACCCAGAAGATTTATCCAGAAAAAGTCCACTCTTTAATTTTGACAGCTGAAAACTGTGCCATTTTGGAAACAGTAAAAGAAAAGTTTACAGGTCTCCTGATCTCCCAAATTTATGATCCCGCTAAGGAACGGGCTTTGAAGAAAGCGATTAATGACACCGAACTTTTGCTTCAAGAAGCCAGTAAACATAACATTCCCAATAATACCGCTCAGCGGATTGAGAAACCAGATTTGCCGATTGCTAACAAGAATCCATATAGCCCCGACAAGCCATTGGATAAAACTGAGCTTGCGGCCAAGCTGGCTTCTTCTTAATGTCCCAAGGCAAAACCTCGATTAACCGCGAAGAACTTCAGAAAATACTTCAAGTATATAACATGATTGAGCAGAAGAAACGACAGGACATACCCTCTACCAGTTCGGTAAATTCTGTGCCCAGCGCATCCAATAACTTGATCCCGAACACAAATAACAATGGTAACTTGTTGACACAACCCTCGACTAGAAATTTAAACTTTGCGAACAATGCAAACAACTCTAACAACGCGACCAGTATGTATACTGGTCAAAACTACTCCGGAAATGTGGCTCGCTTTAACAACCAACAAAACACTAACACACCTAACACCTTAACATCAAGCGCGTATCCGACTGATCGTGGATTTGGCGGATCTGGCGGATACCAAAGCGGTCAATTTGGCACTGGAGTACCGGCATTAATCCAAGCAGCGTTTTGCGAAACGATTTAACTACGTCGTCGCTGTTCAACTTCAACACCAATTTGAACCCATCTTACAACCTTAACCGGAGGAACACTAATTTTTAATAGATAGCATATAAATGAATTAGAATTATACACGAAATTTACATGGAATCCTTATTAATGTAACCACATAATTTTCAAATCAGCTACATTCATTGAAATTTGTACAACATTTGAGCAATGTAATGTAAATAAATCGATTTTATAATTGAAAAAAAGTTCTTCTTAATTATTATAATAAATGGTAGAAGTTAGTTTAGTTAAAATAAAGTATTCCCTTGATTAATAACAACAATTTCGTTTTTTTTTTTTAGCTTTATAGTAACATATAGACAATTTTTCATGCACAAAACAGGTTTTTTTTTTGGAATTCTTTGTACTGCACTTAAAATATACTTTTATAAAAATCAAATAAACTTTCGTTTGTGTTATTGGCCAAAATATAAATATAACAGTTAAGAATTTTTCCGTGTTGTGCTGACTGTCTTGAAACCAGATACCACATTTTTGTAAATCATACATCCAGTTAATGGAAAAAATGATACGGAAGAACTGTGTGACTGGCGATTCGGTCTATTAGATTATAGAAGTAGATCAGTAAGCAAATACATACAGCGCATGGACCATCTCTTAGAATTTATTCCGAACATCAGGAGGTAGCAATACCAGCAGCGTACATCAGGAGGAAAATCCTAACTTGGAGGAGGAAAATGTACTGTAAGGATACTTTAAATATTTATCTACATGGAAATTTATGGACAACATTGAGACTGATGGCTGCCCTCATTTAAGGTACATAGAAGCTAGACACCTTCCTCCCCTATTTAATACCATAATGGCTATCATGTTCTACGCTGGAAAATTATCTTCGAATTGCTGAAAAACTTTCTGTTTTTAGCTTACTGCGAATTTGTTTCGATCTTTAATATGCACTTTTAGATCAATCTTCCTTAAAAACCGCAAAATCCTTTGCGGTGGAGTACTCTACGTTGCAAAAGGTACGCATTAAATAAAAGTTACTACATAACATTATACACATATTCAAAGCATTTTTTTTATGGAAAAAAGTAATTGACACTTAATTATGTTTTACTTTTTATTGCGGTTACCGTGATGTATTTAAACAAATTCAAAAACCTGTGTAAATAATGCAAAAGTCTTGGTGAAGGTTATCACTTTGCTGTGAATTCGTCTTTCTACTTCCGGAGGAATTATTACCTTATCAAATGGATTTACCAACTGATTTCAACAGGATCCAAAGTGAAAATGTTGAATCTGTTGTTTCATAAGCAAACGGATCAATTTATCAAAATCTCGCCGATAAAAATGTTGCTTTTTGTTGATTTTGTAGATATTGCTATTATCTCCATTTGTATGCGATATCAACCGAACCCGTTGACTTTTATCAGAATGGTATGACTGACAATATCCGAAGCTGCGGTGTGTCAGTCGACCCTGAGGCATATTCTTTTTTGTTCCAACAATAACAATCATTTAATAATTTTAAACCAGTTAAGCCATAGCCTTGATCAACAAAAAGATTTCCCTTCTATAAGTGTTACATGAATGTTTTCTTATTTTTTTATTTCTACCATTTCAGGAGTCGTTATGCCGTCTTCATTGTGTGAAGCACTCACAAATTCTTCGTAAGTTGTAAACTTTCTCTATTTTTTATTTATGTAACGTAATGATGATTCTGTACATTTTGTATTTTACAAATAAATATTTAATTAACAAATTCTAAAAAACTTTTTTTTTTTTTTTTGTAGAATCAATTTTGATTATCAAAAAGAAGATGATTGGATAACGAGTGGAAAGCTGGGTTCGCGCGAAGCAGTTTTGGTTTTTAGAACGAATATTCTTAATCCGAAAATACGCAAGACATTATCTGAGAAGTCCTCTGCACAAGCGTTATCGGAAACAAAGGATAATGTAGAAGAACCCGTTCCATGCCAAAAGAAATCGGAGCAAAAAGAACCCACTTCTTCAGAAACAAGTAGCAAGGAAGCTCTAAGCGGTTCGACGCAGCAAAAGATTTATTTATTGAAAACCCCGCAACAATGTGATAAATCGGATAAATTAACTTTTTCTAGCCCTTTTAAGAAGATACTTAACCGATATTCCTCGAGTGATACGTCCATTTCTAGTGAAGGTGAAGAACCGGCACATAGTAGAGAATGCAAATCGCGTGTACTTAAGACCAGTCAGAATACCATTAATATTAAATTAGCTGCAGATTTATCGAAGGAAAGTGGATACGAGTCTACAGCACCTGCCAAATCAATTTCAAATACTGAAGTAAGCGAAGAAGATCCGGAGGTGACAAGTGAAGACGACGACGAATATGGTGTTAACATGCCTGCCTTTAAACTCAAAATTACCTATAAATTCCATCAAACGGAAACCAAGTTGCTAAGAAAGCTATTCAATGTCCACGGCCTTACTGAAATTCAGGGTGAAAGTAATAATTTCAATTTACTTTGGACTGGTGTTCATATGAAATTAGATATTGTGAGAAATTTGGCGCCGTATCAGAGAGTTAATCATTTCCCAAGGTAACTATAATCCATATACATGGTTATTAAAATGTTAAATTGATTTTTGTACCATAGATCCTATGAGATGACCCGCAAGGACAGACTATATAAGAACATTGAACGCATGCAACATCTTCGGGGAATGAAACATTTCGATATTGTGCCACAAACATTTGTCCTGCCAATAGAATCCCGAGATTTAAGTATAGCCCATAACAAGCATCGCGGACCATGGATAGTAAAGCCTGCGGCATCCAGCCGGGGTAGAGGAATATTTATTGTGAATCGGTAATTTTAAAAACAATTCTTAATATCATTAATAATATTATTTAAATGTCTTTATTTTAGCCAGATCAAATACCCCAAGATGAGCAGGCCGTAGTCTCAAAGTACATAGTGGATCCGCTGTGCATTGATGGTCACAAATGTGATTTAGGGTATACGTCCTAGTGACGTCCTTCGATCCCCTTATTATTTATCTATTCGAAGAGGGCATCGTGAGGTTGGCCACAGTCAAATACGATAGACATGCGGATAACCTGTGGAACCCATGCATGCACCTCTGCAATTACAGCATTAATAAGTACCATTCTGATTACATAAGGAGCTCCGATGCTCAGGATGAGGATGTAGGCCATAAGTGGACGTTGTCCGCTCTTTTAAGGCACCTGAAACTCCAGAGTTGTGATACACGGCAACTAATGCTGAATATAGAAGATTTAATTATTAAGGCTGTGCTAGCCTGTGCTCAATCCATTATTTCGGCCTGCAGAATGTTCGTTCCCAACGGAAACAACTGCTTTGAACTGTATGGATTCGATATATTAATCGACAATGCACTGAAGCCATGGCTGCTGGAAGTCAATCTATCGCCGTCAATGGGTGTGGATAGTCCTTTGGATACAAAGGTTAAGTCATGCCTGATGGCTGACCTGTTGACGTGCGTGGGTATCCCAGCCTATAGTCCAGAAATGAGATCTCACTATGACCAAAAATGGTCACGATTCCGCAGTTCAAGCTGCCAAAGGCAGGCAACCCTGCCCAGCGTCTCACAAAAGACTAAAAAAACGAAGAAAAAGGGTGCCCCCATTAATCTTAATTTAACCGGCGAAGAGCAGCGCATATTGCGCAATGCACGCCTACAGTATTCTCGTCGTGGTGGATTCGTACGCATCTTTCCTACGGATGACTCAATGCAGCGGTATGGTAACTTCCTTGATTCTGCTAATGGCATTCCAATTTCCACGCCGACTGTACAGAGTCAGACATTCCAAACGCCGATTGTGCAGCACAACTACAACCAGATGCTTCACCAAAATTTATACTGCAAGGATGGCCGGCAGAAGCTTGACGATAATTCGGAAGCTGAGCGTATTTGGCAATACGAAAGAGCCTTGGAGACCGATTCGGAAATTCCGTTTGTCAAAAAGCCCACGGTGGAGAAGTGCGAGGAGGAGGGCAGGAGGTTGCGGAAGGTGATGCTTAAGAAAATTTCCAATGGATCAGAATTGACTCCGTTTCAAGCCCGACAAACTTTTAGTATTTATTTGGAATCGGTTCTACGGCGCCTAACCGAAGATCCGAAGGACAATCATGAGAAAATAATTCTCAAGTTTTTAAACAAATTCGGTGGGTCTGTAAAACCGCCTGTAATTTTCCGGAACATGCAAACCATTAAGGTGGCCAGCAAGGCCCGGTCGGCAATGGTGGCGAAGCTACTGGGCGATTTCTGGAGAATTACAAAAGGGACACGGAGGCCTATGTGGACTCGTTCGATCACTTTGGAATGATACCATCCAGTGCCTACAATCAGTTTCTAATGCACGCCCAAGAGTCAGATTGGAGGCAGTGCTGACACTTCACACCAATGTAACCGGGATCATGCCCTTCCTCTACAACCGATGTGGACTGTCAGTGCCACCTACGCCCCCGATTCCGTCGGGCCTGCACGGGTTCCTGAGAGCCCTCCCCTCCATGGTGAACCCCTCCGGCATGGCCAGGGAACTCAGCAAGTACGATGGTTATTTCAAGAGCTACGACAAGAGAAGATATTTCTATGAAGTCCGAAATCGCTGGGAGATCTTAAACTAAATAGCTAATTTGTCAAGCTTTTGTCCAGTCATCCTACTGTAGTAAGTCTAATTATTTTTGTATTCAAATTTTCGCATTAAGGCAGAGGCTTAAGCAAATAAATATTTATCGATAAACAACGATTACTCAAATGTAATTTTTGAAACGCTTTATTAAAAACGAGATAGCTTTTATATATTTAAAAAAGGTCAAATTTTTCTGCCCACACAACTCATAGCTTTAAAAATAAAATATACTTTCTACGCCAAAGATATATGAAATCGATACTTCGAAAATAAATGTGAAATGCACAAAACTATACCATAATTGCATTTTGTTTTAAGGAATTTTTATTGTGGGGCTTGGCAGTTGATTTAGATGATATGCATAAAACTGCCAACAGGTGGCGATGAAAAGGATGATGTATAGTTGATAATTATAATTTGATTTTATTTTTGACTATCCTTAAGAGTTCTGAAGATTGTACGAACTAAAGTTAGCCTGCCAGGAAAGATCATTTATTTTGTAAAATTTATATACAATAAGGATTGACCATCACAATAAAGTTCTACAACAATTACATGTGGCAACGTTTTATAGGTAATATGGTAAGAATTTGGTTTGTGTTGTGTTATAGTATGGAGCATTGAATTTTTTTTATTTTTTCCACATATGGTGCCTACTAAAAATAAAATGGACTCACAAATATGGAAAAGCTTTTACAGGAACCCAACATGCTAAAGCTTTTGCTGGAGCTTTTTAGAGAATAACTTTCTGCCTGGTCATTTCGTTCCATTTCCTTTTTTGGCAGAAAAGTGAATTTATTGTTAAATTATTGCTAGGGCAAATAATATATTAATCCCTTGATTATAAGAGATACCATGACGCATTCGTCGTTTAATGAGTATACAGCTCATCCGTGTAAATAGATCCTGGAGACAAATGTTCGGTGAGCAAACAATTGGTATTGATTAATTCCGCGTCAATAAATAAAATATTTTTCGAACTTTTTGGCAGTGCTTATCACCAATCCACAAACACCCGCAGTACAAATATATGCAAATAAGTGAATACTTATGCCTTTGAACGAGTCCAAAGAAAGTAATAAAATTTTCAGAAACAAATCCAAACAATGACAGCTGATTCCAGTGCACGTAATGTTTTCCGAAAGAATGGCGTTGCCGGCTTGGGCAACAACGGTCATGGTCGAAATCTTATTACGACCGCGAATCCCTCCGGCGGAAGTAGCGCCTCCCTACTCCAAAACAGTTGTCCTTCAAAACGCCCGTTGGTTCCAAACAAATTGGGAAATCCGATGAAATCGAAATGATTGACAGTGCAAACATCGAAAATTCAATACCCGATATAATAAGGTAAGACATTCCTAAGTCTAGATAACTTTAACAACTTTTTATGATCATTATAACTATAACTGCAACACTGCGTATGAGCGATTTTTATGGCCTAAATAAGTTAAAATAACAATATATTTAAAAAATTTCACTCGCAGAACAGCATTATAGGATGGATATGCTGTGCTCCCTGCATTTGGCTGCGAACATCAGCAGCAGTGCACAAAATGGCCATCACATCAGCAACTTTACTGGTCACCACACTGCTGGTAGCATCGCCCATTTTGTTCTTGATAAGCACGGCTCCCTCACCTCTGCCCAGAGATTGTTATATGGATGGAGATCGGTGTTCGCCCGCCGTCTCAACACCTCCAGAATGCTCGGATCCCATTTGCGGGGCAGTGGCTTCCAGCATTCAGGCCAGGCTAAATTGGAAAAGGACCCATGCACAGAGTTTAAGAAGTTTAGTTGTTGGCGCAACACGCGGAATAAAAATATACAAATCTTATAGAGATGGGAAACTCCCAGAAAAGCGTCGATTCACAAATGCTGTGTAAGATTTTTCAGCCCTTTATTTCTTTCTTTAAAAATCACTTTCTGTACAGATCTTTTCCAGAACAAGATTATGAACGGTAGCTTAATATATTGCACAATTTGTTCGAAAGCTGCTTGCAGCAGACAACTAACTCAACTATATGCACAAGATATTCGATTCCTTAGGAGGATATCTACCTGTTGGTTCAGTGGGACCGTCGAGCATCGCACCTTTGATAGCTAAAATATATGATCTTGGTCCAAGCCCATTAGTAGACTTATATTATGATCTTAGCTACGGAAGAAGGCCGCACATTCTTCTCATTATTAGTGGACCTAGTACATCCTCAACTATTCTTGAGGTATATCTAATACTTAATTATAACATACAAATAATAAAAGATTTTTTAGCGTAAAATACGTTGGATGAGCCCCAAAGCACCGCCCAGTCGTATTCGACAAGGGGTACCAAAACTGTTAGCCGATTTAATCGAAAATTTTCTACCCTATTTTGTGTCATATGCTCAAAGAGTTTCTGAGAAGGATACTATTTTTGAATTCATTAAGGACCTAAACAAGGTTAGTTAATTATTAAACCTTAACAGAGTTTTATAACGGGACCATCATTTCAGCTTCAAGTCGAGCACTCTCGCCGTGGATTCTGGGATAGTACTGTTTTATATAATGTATCTAGTCTACAAGACTTGTATCCAGTTGTAAGTTTTTAAAAATATCTAATCTAATCTGATTAAACAATTATATTTTTTCAGCTAAATTGGACATTGTTAATCCCACAGAATTGGAGCGGACCCATCGTTGTCAGGAATAGTGATTATCTTAAAGCTTAGAATATTTTCTTACAAATACCCGACTAGAGTTGCACATAACTCACTGCTATTGCTAAGCGCTTTAGAAATATTGCCAAGGGATTATCCAAGCCCTGAGGTATGCACCAGATCTACAATGTGGGCTCTACCCGAGCTGTCATCATCCTTATACATTGCTCAACACTCTCGGAAGATTTAAAGGACACCACAAAACGAGTAATTATAATCTAATACGCCAATCCGAAATTTATTTTTCAAATTATATTTAGGCGGAATAATTTTTAAATCACTGAAAGCACATTAAAGAGAGCACCTTCTTTAAAAGGAGCTGCCCTTGTTAAACTGTCGGCATTAAAGATCCAGTCGCAAACCTGGGAAGGATTCTCAAACACAACGGACTTATTAAAGACTCTTCAATCTTTGGATATAACGGCAGAATGCTGGTTTCAAAACATTTTAGAGATTTACAAGAAGAACAAACTGGAACCAAACGATATAAGCATGAACGGAGGCTCGCATGATGCGTAAGTTTATAAAAATAAAAGGTATCCAATTTTTAACATATTATTTCTTTTAAAGTTGGGCTTACCCTATTGTGTCAACCATATTTTATGATACACTGAGCCATTCAATCGGTCTGTATATTTTAAAGTACAATAGCTCAATAATAACTATAATATTTCCGTAAATACTTGCAGTTGTCCCATTATCTGTCATACTCATACCGTATTTCAATGCTGTATTGCCTCCATATTTACATTAGCATCTGTTGGTGTTTCCATTGCCAAAGAGATTTTAAGATCTATCACAAAATCGTTTGACGAAAAGGCAATGCGTTGTGTACCACATTCTGTAAATATATTTTCGAACTATAGTCGAATGGATATTCTGATACATTCAGGAGGAATGCAGATCTCATACCACTCAATGCTTTCCCTAACCGGTCCTATTAAAGGAATGGCAAGACTACCTGGCCTGAATTTAACGCCGACACAAATCTTCTTTTTAGTTTCGGCTCAGGAACTATGTGCTGAATCGAACTACTTGGGTATCGATACAAATGCTCCCGAGTTTGATAACATGTGAGTTATACCAAAAACTGTTGTTTTTTATGTATTATTTAATGTAATATATTTTAGATTGGGTTGGCTCGTTGCCCAAGGTGGGAGTGCGACTGAAGTTTTCAAATGTCCATCGGGATCTATGATCAATATACAAAAAACCTGCAATGTGCTTTAAATATTATTTGAACGTCACCTTCGACTATTTACTTTGTCTAAGATCCAAACACAGTTTAAAATATTGTAGCTCTAGAGACTTACCTTTAGTATTGTTTTTTTATTTTAAATGAAAATGTATATTTTAAATAAATATACTGTTAATAAATTGTTGGTTTATATTTAAAGCTTCAGACTTTAATCTATATGGAATTATAAATGGTATATAAATATGTGATCAAGTTAGCCTGCTAGCTAGTTATCAAAATAAAAGGAATAATTACGAGTTTAATAAAATGGAAAAGCGAATATCTTCTATTTTAGCATGTGGAATTATAATTTATCTATTCGTTGCTTTAGCAACAAGTGAAATGCCCGATAATATGAATGCCATTCTCGTCAAATGTCCCAAAATACCTTAAACAAATCATGCGAGACGCAGTTAATTGTTAATATTCATATGAACCCAAGCTTTGATTTGGACAACTCGGAAAAGTTTTGGGTGGTCGATCAAGTTTACGATCCATCAAAAGGAACAATTTCAAAAATAATATCTCCCTATTTAATAGTGCTTAGCAGGGGCGAGCCCATTGTAATGTACCCCTTCAGTTCTAAAAGTTAGTACATTTAACAAAATTTTAAGTACAGCAAATTTATAATTTAATCTTAGTCAATAAATCATAATAAATTACCAAGAGGCCTTAAAGAAGGCATAGAGGTTTCGGATCTTGATGGTTCTGGATCGTGTACGACTAATGAAACACTTAAAAAATGAGATTGGAAATGCATCAAGATGTGAGTCACTATTTTGTATTTTTTGATTTATTGTTAATTACCCTTTATTTTAGTGAAAAGAAATAAGTTTACAGACTATACCAAAGGAGGATCAATTTTATCAAACTTTTTCGGTAAGGAAAAGCAAGATAAACCTCCACCATTTTGGCAAAGAGTACAAAATAAACGATCATATCAAAACGACATTTCAAGCCTCGGGCTTGTTCAAGTAATGGATACAACTGCTCAAAAAGGTGAATGTTTAGTTTCGATTTTTACGTTTTGTTAAAGTTGTGTAATTTTTCAGACCACCTAGAAGCTCCGACGGAGTTCTTCCACGTAAACAAAGATATAATAAATAACAATTTTTATGGACAGGGCAACACATTTAAGTCGCACCCAAAATATGATATAAAACCGAAATTGATGAACGACCGAGAAATAATCAAATTGAAAGCAAACCAAGAGATTATTTAAAAATATCAACACATTAGACGATAGTGATATTCGATTTTTAAATGAGGTACATTAAGCTATAAATACTTGGTTTTTTAAGATAAAATAATGGCACATTTCAGGAATTAAAAAATATAGAGCAACAGCATATTGAAGGCAACTTCATAAAAAGTACACAAAATTCGAAAAACCAGAGGATGAAACAGTTCCAGATTTCCTTTTGTAAGTTTTAAAATCTTAGTCAACAAAAATTAAAAATTTTTTTATTAGATATGATCGATTAGCGCAAGAACAAGAAGGAAACTGATTAATAAAAAATTTCGAACGAATATATGTTACCTAAAAAAAGTTCAAATGATTTTTCATATAGGAAGATTATAAAAATAATAATTATAATTCACCGAGTAATAGTTTTCCGATGTAAAGATCTTTCACATGAAGTAATAAAATAATATTCCGCCAAAAAAAATATGAACAAACAATTTTAAAACACCTGTTAAAAGTCAACCAAATAAATATTTTCCGTTAGAGACTGAAAATGAAAAATATTCATTAAAGTCCTCTAGTTCAGGTCTTTCCAGTGTAAATAAATTTTCGGAAAGTAAGAATCATATTTTAATTTTAAGCCTCTTTCGGATGTAAACGAATACCCCCATGAAAGGGAATATAATAAAAAATATTTTAAAGGGTCATCTCAAGATATATCTATTGACCATGATTTGCCACCGGACGCCAGAAAGAAACTCTATAATTTAAGGACCCCGGCCGATGGTGTTTCCAAAGAAATGATTTAACACACGAAATAAAAAATGAAAACAATTTTTTTAGTCTTTCCGATAACAATTATTTAAATTTTAAAGCGGATAAGTCTAATAATTATGACAATAGTCACCCATTGCAAATGATTCGGGAGTGACAAATATAATCTACATTTTAATGCCCCTATGAAGAGTCTGTAAGCAATAATGAATTTTCGCAAGAAAAAATTATGAATTTTCAAATTTACCTGTGGACGATATAAATGACTTTCATGGACCAACAAAACATTGGAGACGATAGTCTGGATTTTATAATAAACCACCACATGAAGCAAAAATTGCCAAGTGAGTTAAATTATGGGTTAATCATATTGTAATACAAAATTATACAATTTATATTTCAGATAACTTTGATTTCCAAAATAATTTTAACAGTCGAATGGATTTGAATTCAGATTATTTTATGCCAGATAGTCAAAAATATTCCGATTTTGGTTCAAAGCCATACAAAGCTATAAACCCATATTTAACTTACCCGAAGAACAATTTTTACAGATCGTTGCCCAATCCCGATCAAGAAATTTAAAAGAATGAAGCGAAGTAATCTAGAAGTTGAAGATATAGAAAAAGTGACGTTTCTCAATTGGATCAGAAGTACGGTACCGACCCAAAAGATGTAAACTCTCTAAACTTAAAAAACATCGAGGACAATGGTGAATTCCATGTGATACATGTGGAGGTAAAAATAAAAAGAAGGATGAAAAGCCTCGAACAAGATATTGTAGTGTTTCAGACGAATCTAAAAGTGCTGGAAGTAAAATTGAGGATATTGACTCTAAACTTAATGATGCCGTCCCTTGCGATACTTGTGGCGGTAAAAAAAAAAGCCTGATGGAAAACCTTGCCTGGTGGTCTACCACCTGAAGTCAATTCTATAAAAGCTGAAAATGAAGAACAAAGGCTTCCGGACTATATGATACCATGTGAAAGTTGCAAGAAAAGCAACAAATGTACTGAAGGAAATCTGGATTCTGCATCCTGTGGATGTATAACTAATCCAAGCGTGTGCAACTGTGAATCCTCTAAGTTATCAAGAGCTTTAAACGAAAGGTAATATTGGAAATAGTTTATTTCTGTTTTAGTTTTATTTTCTTTTTTAAACCAATTTACATGATTAGTGCAAAGGACTTGAGCTATTCTGTGTTTAATATGAAAAATCCAGTTCCGTTTTTAACCACAACGCTACGTGTTTTTAGAAGGCGCCATAACACTTGGTGGAGGGTTGTCCCAATAGTTACGTAAGTCAGGAAATTTCAACTGAATACACTACTTTTTTATTAATTTTTTCAGGCTTGATAGTGTATCAGGAATATTCGCCAACAAAGATCTATCAGCAGTTTTTAATTCGCATGTCGATTTGATTGGCTTGGAAAAATCAATTGGCTTTATGAATCGAAAACTTATAATTCCAAAATCAAATGATAATGGATATGCTAAAAAAAGGCATGCCAATACCTTAAAAGAATTGCGGAGTAACATTGGTAATAGTGTTTTAGTTGATACTTCGGGTAAGGACATATCAATTCGGGAAATAAAAAACATTATAAATTTAAACATGGAAAAGGCGGCAAAAAAAGGAGGTTTGTCAACTAGAAGCATTGATGGATTAGGATACCTTCCAGTTTCTATGAACGCATTAGAGAATTGTCCGCATAAAGACAAACATCTTTGCCTAAATATTCGGGAAGAAAAAGTACCAGGTGATAGTCATTTCTTAGTTTATTTTAAGAAATTTGTATGCTTAGACCTCTACATATTTTATTTAGAATTTAGCATAAAAGTCAAGATACCTTTTCGAGAAAATGCTCTTGTTATGCGAAATAGCACTTGGTTAAAATATCAAGAATTATAACCGACGCAACGACAAAGGATGCACTTCAAGTTACTATTGATGTAATCAACAAAGGATTTGAAGCGCAGGAATTTTCCGTATATGTCTGCAATTGTAAAGTTCAAGTAGTGCCTCATTAGCAACTAGTGCCAGGAGATTGTTACAACCGGATATCGGTCAAACCGTCACCTTTTTAATGCCCTATTAGTTAACTCGAGAAAAATAGAAAATTTAGTTGTGATGGTAAGTTTTTAAAACTTGTTCAGCATTTTGTATTTTTCAAATCATTTTCAGTGGTGGTTAAGGCCAACGTATTTAAAGATAACGAGGAATCGGATGCTGAGATACTAAACAAGATGACCAAAAGTAGGAGTGGTGGCAAAAAGATCCATGGACGTTAAATGCCACGCAAGGTGCTTTTGTGTTTGGCGATGTCGATGTCATTGCATCGGAAAGTTGGAAACTTTATCAACTATAATGCTTGTGAAAGAATGGATCCCAAGTCGGAAAAGAGGCTGGCCTTATTTACAATTGTCCACCTGGTAACGAACAAAATGATGTGTGCATCAAAGATATAATAAGTGAACGGAATGAAGAGATAATTTGTGATCTAACTTGTAAAATTATAGCCATTACATTGCTTGTTTTGACCTTACTATTTTTATTGGGTAAGAATAATACGATATAAAGATTTAGAAATTATCCCTTTTCCATAGGAGTTTTAAAGGCTATCCTAGGAATCTGTATTCAGAGCATTGGTCGCTGTGGATTTGACACAGTTCAACCGGGAAGGAATTATGAATGCACTTCCTCGATAAGGATATTTTTAGTTAACTGTTTCTTCTTCATAATATTTCCCTTTGCATGCTGGTGTAAGTTCTTCCGACCTAAGGATAAAGACCTAAGAGAAGCTAGCTACGATTGGGATTGTACCTCTGAATCTGGAGATAACCCGGATTGTTCTTGTGATGTAATATTACATAATGTTGTAAACCTGGCAAAATATTATTCTCCTTGTTTTTTAGAAAAAGGAGTCAAGTTCAAGTTGTCGGCTCCATGGTGGCCAAGATAAAACCCTACACAATAATTTAGTTCTCGCCTTTGCTCCACTCCATGAAAACGGATTATTAAAGATGAAAAATCAGATGACGAGCAGAGTCATTTGTTCATTCTAGAAGTTTTGGAGAAAGCAAGCACTCCTGACTAAAATGGTATATTCGATTCTAAGGCTTTAAATTATTTGTGGTATATAATATGGATTTTATTCCTTCCAGATGAGTCAAGTTCCAGATTCCGCCCACAATATTAGGCAAAGTATGGAAAGTGACGCCGATGCTATAGCAGCCGATGAGTTAGTGGAAAGTCTTAAAAACTCACAGGTTGCTTATAGGACAATGAATTCGCCAGTTGGCGGAGTAATCGACATCCCAGAAAACCACCCATATTGTATAAAAGGTTTCTTTTTACCAATTGCAAACTCGACCTATGAATTTATGAGCTATATTCCATATCTCAGTTTGTAGGAATCTCAGAAGAGGTATTTATCAATATTCTAAAATATTAAAATACTAAGTTTTAAAATATTTGCTTAGAATGAAGTTAGGAGACTGCCAAAGCCTCAATATATCCACTCAAATGAGTTCTCTAAGATATATGCTAATAAAATGGAGGTCCATAAAGCAGCTGACCTCTCAGTGGTTCCTCCATTAATGTGCCTTGCATTAACATCGACCACTGCACCCAATTGGAGAATTCGTTTGTAAAACTCGCAACGCAACAGGAACAATTAAAAGCTAATCAGTCTTAAGGAATTAATATTATAAATAATGTTTCTAAATATGTTCATAATTTATTTTGTTTTATTAAATTTTAATAGTTTACATTGATAACTGTATGCTAATTTATGGCAACGTTGTACTCTGAATGCTCATTATATGGAGTGGTTGATTTTAATTGACTATCCAGAATTTCATCAATGCCTGCTCTGATGTCTATTAATCCACTTCCGTCTGATACCTCATTCGAGGAATCACTTAATTTCTGTGACTCAGGTGAGATGGTAGTTTGGTTGCTTCCATTATCATAATATTTAATAAAGTACACTTCCGGTGGATTTGGACTTGGGCTGACTGTATCCACTGGCTGGTTTTGGCTTGGAGTTTCCGTATTTGTTTTCAGTGTAGCGGTAAGCTGTTGAGTTTCATCTACTAAAATATCGCCCGGATCTCTAAATTCGTACACCGATGTATTTTCAGATGCCTGACCCTGGTGCTCGTCCGGAGAATCGTGGAGATGTCCGCGATTGTCCACAGCTGAATATAAAGGGTTAATTTCCGCTACTTCTCGATTGGTATACAGCAGATTATTTCCATTGATATGTGAAGGCTGCGAGTCCACAGACGAATAATGGTTTGTTTCGGAATTTACATTGTAGGCGTTGGAGTCAGTTGGAGATACATAATTTACTATCGGCTTTGGAGTAGTATTGGGGACAAGATAATGGTAATGAATGTGTTGAACTGGTCGTGTGTTCTGTATTTGCATTGAAAACCAGAGGAATATGTTGAGTGACTGTTTATTTGGGAACCGAACTCTGTTCGCGTTACTGATAAGTTTTCATTGATTTTTGGCTCTACAGCAGCATTAATTTTAGGTATATCAGATGAAGCGTGGGGCAAGGGTATTCCTGATCAGCATTGGATGTACGCGTGATATCACCAACATAACTAGCTGGTGGAGCGGGGTTTTGAATAATTTCCTTGTTACTTATGCGGTTTACAATTCTTCCAATTGATTGAGCTTCAATTAGAGCATTTTTTACACCATCATCTGTTGAAATAAGAGTATTATCTTTTTTCACGACCGCACACTTTCCATGGAAACTCCCAAGTATAATAATATTAGACACAAGAAACACTCTTAACCCAACATTTTTTCAAAAGTGGGTAAATGTATATCACAAAAGACCATCAACAACTGTCTTTTATCCGCTGCGTATGAGACTTTATATGGAATCCGGATTACGTAAACACTTTCTGAATTGCTTGGGTAATATCCATGAATCCCAACTTTGGACTTAATCCAAGCAAGCCTAATTTATTTATTTTTTGGTGAAAGGCAATTCGAATGCAATTATGGTGTCAACGTTAATAGAGGCGTGATTTGCGTGGGCTCTTTAAAATTTTACGCTCTTTCGTTGATTGCTCTACGGAATTAATAAGTTCATAAAATCACCTGATAGTAAAATGCTGACTTCTGTGCTTTTCAAAATTTTAAGACTTCCCCCTGGAAGGGTATAAAAATAGGTGCTTTTGTTTGGGTTATGTAATGTTTAGTGAAAGTGTTGTTTATTTATTCGTAATTTTATCACAACTCAAGGAGCTCCGTTGGCCTCCGCTGGGGATATAAAATAATGTAAGAACACACCCCAAAACAAGCCAACAAATAATAGATTCTTTACTTAGCTCTTTATAAAGATTTTATTACTATAAAATGTATTACAACAAATATGTAAATGACAATAAAATGAGGAAAAAATACACTATTACACACATATATATGCTTGCGAATGTAGTTAAGCCTAGAACTCAGCCCCATTGTTGGCAGGGCATTATCGTGTTACTTAATATAAATGCAAAATCACTGTAAAAATTTCAAACTTAAAGTACTACTAAAAATAGTTTTATTACTTTTGTTATTATTCATATTTAGATTCGATTGATATATAAGACATATATGTTCTTGTGGTTTTATATTTTGTATATTTTCATGACCTATGAATGAGCTATGCAGAGACACTTTAATATCGGCTTTCGGCTTCCTAGCGAATGGGTTTAACAGGTGGTTTCTAAAAGTGGATCAGGCTTATAAGTACTTGTAAAGGGGTTTACATTATTAACAGTTGCGGAATCTTTGGGGACTCGTTTAAGGGAGACAAAGTCTTCAAGGCGACCTGTACTCTGCACAGCGGCATCTCTACTCACTTGAAGTTTATCTGTCCTGTGAGGGCCAACCAAATGAGTCTCATCCACGCCATCAGATGTCGGAATTTTGCTAACGTTACGATCGCTGAGAGACAGAGAAATGTTCTTCTCTAAAGGCGGTTCACGAATCTGCTCGGACAGTCGACGGATGTTGAGAGGAAGTTCCTCTTTTGATTGAGTTGGAATCGACAAAGAGCTATGTCTAGAATGCAATTTTTCTACTTGAAGCAATGATCTCGCTTGATCGTTTGGACAAAGCAAGTTACTATTATTTTGATATACAGATTTTCTAACATGGTTCGGCAATGGACTGGAGTCTCCTTGACTTTATCCGGTAAAAAACTAGCAGACTTGCTTTGAATGTTTCCTTTAAGATCGTTAGAAGGTTGGTCGAGGGACCAAATTTTATGCGATGTATTACGATATTGTGGAGAAAATGGAGCAAAAAGCAGACCTGGTTCATTTAAAAAGACTTGATCATCATCAAGCTCAGTTTTTGAATGCTTTAACGGCGGTTTTTCACATTTTGATTTCTCAGTTCTGGTCGAAATAAGTTTATTGTTTATGGAAGAAAGGGATTTTTCACGATAGATATTTTTCTTGGGAAGCCGCGAAACCTCGACAGTGATATCCGTTTGCCGTTTGACCCACGGATCGATGGTGTGATGCATGTTTAAATACTTTTCCGCTTTCGGTGACAAGCTGTTCTTAATGTGTGAATTCTTTATCCATGGATCCGAGGGATACACCAAGCAGCCCGTACTCCTATTGTTCGTATCGTAAAGAAAGTTTGCTTTATCTATCTCAATGTTGTTTGGGGAAGTTTGCTCCGATTTGCTAATTTTATGAGTAAGCTGGCGATAAAATTGATTGTCTGAATTACTGGAAAGCTGCCTCGTTTTTTGGGAGTCTAGTCGTGGTGATTTTGTGATTTCGCTTTCATCGGAAATTATGATGGCCTGTTGAAAACCACTTTTATGCAATGTCAGTCTCGGAGACAGGGCTCTTTTATCCTTTCCAATCGAACTTTTCAATTGCAAGCACCCCTGGGTTAAATTATCTAATGCGTTTTTCTCCGTCGTTATAGATAGTTTAGGGTCTTTGAATTTGCTAACGGTAGCCAGCTTGCTGCCAGTATCTGAATTTAATTTGATTTTGATTTCCTCGTTCGTTTCCGAATCAGATCCATTGGGTTTGTGGGCTTTCTCACAGTTGCATATGATGGTTGATGAAATGGATAAGACGGTTTGACTGTCCTTAAGAGATCTGTTAGATGCCACTCTTTTTATACTATCAGTATCGATTTGCTGCGACACTTTGTTATTTAAATATCGACCGGAAAGTTGGGTATGCTGGCTATTTAGATATAAATTAGCATTCATTGGTGAATGTGGAGAGAGTACTGGAAGTGTTGGAGCAATATTTGGTTGTTTTAATCGAGAGACAAAAAAGCCGTTTGACTTCGTGTCGGTTAATGGTGGGTCGTCTTTTCTATTTTGTTTGTTATGTCTGTTTCCGCACGATTTGCTTGATAACTCCCTGTTCGGGAGCTGTGGTGAGAAGGGTTGGGCTTTTGAATACGAGCCCGACTGTTTTTGCTAAAGAAACTTCTGCTCGAGAGCTTTAGTAGAGCTCTGGCTGGAATTTGAGGCACCTGTAAAAAGACCGAACACACTCATTAGATATACTCAAGTAACCAAAACGCAATAAGAGAAAAAATTTGAAAAATATGAATCGTAAAAAAAGGTTTCGTTATTCTTGTTAAAAAGCAAACAAGCCAAACTATAATGTGTTTTAAAATTGTAGCAATAGAAGACGGTTCACTTTCAAAGTATCAAAAAATTGCTTTATTCAAACTTTTTGTCCTTACATATTAAAACCATATTACTGAAGCGTATTGCTAAAAGTTCATTTTTGAACCCAATGTGGTTATTTGATTGATTGTTCTACCAATATTATTAGTTATTAGATGATATGACCTATGCTTATTAAATTAATACGGGGACCAGGATCACAATGCTGTAAATATGGGGATCGTGGTGCAAAACTCCTGACAACTAGTTAAATATAATCTTTGTAAAAATGCAATTCTCGAATGTATTGATGTGAGCTAGATAAATAATTACATTGCCATATTTATGATCTATTACAAACCATCGTTTTCATTCCGTTTGTTATTTGTTTCCACATTTTTTTTACTTGCTTCGCTTCCTGCGGCTGGGGCAGGATTTGGATTCGGGTGTTTTGAACTTAGGGACGCACTACCTGCAGCTGGGTTTGAATTGGATACAACACCCGATGTAGTGTCACTAACGCCGCCGTCGACATTATTCTTTAATTGTCATTTGACGAGTTCCACCGAAAGAAACTTGCGCAGTCGCTCGTAATAATGTGGATGCAGCTCAACGTCATTGTGCCCGGCACCCTGAAAGTAATGTTTACAATATATTAAACTGAGTTTGAAGTCACATTGTTGATAAACAAATCAAAACTATTGCTACAGTAGATCCGATTAAAGTAAAGTATAATATTGCAACAATGCGATCCCACTGTTTATTCAATGTTTATGAAAAGCGTTGAGATCGATACGAGACACTCAATCGATTTCATTGGAAATGCCAGACTATTATAATTAATAACAATCATTATTCTGGTTACACAGCTCAATAACGAATGCAATAACCTGCTCTAAGCAGGTAATCAATCAAGAATAGATAAATACAGGTAATTACCTCCACCCAAAACGGCTCGACAGTCTTAGGACACCGCTCGTAGATTCCGATGCCATGGGAGAAGTCGATGACCTCGTCGTCGGTGCCGTGGATAACCAGAACGGGAGCCTTCACCTTAGCCACCTTATCAATGCTGCGCGGAAACCCGATAAGATCAGAATTGGGGGTGATCGCATATTAATGAGTCCACTTACCTGGGGAAGGCGTCAAAGAACCAGGTTCTCTTTGTGTTTCGAAAGACGACCCTTAGTCCGGACATCAGTGGAGAGTGGAGTATCACAGCGCCGACTTCGTGTCGCGATGCCAGGTCCACAGTGGGCACAGTGCCAATGCTCTGACCATACAAATGATCGTCTCCGGGCTGATGTTGAATCTGGGTTTGAACATCAAAGGGTTAGAGCATCGGAATACACGAGGTAACCCATGAAGTACTCACCTGGTTCGCATCGCCTGCCAGGCTGCCTCTATATCCGCATACAGATTCTTCTCCGAGGGCTTGCCGCCACTCATCCCATAACCGGAATATCGTAGCCAAAGATGTTGCAATTATCTGGGAGCCCAGGGTCAGGTAGAAGCTGCTCATCTGGCCCAGATCGACGGCATTCCCGTGGGAGAAGAGCAGCGTGTACTTGGCGTTCTTGCTGCACCTGACATAGATGCAGGTGATCAGGTTGCCACGCGAGGTGCGTGTGAAGAAGGCCTCCACCTTGGACTTCTCCCGCTCTGAGTACTGCCACTCAGCTCGGTCGAACAGCTGCAGGTTGTAGCGGATGTTGGTGTCGTCCGCCGGAGTTAATTTGTATGTGGGTTCCGGTGGCTGGAAGGCCAACTTGGCCGCAATGGGACCCGGACATGGGGGGCAGCAAAACATGCAACAGAGCTCGCTGATACTGAACATGCTCGCACCGTGGCTGGTTCGAGTAGTGTAATGCCTCTACGGAATGCTAACGATTTCTTTGATTTCTTTTCTACAATGCACGATTACCATCAACCATCAACAAAGGACTAACGGAGTTTTGGGCTCAGACTTCGGGTCGGGGCTATTCGCGTCTATATCTCATCTATCCGTGTGCTCGCAACTTGTCGATGGGGCTAGGCGACGGCGCGACGAGACAAACATAACATTTTGCGTTCGCACACAAGATCCAACATAATCGAACGGAACGTTTAATGGCTAAATTGTCTTACTGAAATTTGGTACACTCACATTTACAAAATGGCAATGTAGATAGGCAAACAACCACAAAGAAGTAAGGTGGCTAAAACGCCCTAAAAAACAACGGCACTTTCGGTATTTTAAGTGTGGCCGCGTGCGAGCTAGTACAAAATGACAGCATATGGGCTGCTTTTTTCAGGGAACAAAATGAAATTGAAACAGAGGGAAAAGTTTGCAATATATCATATAATATGGATAATAAGACTTCTAATAAATAAGTACATTTAAAATATGTTTCAAATTATAATACTGCCTTAATTTTTTAAATACATTTTATGTTAAGTACTTAAAAAACACTTATCTTGAGTCATAAATGTACCATTTTTATAATGTTTAATAATATAAAATGTGCCAACAACTTTGAATCATTATCGAAATTATAAACATAATAAAAAGGGAAGGCGAAACATTCCAACTTAATTAATTGTGTTTCAAGTTCCAATGTTTTCAACAGGGAACTAGCTGAACGGCTCAATTAGTTTTGGTTGTCTATCGACTGTCGATATGCAAAAAAAGTGTCTCTGATTTTTCGAGGATCAGAAGCTTGTTAATTCTGCGAAATGTTTGTTTATAATTACAATTATTTGTCGATGCGGGCCTCTTCATAGGATGCGAATTCTCAAAAAGGATCTTAGCCGTTTCTATCTGTGATACTCTGGGATACAAACCTTCCAGAAACCGAGTAAGAACCATTGAATATGCATATGTACATTATGTACTTGCGTATGTATGTATGTATGCATGTAAGGATGTTTGCAAAATGATTTCTGTTTTTCAATAGATTCAAATAAAATTCAGCCAAGAAAGGCTGTAACTTCGAAGGACAATAACACGTGGATTACATACCCTGAAACAATAAGATTCTTCTCCAATTGGAAGGAGTATGAAATAATAAATCTCCTGATAGTGGATTTCACCTGAAATTGAATGGGGCACTCTTAGGAGAACATTGGTTTCGTATTAGACATTGTCGAATTCCAGGAAAAGGTAAGTAAATTTCATCCTTCTGTGATATTTGATCAGACAGGTTTTATAAATTCTATTATATGTAAACAATTTTTTGTAACTTGCCGTAACATTTAAGTAGCTTATACCAAGGTGTCTCTGAAGGCATTTCAGAGTCAAGCCGGATTAGAAGAAATCTTTTCCAACCAAAGAGGGCTGGATTTTGTACTGACGTTCGTTAGACATCCCATTGAATTTGGTAGGAAGACTTTAATTCATTGTACATACTTTTTTATTTACTGCTGTCTCAAAAAAGTTAATGTCTAATACAAATACCATTCAAGAAAATGAGTGCTCAATTTCAGAACCAAGTGATCTTACCTTGGATGATCAGATATATTTTATCATAATATGATAACATTGCAAATAAACATTCCCTTCACTAGGGTATTTCGAAATTCTGTTTCCAAGTCTAGGTCTCCTTTCTTGTAAGACATAACAAACTACACTCCGCGCCGTATCGACCGATAGCCCCACGTTTCCTTCCTCTGGATGTGTATTTTACCATGTATGTGGACGTGGATGGTAACGAGAGCGAAGTATTCCAACTAGGGTTGAAGTCAAACATATGTAAGGATGATTGACAGCTAATGGAAACAAAAGCAATTCGAATACGTGTGTGCATGTGTAAGATGCAAATGATTTGCAAAACAAGGTAGGAAGGCAAGTTAACCATTGCGGACCTATTTTCGACCTGTAATCGAATTAATCGAGGTATATTTATGTATTTACAACCTGTAGTTTGTTTTCGAGCTATAATTATCTAAGGAAGCAAACAATAGATTAGGTATACCATGTGAAGGTAGGGAGCTGCAAAATGCACAGTGTTTTAGCTTCACGACTGAGATACAGAGTTATTATTGTTTTTTACACATTCCATTGACGGCTACCTAAAATAATAGAGCTTACTAAATGCAATAATGAATACGTCAGTTTGACAAGAAGACCTCATTATTTTACCTTAAAAACAAACATTTAATACGGTATGGGCAGTTCTTTATTGACTTTAGAGATCGTCTAAATTCAACTGGTTACAATACAGTTTTGTTTAAATAAAATGAGTACACAAGTAAATAACATAAAATTATAATAATAGGACCACTAATGAGTATGTTTTAGATACATATATGTAGCAATATTTAACTCTACGGATAACTATAACTTTTAAAAGACCGGCAACGGGTCGTTATGAAAAAGCGGCGGTGTTTTCTGGTAGCAAGGTATATTGCCAAATTGGCTGTTGTATAGAAAACTTGGAAAGTACATGTGATACTGCGCGGCGAGTTCGTTAAAATTAAATGGCAAATTGAACGGCGGCTTTTTCAACGCGTCGGCATCTGGAACCCCGTAATCCAAGTGCACTGGTCCCTCACTTGCCGTACTAGTAGGATCCGGAGCTATCAGACTCTCGATGGTGAAAGCACGCTTTGGCCGCACCGGAAGTTGAGTTAGAGTCGACGGAAGGATCGGCGGAATACCCTTATAAGGTGACATTTGGACAGCAGGTGGACTTCCGAGATCAAAGTTGTTGGGCATATGACCATTCCGCGACGGATCGGCAAAAGCCATCTGCGTTAGCTGGTCGTCCAGGTAATGGGATACCATCTCTGTATTGGCGGCGGCAAATTTCCAGTTTGATATATCCTTTTCGAGCTGTTTGACGCGGAAACGCTTTCGCCTCCTCAGCAACTTCCATTTTCGAACATATCGAAGGCCATCGGATGGAGGGTCCAGTATGATCCTTGCCGGCCTTCGTCACATTCCGTGGCACTTTGATAAAACAATCGTTGAAACTCAGATTGTGCCGCAATGAGTTTTGCCATTTTTGCGTGTTCTTCCGGTAATAGGGGAACTGCTCCATAATAAATCGATATATCTCACTGAGCGGCAGCAATCGTTGCGGAGAATGTATAATGGCCATGGCCGTTAACGATATGTACGAGTATGGGGGCTTCTGATCACCGTAGGTCATTTTCAATGGGCGTGGCATTGCTAAGTCGTTTAAAATTTCACACAATCCGTCCGTCGTCCGCACACAATTCCTTTTCAATATTTAGAGCGATGTTTTCTCGGCGGCAGCAGCGTTAAGACTAATACGAGGGGCAGCAAAACTTCATGTTTTATGGAACTGGCAGCTCGAAAAGAGCAAGACCGGATCGGAGAGGAGAGTTCTCTCGCATACATACCCATGCCGGGTATGCGGTACCCACCCGGTGGTTTATCCAGTATTCCGAGGGAGAAGGCAGTCGGTCTGGTCTGGTCTGGTATGGTATTGTTTCCCAAACAGGTAATAAGATCTGGTCGTCCTTGTCTGAATTGTGTACCAATGGGAAGCGAAGGTGTTGTTTACGGCGAATTTCCGAATGGGTTGCTCAGGGAGTCTTAACCAATCATCGGGCCCGCGATTAGCCATACAATATATGTGGCTCAACACCAGGAGCGTGGCGGAAAAGCGTTTTGTCCCAGCGACAAGGCAACGGCAAACGAGGCCCCATTTTTTCCCTTCGCCATTTTCAATTTTCGGTGAGAGATAGTACATGCGTGCTGTAAAAGCACAATTGCAGGGGAAAGCCCTTGATTTGCAAGCTTTTGTCAATACCTGTTTATTTTATATGAATTGTGGGCGTGCCAGAACATGAAATAATAAAGGAAACGCTCGTATTTCACTTCCCATCGCATTACTCCCCTTCATAAAATGATTTAAATTGTTTTGGCTTTTGCATGAAATTGAAAAATAAATTATAAGCACGGCCGTATTTGCTTTATGGTGTATGAACGTTGACCAGCCTTAGTTAAGCATATCAGTAGGAACAAATTAAGGTGATTTAAAGAACTAACTATGAGAAATGTATTTAATACTCTTACATTTTATAATTCAGAATTGACTCAAGTCTGCTAGTACGTAATACAACTTACGCATTTAAAATGGTAAAATGTAACTGATTATTAATCTAAATTTGTTAGACTAAAACTTGGAATTATAACTAACTTGTTATAAAAACCTTTTAAAGTTATTATAACCATAAGTTTGAGAATTTAGGAATACAAATTGTCGAAATCAAAATTGTTTTTTTTTTTAATTATCTTGTAAGTTGATTTTTCTCAAAAAGATGTCAGCAAACATAGTTTTTATAAAAAAAATTTTATTTTAATACAACTTAAGTTCTTGAAGCATTATACTTTATTTCAAGTAAAATAATTTAAATAATGTTTGATTGTATTTATGAACGGTAATCATCCGATTGATTATTTTCTTTATAAACTTATTTCTTGCGCATTCGGAAGACCTTAAACATATAACCTTAATTCTTTTAAAATAGAAAAAATGTATTTTTTAAGTTTTTATTTTAACAATTTTTATATTGTCAAAAGGAAGATTGTTTTTATAAACAACAAATAATTTTAAAACAAAACAATTTCCGAACACTTAATTTCAAAAACCAATATCATTGAATGGACGGCACAAAATATAACATTGCTGACTAGTAAAGTTCTACAACATTTCATTGCAACAATTTTTTAAACCCAATCAAAGAAAGAAGGAAAGGAAGGAATTTTCTTAAGATCTTCCGTTTATTGCACTAACAACTTTTTTTGTCCTAAGTTATCTATAAAAGTGGTGTTGTTCAACTCCGGAAAAAAAAAATATTTGCACACATAAAATTGCATTTTTTTAAATGTTCTTTAAATGAGTAGAAAGTATCAGCCTATGTTGATCTCACATAACTTGGGCGCTATATAATAGATAAACCCAAATAATTTATTAATATACAACTAGTTTTTTAAATCATCCATTTCAAAATTAAAAGTAATTCATATCCAAATTAGTCGTCAAACAATTTATTTTATATTTACCCTCAATGATCTAGAGATTATAATGGAATAGCGATAGCTTTTGAATTTCTTCACTCAACCAATAAAAATAAGTTACTTACATCGTCTAAAGTGAATAATATAAAAAAAACAACAAAAAAACTCACAAGCGGTGCGCTACTAACTCAAAGATCCCGACAGACTGCTAACGAGATAATAGAGGTGTGTGCATAAAGTAGAACGATATCTTCTTTCCTTTCTTTTCGTTGAGTATTATAAGCTTAGTTGATTTCTAGTTTCCTAGGCTGACAGCAGCGTTTAAGTGTACATGTTAATTAAATAAATATATATATATTGTTGAACAAACATTTTTAAGTGTCAAACTAATTTTTCGTTATTCAGTATAATAATCTTGCTTATAAGCTTAAATATAAAGATATTTTATCAACAAAATACAATAATCCACTTTCAATTAAACTTATTTACTAATATATATCCACAGAGTTTATAAAATGTATATCTTCATTTATTATATAGAATCAGTTCCGTATTTAATGCAAACATTTTGAATGTCATATTTAATTTTATTTTTGAATACCCTAATATTGGGACGGAAGAGGGCGTGAAACAAGTTGGAAGCCAAACTGGACTGGGTAAAAAAAAAAACCCTAACCGGCGGTGGAAATTTTACGTATTATTAAGGAAAAATGTGAGTAAACATTATTCCATAAAGTTAAGAGTGGTAATAATGTGTAATGACTCTTTATTGATCTTCACTGTGATGCAGTGGTAAAAATTTGAACTAAACACGATCTTTGCGGTCTTTTTAGTGTCAAAGATGCCAGCATTCAAGCCGACAGCAGATGGCCAAGATCGGCCGTTAAAGCTGAGTGAAAAAATGTTCTCTGCCATTAAGGCAAAGCTGTTGAAATCGTTGTATGTGCAAAACCTTTCAGTCAAAACAACTACTCAGTAATCACCAATCGATAAGTTTTTCTCCTCTTTTCCTGTCGACTCTTTTTTAGCACACCGAAATTCGCAGCGCTAAGATGAAAGCTGTTCGACCCATAAACTAAATCAATTTAGTTATTTCCGTCCTACGGCTGCTCGCCTTGTTAATGAAGATTAGCGTTGATGAAGATCAAAAGAGGCATCGTAGAGAGTCGAATATAATACGATTTTATATACATAGCAATGCTGTTTTAACACCTTGAGCTACACTCGAAATGAAATATTTGACGGTGGTATGTATCCAAGTAAAAGCGTATAATTCCCACCGAATCTTTCAGGCGTCCAAATAACATATTTAGCCATATTATATCGATTTAAAACACTGTACGAGTGTGTTCCGAAAAAGTTCCGAGCGAAGACAAGATCTCTGTTGGTGTCGGGATAATAACCGTCAGTATTTATTTTTCCTATGTGTTGGGGATTTTGTCTGCTTTGTATTGCTTTATACTCGTAAGAAATAAATGTTTGAACACAACAGGCCGCCAATTTATTGAAGGCTAACACACTAATTTGAGGAGTTGAGTTGTGTTTACCCCGAGGATGTATGCTTGTATCCCGTATGTACGTATATCCGAATGAATCTTCCCGACAAAGCTTAAGTGCAGTGTTCATGCTTCTACCTGCAATATAAGAAAGCTAAAGAATCCTGCCCCGTTGGAATTTTGCTGGCATGAAGTGTAGCCCAAGTTTTATTGCGGCTAATTATTTTATTGCAAATGTATATTTTATGGTGACAGTATAATAAGCTAGGAAAAATGTACCTAAACCATATTTTGATTATTTTTCTACATTGGGAACACTACATAAATAGCAGAATAAAATGTTTTTACTTTAACAAAAAAGGAACAATTTAGTAAAATATTACAAATTATGTATGTTAAACAGTAAAAAATTGAACTAGGATTTATTTTCTTCCTCTTTTATTATAATATTTCTTTTCTTTTTTATTCCTCTAATAAAGTATTTGAAAACCTGGTTGTCCTAAATAGTAAAACCGCTAAATATTTTTATACATAAATAAAAACCATGTTGATGATATTAGCGGATAAAAAACGTAACCATAGATTATACATATCTGACAATTATTTTTCTGTAAAAAAGTCTTATAAACTAATGATATTATAGACAGTTTTTATTCCAGATAAGGTATGTAAAAAGCAGATTCTGCGGATAGTGCACCCAGCTGCCCAGAGGCGTATTTCCTACTGCCCCTATTAAATGGGCATCGGTCGGCTCAATCGTTAGTGTCGACGAGGTGAGAATGAACATCGTCAGCTCTTTCGCCTGGCTTATATCATTCACACAACACCCATCGCTGCGAATTTAAATCATAACCTTATTCATGACAGAGGGGCCGCCTGGACCTGGATTCTGGAGCTCTGGATCTGGGATGGACGTGGGTAAATGATTAGGCCGCCTGGCAGGCCAGAGATTCCTGATTCCTGATGCCCCGATTCCTGCCTGCTTCCTCCGCTGAAGCGCTGAATCGAAATCAAATTAAACTCGGTGGTGTTTCTCCCAGTTGCGTGTGTGTGTTTCCCTATGGACTGCGGAGTGGACCACTGGACGACTGGACGATGAAGGAGGAGGAACGCATTGTATATTTTGCAATTTGAACAGCCGCTAGTTGCCGGTACACAGACGTTTATAATTCGCAAAGGTGTGCGTGGTGGTGGTGTGGTAAGTATAATAAGAGGTGTGCTCAGACATCAGGCTAACAAACAGGCCGCGCACAAGCAGCCACAGTAAAAATCACTTCGATGGAAGCCATAATGGCCCGGCTCGAGCTCCTTTCTACGAACCGAGAAACTGAGATCTGACTACCAATTTAAAAATGCCGCTTTTGACTTGCGAGACAGAGTGGCGGTGCGGTATTCTGTATTCTCCCTCTGCCGGCCGTCTTTTGGGTCGGTCTTTCTTTCGCCCGGCCGATCGGTCGGTCGGTCGGTCGATCAAGAAATACCTTTAGATGGTGATGGTGCGATGGTAGGTTGGTGCTTTTCGCACAGTTCGTGCTTAAATACAAAGTAAGCTGTTAGAACCATTTGCTTTTCGGCTGCTTTTTTGGCTTTGAACACCTCTGGCCGATTTAGTTAATATCATTTTATAATAACCCATTATGGTATTAGTATGGGGTTCCAGTCGAGAAAGTCCTGTCAACAAAGCTTAAATTTTAATCGATCTTCTGTATGGTGTGGCATCTGCTATCTAACATCACCAATTATTCGCCTATTTTATTATCGTGTAAGCACTAGAGGGTATCGCAAATTGTTCAACACTTTCCGTGCCACTTAAAAACCCTTTTCAATTTTTTAAGTATAAATATGGTTAATCAGCATCAACACCCGAGTCGAGCTCGAGTGCAAACTAGTCTGTGTGTGAAACTAGTTTTCGGTGTTGAAGCTACTTAGCCGATGCTTTGCCCACTCAACTCGTGTGTTTTGCTCCACTGACGGATAAGTCGGAGCCGCAGGGGAAAGATACTTCAACATATGCCTGCACCGAGACTCTGCCGTCGAGCTGATCGATCGCATGGGAATTTCAGACGATCAAAGCGGGCTCGGGACTGCTCTAATAAAGTCAGATAAAGCCTACTTTATACATTTTCATCATGCCGCATCGGGTAGACTAAAGGAAAATGCAGGCTTTCTTAACGTTTTTGGGCACTTTTACAAATGAAGCTGTAACATTGTGGTTAAAAGTACATTTTTTTTATCCACTTTAACTAGTTATGGCCATGTTTCATAATCCGTTTCCACTCAACCCACTCACTACAATTTAAAATTTATTTTCTGAATTGTTTTATTAAGCGTAGCCGTCGAAAAGTTGCCATGAAACGTTTTATTCGTGCAAAACAATTGATTGCATAATAATTCATACTCGTACAAATAAGTCTGCTGTTTGTAACTCTTTATAAAAAATAGCAAATAATGCCACAACTAAATTACCCTAATCAAGTGGACACGTGACACTTGTGGTAATAAATACAATGGCGATGGGCCGAATTGCTCAAGTGCTATTGCGGCTCATTAGCTTTCGATGGCAAGTGGGTGCGATAAAACCAATTCTGGCCTTTTCTGTGGGCATAAGATTCTGCGAAAAACCAACGGCAGCCCCATCGGAAGGTATTCAGCATCCCTTATCGTAAACACCACAGTCATTTTGTTAATGCTGGCCTACTACACCATGACGATCCTTTTAGGAAGTGATGTTTTACGCTCGGTGTTGATTTATTGTATCATTACTGTTTATGAGTTCGTGCCCCTTTTCCACTGGCGATGACTGTGCGGTATTTGTATATTCGTTTAATGAAATCAAAATTAGTTCTAATAAATCATACATTTGTTAGATTTTCCATTTTACTTAAAGATTTAAAAAGCCAACCATTTGTACAGATAAACCTTTCTTATAAGAATGCCCATTACCCATGCCATCCCAAATAATCATTCCTTTTGAAGTCCCATGCGCTCTTTTATAATTATGCCTTTACCCTTTTATTTACAGAAACAAATTAATATCCGCTTAACTGCTACAAATATCATTAAGCATCTTGTGCACACAAAAACACACGTAACACCACTAATTTGAATCGGCCGAAATACAGATGGGCTCGTGACAAAGTACCGATTACTATTCGTTCCGATCACTCTAAGTATTCACAACCTTTGAAATTCCTCTTTGATGTACCGGCAATAACAAAAAACATGATGGTTTTGTTAATGGATTTCTATAAAGGCTTCCGACTGTTAAAAGACCCGGCTGGAAGAGAACACCCGTGGCGATAATTTAAAGCCACTGTCTAAGCCAGCATACCTTTTTATACCCTTGCGTGGGGTATGGTAGTTTGGACCAACTGACTGCAATCGGCATAGGAAAGCCGTTTCGACTCTGGGAGGCTTATAGCTCGGACCGAATTAGCTTCGGGGGATCCTTTTCCAATTTCAATTGGTTAAATTCAGGTGAGTACATTGACTTCTTTATGAACATGTTTCCTTGCATTCTTGGATAAATCCAAAACACTATACCTTAAAGTTCACAAACATATATTATTCTGATGAGGTGTATTAAACTTATGGAAGATATTTTGTTAAACGAGTTGCTATTTAGGTGTGTTTATAAACTGCATAAGTATTCATATATTTATGTATGAAGTGGTTCTGAAGCAAATTAAGTGTATCAATTTTATGATTTTAACACAGACCCTTCATCGTACCTGTAATTTTATTCTTTGCTGTGATCTCTTATAGCTGGTTTCAAAATATTTTTAAGGGCCAGAGCGATTATGCAAATGAATCTGGCTTGGCCACAAACTACAAAGGATTATGAATTTTGATTTGCTATAGAGTAAACAACCGATATGAATCTGTACCTAGTGGGAGAACCAACTAAGGAATCTTTGCTATGGTATGATATATAAGATACTATAAGATACCCATTACTAAATCTCCTATTAGAAAATATGTTGCCATATCTTGTTTGACAATTTTGATATAGTTGTATTTCGTACATTTCTCCACTATTGAACTTTTGGATGCCTCAAAGCTTTCCGATTTTTGAGAGCGGAAAGAAGCGTGGCCCTAATTTAAATACTGGCTTACCTAGAATTTTCAAAGCAAACCAAATCGCTATTCGATTTTATACCATCTGTTAGTTTGTGAATAATAATAATAATATTTAGTTATCTAAAAGACAATCTTGAGATACAAATTATTGTAATTTGAACTTTCAATATACAAACCCATATGTCCTATACCATACCTCTAAGCACTATAAACTAAAAAGATTTAAAGAGGTGATGATTCTGTAAGTGCCTATTGTGTACCAACTAAAAGTTAACTTTTTAAGATGGAAAACTATATTTTTTTTTTTTAAATTGTGTGTATCTTAAATCCACTGTCTAATGGAAAATTCAATGTGGATTATATATCAGATCTCGATCTCAAATCTAGTTAACATGTAATTCGCAAATACAAATATACCAATTAATGATTAACTGAAATTGAAACAAGGTTCAATGCCTAATCATTACAATTTATTTAAAATGTTCAAAGATTTTTAATTTCACGGTGAATATTTGGGTAAACAATAATGACAGAACCAAGAAGTCATTTATTACACTGAAGCATATTGTTATGTTTGTAAGTAATTATTACAGCATAATTCTTCTCGCAGCTGGAGTGGAAAGTAAAGATTGGGCTACACCTTTTATGTTGCCGCTAATATTCCGTTTGTACTAATTTGACTAAAGCAAATATAATTAAATCGGCTAAAACCGCTGGTTTGTATTTTCCGACGGGCCGGTACCATCATAAATAACTTTTGTTTAATGGGAAATGATATTGTATATGAACTTAAATAGTGAAGGGGTATGCAGATGACATGATTTAATTTCCAAACATTTAAAAAGGCGCCCTCTTTAAGCAAAAACAAAAATCTTAACTCGACTGTGCATTTTTATTTCTACGGTGAAAAAACCTATTGCTATGTGATATTTACCTATTTAGGTATATTTTAGGAAATAAACAATCTAAATAGATAATTGGGATTATGTGCCTAACATTGATTTGGTCAATTTAATTTTTTAAGCCCGTTCATGTTAAGTTAATTTTCCTCTATATTTTATTTTATTTTCCTATTTTACTTTCCGTTTCAAAATTGTTTAATTACTTAATGTTTCGCTTAACTAACTTGGAAAAATGTGTACAAAAGTCACAGGCAATTATTTCTGTACAATAGGAATGTTTTAGAATAGGTGGACAAAATAAAAGTTTAGGGAGAATCAAAGCATATGAAGAAGGGTAGTTTTCATATCATCAAAATTATAAGCGGAAATAGTTTGATTTTATATAAATTTTAGTTTTATAATTTCATTCCTGATTTGTCCTAGGAGCAGCAATAGTTTTTTTTTAAGTTATTAATTAGAAGTTTTGAAAACTATAAAGTAATCGTTTTCGTACTTGTCTGTAACACCATTGCAGGACGACCCCCAATAATATCTACCTACTTTTGTTATAAACATGAGATACAGGTAAACGAATGCCGAATGTAAGAACGACTAGAAGGAAGGCTAACAAGGAGGCTACGAAATATTAAACGGCTCCAAGCGATTCGATGTATGTGTGTGTTTATGGCCAAATAACTCAGCTGTTGTATTCATTAAGCCTTGTTCTCTTCTCTCTTATTATTATTGCTCCCTTTATGTTAATAACCCGAAAGTGTTTTAAATTTCACGCGTCTTGCTTGTTAAATACAGACATGTGTTTATTCCAACAAGAAAGGAAGGACCGACGCGATATGAAAAATTATCCCAAAACGAAAATGGTTATGTGGTGATATTTCTAAAAAATTGGGGATCGGTCAGTTATAAGAGTCGACTACCAAGGGTATCTTAGTAAATGGCTTAGCACACTTGCACAAGAACGTAGACATCCTTTGGTAAAATTTTAAAAAATTTATCGGTACTTGGGGCTAAACAAATACTTAGGTACAAATCAGTTATTTTTTGCTTGGAAATATAATAGTGGTTTAAATTTTTAAGTCAAAGGCGACTGATTCTTTAGCTATTTCACCAGTATGACATTATTTAAAATTAAAAAAAAGGTTGTTTTGAAGATTACGCTTAAGGCATTCTTAATTTGAAGCAATTTAGGATGATGAAATGAAAACTTTTGGATAACTTTTTATGAAAGATCAAAAAACACATGTCGCGCACAAAAATTAAATTTTATTCCGGTATTTATACCATAGTAGTAAGAGTTGCCGTCATAGTCTGACCTCTTTTTATCAAACTATAAAATTTCTATATCCGAAATCTTATTTTTTTTTATTCTTAAACTCAACCTTTTATTGTTAAAACTTTATAAAATTATATCACGACGGCAGCACTGACAGTAGTTTTAAAGTCTTTTTGATATTCTTAATTGCCATCATGATTACTTGCTTTTTAAGGGTTAATAACCGGAAACAAAATAAATGTCCTTTTTATTTAATAAAACGTGATATGTCTTAGAGCAAATGTTATTTCCAGTTAATTGAAATAACTGAAATAATGTATATAAATAATACAAATGCTTTTTCTTGTTAAGTTTTGGTCCTTAATAAATAAAAATTCTACAAAAACTCGCAAAACATGTGCATTGCAAACATCTATTTTTTAGCGGACGATCTCATTTTTATCTGGGAAATAAAAAATTTTTAGCATTGGTACTTTAAACCTAAAAATGAAAGTATGAACCTTACTTACGCTTATAATATCAAACGTTACCCATAATATATTTCGTTGATTCAAAAACAATTTTTTTATCAGTTATTTAAAGGTTTATATTCTTCACAAAAGGATTGATTTATGCACTAAGTTTGATACAAATAAAATAAATAATTTACTAGTACGGATATGTAATACAAGCTATTAAAATTTGTATAACAAGCTTTTTATGTACATGCCTTCTACGCCTAAGAATGTATACCATATGTTTTGGTCCTATTACAATTAACCTTAATACAAAAGGAACTACGTTTGGATGGATATACAACATACATATATCGTTCATAAATAATGCTATACATAGGTGTGTTCTGTTCTGATCTGTTTCGATCGATTCGCCTTATCTATATCGTACGCATATCGTTGTCTATTCTATTCTGGACCTCGGTGTCCGATATTGCTGCGCCGGGGCGACGAGTGTGACATTACTGTAGTAAATGTTGTGCATATTGGCAATGGGCGCCGCCATCATGAACAGCGGATGCGAGATGGCCAGTTCGTAGGTGGTGGGGCTGCTGGGATCCCCGAGGCCTGCAGACCGGCCACATTGGCGCCGGTGGCGTAGTGCAGGAAGGGCACATGGGCTCCGGCGTTTATCGTGTGCATCGGCGGCAGGGGATCCTCGGTCCGGCTGGATCGGCTGGCGGACAAGTACTCCTCGGAGGCGGGCGTGGTCGGATAGCGGCTGATGCCACTGCACTCCACCACATCGATGTCCACCCGGTCATCCTCGTCGTCCTCGTCCTCCGACGGATGCTCCGGTTTTCGGGCGTAATCAAACTCTCTATCGTAAAAGATCGCTTTGGTCGCAGGCTTAGGGGTCCCTCGATATCGGAACTGGTTAGAGCGGGCAGGTTGGACAGACCCATGTCCGATAGATTCGTGTGATCCGCACTGGACATGGAGCCGGGAGGCATTACGTGCGGCAGACCCACGCCTTGACCCAGGGAATTCGGTATATGGTTCGTGGTCCTGGGCAGAGGATCCAGCCTCATCGAAGCACTGTTCATGTCCAGCGGTGACATATGTGACGCACTGCCTCCGTTCCGGGTGGTGAAGAAGAACCTATTCAGGTTCGCCAGGGCAGTCAACTCCTCGTTCAGCAGATCCTTGTCGTTCTTGTGCAGCTTGAAGCGCTTCCTCCGCCGCAGAAGACTGCCGTTCTCGAACATATCAAAGGCCTGCGGATGGAGGGCCCAGTAAGCTCCTTTTCCGGGTCTGTCCGGCCGACGGGGCACCTTTATAAAGCAGTCGTTGAAGCTGAGGTTGTGCCTTAGCGAATTCTGCCAGCGCTGGGTGTTCTTGCGGTAGTACGGAAATCGGTCCGTAATAAACTTGTAGATATCGCTGAGCGGCAGCATTTTCTCCGGCGAACTCCAGATGGCCATGGCCGTCAGCGAAATGTACGAATAGGGGGGCTTCTGTTCGCCGTAGGATTCTCGCGAGGGCCTGGGCATTATTACACAATGTTTGCTTTTCTAACACATCACAGTGTTACATATTTGTGGGCTAAGTTCATGTGTTATTGATGCACTATCCTCAAAAAAGCACGTAATAATATTTATTATATTTTCTTCACAGGTTTTTCTGCTGCAAAATCCTAAATTAATTGCCTGCATGCGGAGTGTTTAGGAAGAGTGCCGAGTAGTGCCGTCGCAGGAACACATGAACAGGAACTGGAACTGGAACTAAACACCCTATGGGGGCACGGTGGCGATACGACATGACGATATGATATGGGCGAGATAGCGACGAGAAGCGACGGCAAACAAGATCGCGCCAACTGTCGGCAATAAACTCTGCGCAAGAACTACGCTCGTTATAAGCTCCGGCGACGACACTGGCTTTAGCACTGGCCTGGCACTGGATGTAAAAAGCACTCTCACTGAGGTTTCCTCTACCTTCCTGCCTTCCTGCCCGCCTGGCAAATTACCATCAAAAGCTGAATACGAATACGTGAGTGGTAGTGGCTATACTGGCTATAGGTATTGGGGGTATGGGGGCTATAAAGCCCGAGCGAACTTGGGGCGAAGATAGCGATAGAGCGGGAACAAAACAAACGACAACAAACGAAGAACACGGCACACAAAAAATTACTGTTTCAGCAGACTGGCAGACGACGTGCCGGTTATTGTACTAAGTGAGCAATGCCGTCCCCGTCGTAGTCCGTGGTATAGTGGTCCCCACACCTCCGAGCCGCCGAACCTCAGTCCTCAATCCTCGGTCCTCAGTCCGTACGTACAACCAACCACAGTGAGCAATGCAATCAAAATATAATCACTCACATCATTGCCCCCGTGCTCTCTCCCAATCACCGCGATGCGAACATGCATCATCCCTCCGCCACGGCGAAACTTCAAAGCGGCGAGGAGAGCCAAAGCAAAGAGTCTGAGATTTACTAAACGAATAAACCAGTCTGACCAGACCGCACTACGCCGCTCTGGCGAAGAGCTAATGCCCCGCCGGTGGTTGCGGCGGCTACACTCGCAGAAATCTACCCTTGCCAAAAAGGGCTTTCAAGTTTTAACGAGGGAAGGGGGTCGTACTATGGCACTATTCGGCAAAATCCAATGTGGATATATACAACATTATGAATACAACTTTCGGTATATTCTATTATCACCTTGTTTTAAGGATCCAAACTAAAGATTCTTTTGTCCTTGTTTATAGGATCCTATTTAAAGATCTTCTCTTAAGAAGCCTTATCCAAAAATCATATTTACTTACATTTTCTATATGTATCTGCATCTAATTCATAGTTTATAGATCTACTATTCTACATTTATTTATTTATACAGTAAAATACTCTTACTTAGGTCTCTTTAGGTCCCACAATATTTACATATTATGAATTCTTAAAATGTTTATTTCAATATATAGAAACTAACAATTTATGTATATAACAATATATAAATCCATGTTTAGAACATTTTCTTAATGTACTTAGTCTATAATTCGATCTGATATTGGTATATTACAAAAAGGAATATTAATTCTAAGGGTATCTTTTTCAAGTTCAGCAAAAACATATTTCTTTCTGTGATCTTTAATAGATTCAACCCACATGATTTCTTTCGTGTATCAGGGGAGTATCTCGTCGGTTTTATTTAGCTTTTCCTTTGCCGTCGCCCCAGCCGCTGCCGCAGCTCAGCTCCGCTCTGCTCCGGACAAAAGAGCAGCCGCCCCGGCAGCTGGTTCTGGCCATGGCTGGGACTCTGGCCGCGACTGGGACTCTGGCTAACGGCCCAATGCGAGAGAGGTGTTGAAAAAGAAAATTACAACCACTTTACCGATTTACTGATTTTACGTTTTCATAATCTTGTTAGTTAATTTGCCTGCTTGGGACTCGGCCATGATTCCACAGAACGTAAAAGCCAAAGCACATTGCCACCGCATTCGGCGAACGTGTGGGTTTGGGCCTGTGTTTTCTGTTTTGGTATGGGCTTCGACTTGGTCTTGGGCTTGAGCTTGGGCTGCACCGCGATTTCGCGAGAGTCGATTTAACACTAGGATGGATAATTGTCTTTAATAGTGCGCCTGATAGACCAGCAAATCGCAATACCCGGTATGGGTGTATTAAATCGCATTAGCTATTAATGAGTCTGCATTCTTCCTATTTTCCGAGTGTAAATTAATGATATCTGGGTAACGCGAAAACAAATGAGTAGCTAAGCAGTAGTAAGAAATGCTAAGGGGTATAATTGAATTTTAATCACTTAAATTATGTATGGGTTGGTCTTCTTTCTATTTCTGTACAATATGCGGTAAATACTTTTGAGCTTAAAAATGATATATGATGGTATAAAAATATAAAATACAAACATGGCTATTTAATTTTTCAAAACAGAATATTTTAGTTTAATCTAAAAATATTATTCTCAAAAACCCAAGAGTATTCCCCACGTTCGGCTATTTTAAAGAAGTATAAAAAAACGATCCCTATCGGATATTCTAGTTAATTAAGAATTTATTTATTTAATTTATCTGTTTATAAATAACAATCGCATTTGGCCATAATTGTGCCGTTCATAGCGATAATTAGGTGCTCGGTGAGCGAAGGTTAACGGCGATGTAGCGCAGCACTTGAAGGGCGGCAAACTGGCCCGAAGAGAGAGAATGGACTTGGGATGTGGGATATGGCATGGTGTGGTACGGAATTCCGAATGGTATGGAGTGAGAGTCGTCGGATAGTCGGGAGGCAGTACCACCAAAGCGGGATGGCACGACGACGCTATTTGACATCTCGCTCCCCTGCTTGTCTATACGAAAAAAATCTAGGACGGGATTGGCCATTGCTGAAATACATTTGTTGGGGCGGAGCCAAATGCGCATTGTAATAAAATTGTACGTTTTAATTTAAGTGGACATATGAATATGGCAACGGTAGCACTTCTGATTAACCATTAACGAGTTTTGAATATCTACAAAAAAATTCAATCAGTCCGTTAAATTACATGCTATAAATAATCAAATTACCTCTAGTTACGTTGTCAGTCAGTTTCACAACGAAATTATTTATAAATATGTACTTTACATAATTTATATAATTACAAGTGTACATATTGCGAGCAATTCTCCACTTAATGGGTTTATTATTTCATTCAAACGTTGTTTTTTTTGCTCATGCATGTGTGACATTAATTGAGCCCACGCGGCCATACTGTATTATTATAATGGAGTGTCCACCATTGCAATTCTTGTTCATATTCAACTGAACTTCATCCCTAGTGACTAAAATAGTAAACACATATTTTTTATGAGCTTTAGCAACCATTCGAATACCTTTTCCACAATAATATCTATAAAAATATTTAAAATCACCCAAGTACATTGACATCAGCTTGTCTATATTGTTTTAACTTAAACCTCAATAAAGAATGCTTTTTATTGTTCGGACCAAAATCCTTTTATGGTGTAAGCTAGCACCAAGAACGGATATTAACCAGAGGCAAAAAATTAAGCTGTGAACTTCCATAACTCAGGGTCCATAACTCTAATTTTTTTGTGATCAATATAGTTCAATGTCTGGAACTTAAACTACATAAGAGAAATCCTTGAAGAATTGCACTATAGTAACCTCCAGGCACAAGAAGATAGACGAATTTTTTTGTTACATCTTCATCTAGGAGAGATATAACACAGGAACGGTCTGAAATTCGAATCTATTTCTATGCCCCACTTTTAACACTTACTGTAGCGAAGGTAAATTGAGATACAGATAAACTGTTAAATAAATAATGTATTTCTTTTGTTGTTGATACCATTTTATTGATTTTATACTATTAATATAATAACTTCTATAAAACAGGGTCGTTATCATTATAGATTTATTTTAAAACAAATATTTTTTTTTTTGACAAAAAAACAAAGATCAGAAATAATCATTATTTTGAGTTTATAATAAAAATAAATATAATCCTGATCGACAAAAATTTATTGTTGTTTTTTTTTGTGGCTCTGAAATCTGGAGTAGCAATTTATTTAAAGGAATTTTTAAAAAATTACATATTTAAAAATCACGATAAAAACGCATTGACTAGCTAAAGAGAATTTTCCTTTTCTGTGTGCTTTGATTCTAAGTGCTTTATTTTTTTGATAAAAAAAAAAACAGATCAATATTTATTATTTTCAGTCCCTGTTATAAAATAGTAAGATGTCAGTTTTTTATTGTGATATTAACTTTTTCATTGGTCAAATTTTGTTGTGTACCTTAATCCGATGTTTAAAACACATCTAAATCAATCTATTAATATGTTTTGATTTTATGAAAAATGTATTTAAATACATTTGAAAGCTATAAATGTCACCGAAGTGTGTAAACTTAAATTATTGGTTTTCCAAACGACTACTATATTCTGGCTAACCCATTTTAATTAATAGGTAGTATTTAAATAATATTCTTACTATATTTTAATATTGCTAGTCCATTTGTTTCTGAAATAAAAAAAAAAAAAAAAAAAAAAAAAAAAAAAAAAAAAAAAAAAAAAAAAAAAAAAAAAAAAAAAAAAAAAAAAAAAAAAAAAAAAAAAAAAAAAATTCTGTTAACATTAAAATAAGAGATTGTAAATAAATTCTTGACTATCTTGGAATATACAGTGCGTCAAAAAATGTTTTGTCTTGTCAATTAATTATGAACATTTTCCTGGTTGTGTTTGCATGAGAACAAACAGCTTTTCCCATCAGTCAGGACAAATCTGCCCCAATTTTCTCTGCAACACCCAAGCTATTCAATTTAACCGTGAATCTTATTTAAAATTTATTTAAAAACCATTTGCTGAAACATGAATAGGCTTCAAAATGTGCTAGCGTGACGAAGGCAAAACATAAATTTACATTTACCCAGAACCATATTTTTAATAAAATTATAGCCGCTGAGGTTTGCTCAATCAAATGGGCATACGTACACACAAACATAATGTAACAACAGATACAATCACAACAAATTTCACGCCAAACAATTACAACGCATTATAAGAATTTTGTTGGCAGAGGGATGGTCAAGGTATTTAACCCGCAACCATAAATCTTTTCATATTCGACTGGGCCTGTGGTTGTACTCGGTTATTTTTACTTGTGCTCAGTACCCACCCAGTGGGTTTCAGTTTGACATTTGCCTTGTAAATGCGTAATAATCAGGACATCCGACAAACAGAAAGTTACGCTTTAACTCCATTCGCTTCGGTGTACGGTTAACAGTTGTTACAATCATCCATTTAATGTTGAACAGCACCGAAACGGAAACCAATGAAAATAAACACAACACAAAATCCGTAAAAGCAAAACATACCCATACCCCCGATACCAAATTAAAAATCTATTTTTCGCTTTGCTGACAAAAATTGCCTTTACACAATCCATTTAGCTTTATAATTTTTGCAGCTGCAGCGCGGTCTTCATAACAAACCCCCAACCGTTTCGCAGTCGATTAATATTGCAAATCTCGTTTTCTTCTCACCAAGACTATATTAAAATCAGTGAATAATATCGTACATATATTTTGATTGCTTTGGTGGGCCTTCTCCATCTTTAAGCAATTAAAATAGCCAAATCGGCAAATGATTATTAGTATCACTCAGTTTTAAAAGAAATACAATCATTAGCGTGAAAACGAAGAGAAAGAACAATCATAATTTTGAAAACTAAAACTTTGGTATTAACATTGATGAATGGAACGAATCAATTTATTTATAAGTTAGTCCTACAATTTGTTTTCCGTGGCTAATAGCGAATTAAAATTAATTTGTTGCCTAATATTTGGAGTCTCCCGCTAAGCACTAACCACAATGCTTTCTTCAAGATTAATGTTTGAAGGTACAAAAAGAACAATATTTGATTTCAAAATCTAATTACTCTTTAGTAACGGGTATAAAAACATGAACTTACGAAATAAAGACGACAAACATCAAAAAAGAAACCAAATAACATTATATTAATGGTATAAATATAATATATATCATAATAAATATAATAATCCCACTATAATATTTTTTAGAGATATAATCCTTAGTCCAACCACCTTAGTACCCAGTTACCTATTGTTTTAGAAGTTGATTGTTATCCCGATCAAAACAGGCATACAAAACATATTTTAACAAAGAACATAATATTATTATATTTGGCACACACATTTTTTATTATAGTCAAAATACGAATAAAGGGAGCCACGCTCGCTAAAACCCTTTTAATTGGTTATGCCCAAAAGCGACTTATCCATAAAGCGCTCAACTGTAAAGAGAATACTCCTGTTATTTATTTATTGACCATCTTTCACAAATAATAATTGTACAAGACTGGAGCATATTTTATTTAATATCCGACGTTAGGCTGCTAATGCACCACCTGTCCAACAAAGCGTAACAATGCCTTAAGAAGTAGTTTACATTAAATGAAAGCCATAAATTAAAAAAGGAAACTGCTGTGCTATGTGTCAGAACCGTAATTAGAGATATTGGCTTTAAATAATCGACCGGCACTCATTTGTTCACTTTTTACTCGCCGACAACGCAGCGGCACGCCTGTGTTTAAGATCGAACCACAGAAAAGGTGTTAGAAAAGGGCGATCGGTAAAAAGGTAAAAAGGCACACACGAATTCTCGTTTTCTCACATGTGAATATATGTATATGTATGTCCGAGTGCTCATCCCCTTTATTGTTCCATGGGACTGGGATCAAGTTGTATGTGGTCCAAACGGAGCGAAATCGTATATTAGTGGACGAGTTTCCATGCTCCGGCCTGCTGATCATCGGCATTACCAGTAATAGGCTGCCAGGTCTAACAGCCTGTGCAGGCAGGCTATTTAGGCGAATGCGTTCCATCATTAACATCAGACAGCTGTTAAATGATAGACAGAATTAGTATAAACACATTTAATTATATGGTTGGTGTTGTCAGGTGTTTTACACCTTATTAGATCGTGTTAACCTTTGATCTAACTAACTGATATGGAACGGCGGATGTAGGCCCAATCCGATTCCTGAAAACGTTGCACTGGGCCGTCTGCAGTATAACTGTTTTGGCTTTCCATGTGCTATTTCCTTTTTTACCTAAATTGTATTTATTTCATTGAAAATTACCCATAAAATAAAGTCATAAGTCATAAAATAGCTTGAAATGTTGCCTTTGATGACATAAGGATGGCAGTCTTTTTTTGTAATTGTTAAAAAAACTAGAACAGAAGCTAACTTCGGTAAGCCAAAGTTCTAATAGCCTTGCATATTTTATGGCCTTACATTTGAATAAAATAAGAAAAATATAAAGTAAACAACAAAATTAGAATATCCTCTGCAAGGGTATAAAATTTCACCAGAAATATAAAATATCTAAGCTAAGATACCACAGAAGTTTTTTTGGCTATCTACGTAAGGCCTAGTATTCAACCTAACAAAAAGTCGTCAAAACCAAAAATGTATATAAAAAACGTCACAAAATTTTGTTTCGTTTTTGATATGAAGTTTTGGATTGGACGACTTTTATTATGTTGAATACAAAGCCTAAACATCTTTTGATGAAAAAAGATATTTTTCCCATGTTTAATGTTTTACCGATCTGTCCGAAGTCAATACAATTTTGGTAGTTTTAGCATCCCCAAGTGATTCAATACAGACCCGTCTGTCCATCTGCTTTTTTCCTATTGTCATTTTTAATTGTTTTAGGATAAAATCTAAGCAGGGTTCCTAGAAATCTCTTTAAATTTGGTTGGAACTTGTGATGGCCGAAAATCTTCACCAAGTGGGCGTGACACTCAATATCCTTATTCTGCTATATTTTTAGAAGACATTCATTTCCGCCGTGGGCGGAATAAATAAAAATACGGGTTTAAACAAACATTTCACAAGTTCTTTGTGTCTCCTCATTTCTCCCTTATTAAAATCCCAAAATGTATTAAAATTAAGTAAATACAAAATTACAAACAACAGACGGTGGTTTACAAGTACAACACTTTTATTTTTCCTTAAATTTCTTCGTTCCTTATTAATTCCATTTACAAAGATTCTAGACGTCAGTGTCCTTGTTTATTATTCCGGGTCGTTAGAAAATATAAGCCTTTTCTGCGAGGTGTTCATATATGGACGGTTAATCCATTCAGTGTCAGCCGCCTTTATGTTCTCTAGCGTTCCAAGCTTAATTTGATACAGCTTCAGAGCGAATCGTGGCCCCACTTCGCTGAGCTCCAATTCCTTGTTTACATATTTGTACTGATGATGCCTAAATATAATCGAGTCATTGTGGTTTAGGAAGGACATTACCCTTGTGGAGTTTTCCTTCGGCACAGGGAACAAGTGCTTAAGTATCTTTACAGTTCTCAAGCCAATGGGCGTTTTGAAATTATTAAAAATTAAATGTGGCTTCTGCTCGCTCATGTGTCCGATATCGGGAATATCATGTCGCATTACCACATCGGATATGTTGAAGAAGGCAGTCGGCCCATACGGAAGATGACAAACCACAAGGATGTCCGGAATACCACGATGCTCATGGACAATTAGGAAATCGGTTACATTATTGGCACGACAGGCATGCATTAGTGTCGTCAGCTGGTAGTTTCCTCTGTTCATCTGCTGGGCATTTGGAATTATCAGCCGGAGCTCCTTCATGAACATTTTCAATCTGGATGAGGGGTTGTGCGAGGTGGTCAGCATTATTTTGGGGTCCTCACATCCGGCATAGTGGTATTCATCATTGACGGTGCGGTCGTCGACACCTGAAATAAAAATGTTTAATGTTAGTGGATATAGGTACATTGAATTTAATAGTCTAAGTCAAGTCAAAATAAAACAAATTTTAATCTAAAAAAACCGTTTTGGGTAAAATGTCAAAGAATGGTTTTGCATTTTAGAAACAATTAAATGTGAAATATACTGTAATATGGTTTAAACTTAGTTTGATAAGGTTTCTTTGCAATACAGACTGGCGATAGTCTTTAAAATTATATTTAAGTGTGGGCAAACCAAAGATGTAATATGGATAATTGCAATAAAATCAACATTTAATGTTTGTTGGCGTAGTCTGACTTCTAAACACGCATAGGAGATTACTATTTATTGCTTGTTAGTTCAGCATTGCCATTAAAATCTTAACTTGCAGATTAGGAGTCACGAATACTGTTTTAGTATTGGCTAGCCAATTAAGCTACCAGTTTAGTGCAAAAGAAACACCCACAATTTAACCTGGTTCGATGTTTTTTCAAATTTATGAATTAACATGCATGTAACATAACGTTCATAACTAGTTTACAATGGTTTCACTTAACTTACATAGATAAGTACAAAACATTTAATATTCTTACCATCATCTGCATATTTCAGCGACTTGTAGGCCGTCATACTTTTCTTCACATTTTTGGAGCTAATGGTCTTGTTTTCATTGATGCTTTGAACAACGGTCTCCTGGATTTTCTGCTTGGACTTGAGGCGCTCGGTGAGTGCTTTATTATAAAGGTATTCCCTTCGTTGTCTGGCTTGTTTTCGCAGCATTTTTATTTGTTATTATTTCTGCCTGCACGTGTACGGTTGAAAATAAATGAAAACAATACCCACACCAGTCGATATTTCGATTACTTATCGACAGCTGCTAATGAAACGCGTGGAAATGAAACATGATGAGGAAATAGCAAACTTACTTTTTTGCAATTTGAAATGGTAATACAATGAATATTTAAACGAATATTTAAACAATTCGAAATAAAATATTTTTTCTCTTAAAGCATGGGTAATAAAAAACACCATTCCTATTTAAAAGAAGGAATTTAGTATACATTGTAAATTGTTTTTTGAACGAATCCCCCTGTTCCACCTTTGGGCCTTTTGAAATTCAAGCTTGACCTCGCCGCTATCTTGACTAACACAAAATATTTACGAGTGTTTATAGCTACGTGCTCGTGCACTGTGTTTTTGCATATTGTTTAAATAATATGAATAATATGCCTTCACCATGACTTTTAATCTAGTCAAATCGTAGGACAAAGCACACCCAATTGCTTTAATGGGTTAACTTAAGGGTTGTGCACATATTTTTCCCGTTGCTGAGGAAAACTATGGCATCGTCGGAAGTCAACATAAAAAACATAAACAATTTGCGGCAGAAACAATGTTCACGCAAAACATTAAAATGGTAAATAAAAAAGTCGGTAGTAAAGAGTTTTATTGTACAATTAAAACACATGGTAATGTCCGTTATATTTCAGCAACATCTTCATATGTGTTTGCTCTGCTTAATTGCATTAGCAATACTTTCGTATTTCGTTCATCAGCGGCCTTCCTGGGTAACTGACTATAAAAAAGCAGTCAACTATAATGAAGCGTAAGTATTTCCCGTATATGGATGTTTTATATTTCAGATACGTTTCTGTTTATAGTCCTACATACTTTTGCTTTCACCACAGATTTTTACGACTTTTTATTTTGGCCAACCCGGTTGTTATAGTTTCCCTGGTAGCCAAACAAAACATCCAAAATGGGAAAGCAAATATACCTTGATTTCTTATTAAGTGGTCACAACATTAGTAACTTACATGTATCTCAATTCTTGTTTTAGTTACTTTAAAAATTTTATTTTTAATTTACTATATATGGAATATCATATATTTTTTACAAGATTTTACCCCACGAATTGCGTAGGCATGACCACTCTACTTTTGCTTGCAAATAAGTTATGCCCCATTTTGATGATTCACTATAACTTTCTCAATTTGAACTAATTAAATATTTAAACTCCCCAGCCAACCTTGGAGAACCCCGCTTTACATCGTCGTGGTCTGTTGCGGTCAAAGAGTCCAGGAGACTCTTGTTATGATCAAGTCGGCCATTCTGTTTAATTATGACGAAGAGTATCTTAAATTTGTGATCTTCACTGAGGATGGAAAGGGTGATGAGTTCCGAGAAAAGCTGACAGACTGGCGCGACATCAAACCATTTACATTTGACTTTGAGATATTGCCACTAAAGTTTCCAAGTGGCAATGAAGCTGAATGGAAGAATCTCTTTAAGCCCTGCGCAGCCCAACGTTTATTTTTGCCGGTAAGTGTAAAATACACATAATACATATGTATTGTTCAATACTGAAATTATATTTTTCTAGTCATTACTAACGAATGTAGACTCATTGCTCTATATTGACACGGATATACTGTTTTTGTCACCCATCTCCGATATCTGGCGGTTCTTCAAGAAGTTCAATGAGACTCAAATGTCCGCCTTGACACCCGAGCACGAGAACGAGAATATTGGATGGTACAACCGCTTTGCACGACATCCGTTCTATGGTCGACTTGGTGTTAACTCAGGCGTCATGCTAATGAATCTCACACGAATGAGGGAAATGAAATGGGAACAACATATCTTGTCTATTCACAAGGAGTACAAGCTACGCATTATTTGGGGAGACCAAGACATTATCAATATACTATTCTATTATCATCCTGATAAGCTGTACATCATGCCATGTGAATATAACTACCGTCCAGATCACTGCATGTACATGAGCATTTGCAACATGTCTCACGCTGGCGTCAAAGTAATCCACGGAAACCGCGGGTACTTCCACTCAGATAGGCAACCTCTCTTCAAGTCTATTTTCGAGGCTATGGAGAACTACCAACTGGGCTCTAATGCCAACACCGATTTCTTAATGCCCTTACATGCAGCACTCAGTATACCATCCGTCAATAACTCAAGCTGTGGAAAAATATCAAATGAAGTGTTAAAAGTGGCGAATACAGTTATAAGTAATAGGTACAGGGAAGTTTAGCAGTAGTACATGTATTGTAATATAGAATATTATTAGAAAATTCAGCTGTAGAATTGTAACGAAATAGGTTTTAATGAATTTCCCACTTTTATATATACACAATAAAAATGTATATGCTATAAATCAACTTCAGCTGAAGTTTCATTGAACTAAGTTGAACACGTTTAAATGAAACTTTAATTTTATTTTCAATCTCGATTGCATGGTATAATAACAAAGACACTTTGTATTCAAATGGACTTAGCTAGGCAATAAATATGTTCGTGTATTTCCATACAACATTGACTAAGAACACAGGCATGTATTTTCTAAATTAGATTTGATCCACGGAATGAACTTGCTCACTCTTGAGTAAACACCCGGATATCCTTCGCGACCACATCCGACGCCCCAGGAAACGATTCCGACGATAAAATACTTAACTCCATTAGATAACAACAGCGGTCCTCCACTATCGCCCTGGCATGAGTCCATGGATGGCCTTCCGGCGCACAACATCGATGAGGTAATTCGAGTACTTTTGTATTTTTGATTCCGGCACTCCGTGATGGACATAATTGGAACTTTAACTTGATTAACGATGGACGGTAATTGTCCTCCTTCGGACGTCCGTCCCCAGCCAACAACGGTTCCAATTCGACCTAGAAAAATATTAAATGAATATTTGTAAGCTATAAACCAAGTTTATAATATGGAAGTTCAAAATTACCTGCAGGATCGTAATTGAACCGGGGAAGACAAACTGGCTTTATGATTTTAGAAAACGAAATAGGCTTGCGAAGTCTCAACAGGGCAATATCATTGTTGTAGGTATCTGGGTCAAAGCTTTTGTGTTTTATTACGGCTGTAACAGACCGTTGGATGGCTTGCGACTCCGAAGTAATCTCTTGATCGTGGTCTCCAAAAATAATTCTGATTTTGGATTTTCTCAGTTTTTTGACGCAGTGAGCGGCGGAGAGCACGTAATCCTTGGTCAACAAGGACCCTCCACAATGGAACTTTCCATCATACACGATTCTCGCCATCCAAGGGTATTGGTTGACACCGGTTGGTTTCCCGCCTACTATACGGATCTCTTCATTGGAAAAACCACAATCTTTAGGGGTAAAATGAAATAGGTTAATCACATAAATTCCATATACATACAATGACAGGCAAAAAGTCTTCGTATGACCCATATTGTTGCTGCCTGGCCCAAATTAGGCTTGTTGACTATAAACAAAAATATAGGTCGTACGCAGACTTTTATCGGCCGCCGAGTGAAGAGATTTCTACTTTTGCTTACCACAATCACAATTTTTTAGGCTCGAGTTTTCTGTATACTCAACCTCGTCTTCTGTGTCCGAAAGTCCAAAGGCATTTGATACTCCCGAACTTATGCGAAAAATAGTGTCAAATAGAAATTTACTCGTGCGTTTACTTTGGCCCGAATGTATTGTGTTTATAGCCGACTCATTAAAACCTTTTGAATATTCCAAGCACATAAGACTGGAACAATTCATCGTCAACACCCAAAATAAGAATATATATTTTAAATTCATGTTCACGAATAAGATATCATTGTAACAATGGGATATTTTTGTTTTTTGTGGGAAACTCGATCAACAAATTAACAAATGCAAGACATTTTTAAACACAACAAAACATTTGTACATTTAAAACGAAACAATTGTAATGATTAAAAAATTAACACGTTTCTGTAAATACGCCTAAGAATAAATAAGAGTGTGTAACTAATTAATGTAACATAAAATATGTACTAAGTTTGAGCAGGTAATGTAGCGTACGAATCGCTCAGCGTTAATACAAAACGTGAGAGATTAGTCACAGTGTGGCCACCTATTCAAATTTCTACCTGTCCACTCCATGGTCATCAGAGATCAGCTGTTTTAAAACCACTTTCTTTTTTAGAAAGTAAGGTAAACATTTTCACTGTTCAACTCTTAAATTTAATATCGATCGGGTAAATATTAACATTAAATATAAAATCTTTAATGAGTGCCGGTTCTTGTATATTTTTAATATTAAGATGTATTAAGTCCCCCGTTCTAAATATATGTTTCATTTAACATTTGAAAAATACCTCTGGGATATTTTCTAGATTTTTCTAAGTCTACAAATTGGTTTTTCTTGAAGAATATAAAAAGCGATTTAAGTGGTTTTTAACACAACATTTTAATATATTTAGGATCTATCTATGCAAGTTTTTCGTTCTCCAGTCGAACAAATCGTCCACACTGCAGTCTTCCTCGCTTGAACTTAATTCAGGATCTATTTCTACTTTGGGAACAACTCGCCTTTTGTTATTCAAGAGCAAAGTTTTCTGATCGTTTATTTTAATGAATCTCTTCCAGTTATCGATTTGCTCGTCTATTTCCTTAATGTGCCTCTTGAGATTGATGTCTTCCTGCTCGTCGGCTACAATCACACTGGACTCCGGTGTCAGCTCTCTTGATCTCCTGTTGGAATCGCTGCCACTCCTCGTCTTGAAGACGGGCTGCCTCGGATTTACTGGTCTTGTCCTCGTCGAAAAACTTTTCTGGCAATTTTTCGGAAACGGTTTCAGTGACAGTCTTGTTGCTTGAGTTTGGCTGAGTGGGTTTCTCTTGAATGATGGGAGTATTCTTTTCTTGGCTGGTATGAGGAGTTTTATCCGGATGAGCGCTGGATTTGGGACAGAAGTCGAGCTGTCGAAGATGGCACTGATGGTTCCTTGGGGGCAGTATTAGTGACAGGTTTATCTATTTTATTCTGCTTGGCCTGATCCACATTTAGCTTGTGTTGCTTGGAGTTGATGTGCACCTTCCAAACGCTGGGCTTGATGGGAATCCTGCAAATTATACAGGTCAAGGTTCCTGCGGAGTCATACGTATAATTAGTTTAGTTAAGGAAACCATAAAGAGAGGCATATAGAGGCATATAAATATTAATTAATATAATTAACAAAACAATGTTTTTTAAAGAATTTTTGGAAAACACCGGCTAAAAATGTAAATAACAATTGATCTCTGTGTTTTAAAAGGATATTTGGCCAAGGGTGAGTCCACTGTGACAGCTGGCTTTTTAGAAACGCTTAGTTTCTTTTGAAGGCGTTTAATATTTCCATTATTCATGTTGATTTGTAATTTTGGTTTGTCGGCATTTTGGGGCATCAGATGGGAACGAGTTCACTGAACTAGTTCTGTTTATCGAAAACTAGTTCTTTTCATAACTAGGATGAGCAAACTGGCGATTATTTGAAAATTGTGTTTCTTGAAGAATGTTAAAGAAACGAATGGAATGGATCAATATAAAAAAAAAATATAATATTTTAAGTTGGTAGGTACATTTTTTAACTTTACTTATTTATTATTAACATCATCAAGGAAACTAAAAGTCATAGCAAAATATATACTACCTACAAATCTTTTAAAGTGACGTTCTACTGGGTCTTTTCATCGATTGCCCTATCGATAACACACCTGCGACCGAGTTGGCAGTCTACCCGGCAATTTTTTTAGACTACGTGTCTAAGCGAAGAATGTGTCGTTGCATTTCAGATCGGTTTTAATTTTCGAGTTACTGGCTGGAATTGGGACATGAATCGGACGCCGAAGATGCTGAACAGCAAGGTGGCTGGCTACAGCAGCCTGATACCTTCGCCATCCTGCTAATTGCCTGGCTGGCCGGATTTTCCTCTCGCCTCTTCGCCGTCATCCGCTTCGAGTCGATAATCCATGAGTTCGATCCGTGGTTCAACTACCGGGCCACCGCCTACATGGTGCAGAATGGTTGGTACAACTTCCTCAACTGGTTCGACGAGCGGGCCTGGTATCCGCTGGGCAGGATTGTGGGCGGCACAGTGTACCCCGGCCTGATGATCACCTCGGGCGGAATCCACTGGCTGCTGCACGTACTCAACATTCCGGTCCACATCCGTGACATCTGTGTGTTCCTGGCACCCGTCTTCAGCGGCCTGACCTCCATCTCCACTTATCTGCTGACCAAGGAGTTGTGGTCCGCGGGCGCCGGCCTCTTCGCCGCCAGCTTCATCGCCATTGTGCCCGGCTACATCAGTCGGTCGGTGGCCGGATCGTACGACAACGAGGGCATAGCCATCTTCGCCCTGCAGTTCACCTACTTCCTGTGGGTGCGCTCCGTGAAGACGGGATCCGTGTTCTGGTCCGCCGCAGCCGCTTTGTCCTACTTCTACATGGTCTCCGCGTGGGGAGGCTACGTGTTCATCATCAACCTGATCCCCCTGCACGTTTTCGTGCTGCTCATCATGGGTCGGTACTCTCCGCGCCTGCTGACCAGCTACAGCACCTTTTACATCCTGGGACTGCTATTCTCCATGCAGATCCCCTTCGTGGGATTCCAGCCGATTCGCACCAGCGAGCACATGGCTGCCCTGGGAGTGTTTGTGCTCCTGATGGCCGTGGCCACCTTGCGCCATCTGCAGTCCGTGCTGTCGCGTCATGAGTTCCGGAAGCTGTTCATCGTCGGAGGATTGCTGGTAGGCGTTGGTGTTTTGTGGCCGTCGTGGTGCTCACCATGCTGGGCGTTGTGGCACCGTGGAGCGGACGCTTCTACTCTCTGTGGGACACAGGCTACGCCAAGATCCACATTCCCATCATTGCCTCCGTGTCGGAGCATCAGCCCACAACCTGGTTCTCGTTCTTCTTCGATCTGCACATCCTCGTTTGCGCTTTCCCCGTGGGAGTGTGGTACTGCATTAAGCAGATCAACGACGAGCGCGTCTTCGTGGTGCTGTACGCCATCAGTGCGGTCTACTTTGCCGGCGTGATGGTCCGTTTGATGCTGACCCTTACGCCAGTGGTGTGCATGCTGGCTGGAGTGGCCTTCTCGGGTCTGTTGGATGTGTTCCTGCAAGAGGATTCCTCGAAGCGAATGGGCACAGCTATAAACACGGCAACCGAAGTGGATGAAGCCGAGGACTCCATTGAAAAGAAGACTTTGTACGATAAGGTAAGTCTTTATTGCAACAGATTCCTTTGTATTGCTTTAAAAAAATCTTATTTGTAGGCTGGAAAACTGAAGCACCGCACCAAGCATGATGCCCAGCAGGATACTGGCATCAGTTCGAATCTGAAGAGTATTGTTATTTTGGCCGTTCTAATGCTGTTGATGATGTTCGCTGTCCACTGCACCTGGGTGACCAGCAATGCCTACTCCAGCCCCTCCATTGTGCTGGCTTTCCACAACAGCCAAGATGGGTACGCAAAATATAGCATTTTATTATATAAGTTACCTCCTACAACATACTAACTTTTTCTCTTCTCTTTTAGATCTCGCAACATTTTGGACGATTTCAGGGAGGCTTACTACTGGCTTTCACAGAACACTGCTGACGATGCCCGAGTGATGTCTTGGTGGGATTACGGATACCAGATAGCGGGCATGGCAAACAGAACTACGCTAGTGGACAACAATACGTGGAACAACAGTCACATAGCGCTGGTCGGCAAGGCCATGTCTTCGACCGAGGAGAAATCCTACGAAATTATGACATCTCTTGACGTGGACTACGTCCTGGTAATCTTTGGCGGTGTGATCGGCTACTCCGGCGATGACATCAACAAGTTCCTTTGGATGGTTCGGATTGCTGAGGGCGAGCATCCCAAAGATATCAAGGAAAGCGATTACTTTACCGACCGCGGTGAATTCAGGGTGGATGCCGAAGGTGCTCCGGCCCTGCTTAACTGCCTTATGTACAAATTAAGCTACTACCGATTCGGGGAATTGAAATTGGACTACAGGTAAGAGGGACAATTTATTTCAGGTAGATTTTCTAACTAATACCTTTTTCAGAGGACCGTCGGGATATGATCGCACTCGAAACGCAGTCATCGGAAATAAGGACTTTGATCTGACCTATCTGGAGGAGGCCTATACCACAGAACACTGGCTTGTTCGCATCTATAGGGTTAAGAAGCCGCATGAGTTTAACAGACCATCCCTGAAAACCAAGGAGAGAACGATTCCCCCAGCAAACTTCATCTCCAGAAAGGTATTATAAAAATATCTTTAAATGAAGATTTATTACATGTTATTACTTTTCAGAACTCGAAGCGCCGCAAGGGCTATATAAGAAACCGACCGGTTGTTGTTAAGGGAAAACGAACCTTGAAATAAACCCAAATAATAAATGTATTGATCTTTCACCAACGTAGAAAACTTGGTTAAAACACTTTACACATAGCACATGGTTTGGTGAAAGTGTTTCCACCGCATCCTCATGTTGAGGGCTTTAATTGCCGCCCCAAAATAAAATTTAACATATTCCCAGACTCGTGTGACACAATATTTATCGAGTTGCTTCCTTGATGAAATTCCTGGTTTCCTTGATTTCAACTGTTTCGCGGCTCCACCATTCATTGTCTTAAGCTAGCAATTCAATAAAGCAGGTGTACATTTTTAAACCTTAAGAATGATGTTGTATTCCAGTTATTCTTTTATTTTGAACAGGAGAATACTTCATTTAAAAGTGCTGCTAATTATCATTACGTCGTCGCCGCTGAAGTTTGCGATCCAAGTCCCTTGACTTTTGCTTCTTGTGGGGAACGAAAACAGAAGAACTGAATGCGTTATCATCCTCATCGAGTTCATTTAGGCCAGAAGATTTGGGCAGCACCAAGTTGCTGGAGTCGAAATTGAACTCATCGTTGGAATTGGCCAGTTGCCGGCGAAATACGGCGGCACTGTTTGTAATCCGGGCTTTGGGATGGGATGGCGGGAGCCAGGAGACAGTTTGAGTGTTCGAATTATAAAAGTAATAGGCCTTGCAGCCCTTGTCGTATATGTCCTTCCATCCCGCCTCCAGGGGATACTTTCGCAGCAGTCTCTTGTAGCGCTTCAGATACTTGTGACTTGGTTGGGAGTGCGAAAGCGGGGAGCTGTTGAACTTATTCACGCAGTACAGCGAGCACTTGTGGTATATGTTGTACTTGTTGGGGCACAACTTATATCCGTGATAGGACTCATTCACGCCAATCCGCTCCTTGATGCGGTGCGACCAAACTGCTCCTCCGTGCTCCTGCGTTTGGGTTCCGGTGCGGTGTCCTCCTTATATGGATATGGGCCACTCTTGTCATCATCGTCGTAGTTTTCGGCTATATTTCTTCTATAGCTTCCGATATTGGTGTGGTTCCTGAAAGAAAAGTTGGTTATCTTATCTATTTCATTGTAATTACTATAGCTTGCTATTTACCCGATTGTTTGCTCACAAGTCCTCGCTTTTAAGCCGCTGCAACAAAGCTGCCGGTAAGCTCATCTTTATTATTAAATCCGGGTATTGTTTACGTTTTGATAAAATAAATCTACAACATTTATAAGACCATTGCCTACATGTGTTATAATACCAATGTTAATGAGCGTTCCGTTTTGTAAATGCTAGAATAGGTATTTTTGTGCCAATGTCCCACGGTCATACTATTTTCAGCAAAAAATAATATTTCAGGTCAGGTTATTTTTGCTGGATATTTCAAACTTAAAGCAATATGGCCGATAACGCAGAACCACTGACTTTGTCAAGGGGTAAGGATTCATAGTTAGTATAAACAGATAGTCGGAACATACGCTAAACACCCCAAATTTCAGATGTCAAAAGATCGATAGAGCTCTTGGAAAAACTGCAATCCAGTGGAGACTTCCCCACAACAAAACTGGCAGCCCTGCAGAAGGTGTAAATCCGACTTTATGACCTCCGTGCGAGAGGTTACGAACATGTCTACGAGACGTTGACATCCAGGGATCCCACGACGTTAGGGCTTCCGCCACTGCCAAGGCCACCGTGGCTGCCTTCGCCGCCAGCGAGGGGCACGCACATCCCCGAGTGGTCGAACTGCCCAAAACGGAGGAGGGTAAGCCACGCCCTTTGATCATAAAATTCTGGGAGACCCCTTTACCAACACTAAATGTTGTAACTAAAAGAGTACCATGAACATAAGAAATGTAGATATGATTGAAATCTAAGGGACTACCCAAAAAAACTATCAGAACAGATTAAAATATTAAGTGTTCCTTGCATAATCAGAATAGAATCATAACATTTCTTTGAACCAAACATACAGAATCATACATATCATATCTTTGTACTTGGTATACACCGTAGACCCTATATAATCAGGTGAAATATAATTGTTTTTTCAGGATTAGGTTTCAATGTAATGGGAGGCAAGGAACAAAATTCACCCATCTATATATCTCGTATAATTCCTGGTGGAGTGGCGGACAGGCATGGTGGACTGAAAGAGGGGATCAGCTTCTATCTGTTAATGGTGTGGTAAGTTAATAAATTATTTACCTTATCTAGTATTGAGACCTACAAAATCGATTATTCAGTCTGTTGAAGGAGAAAATCACGAAAAGGCCGTTGAGCTGCTGAAGCAAGCTGTTGGATCCGTGAAGCTGGTTGTACGCTATACGCCAAAGGTTCTTGAAGAAATGGAAATGCGTTTTGATAAACAACGCAACACACGTCGCCGTCAATAATGCACATTGGCAGTAAATTAAGCCATATTAGATTTTGCCACTAGACCATACTGTTATTCACGTGCGTAAAACAACCCTACGAATAATATAATTTAATACAAATACCTTTTAAATATTATTTATTACAAATAACTCTGCAAATGACTCGTAAATCGTAAAAAGTGAGTGTTATGTATTTATACCTAAAGTACCGTGTTGGTTTTTGTTCCAATAAAATTAAATGAAAACAATTGCCGAACAAAAAAGATTATTTTTTCTTAAATGAAATTTAAATCATATCATGTATATTTCCCCAGATAAAAAAATGTCTACCTTTGATTTTCAGTACGATAGCAGTATTAAATATAAAAAATACATTTTTATTGCTTTTCTGTACAACGTATAGATTACTTTTATAACTTAGGAGAAGGATCGGTTTTTCAATTTTTTAAGAAAGTCCTTGGCTTGCTTATCACCTAGTCTATATTCCAGGGCTTGTAGCGACTCGGAATCTGAAAATAAATTTTTTTATTTGGTGCTCTAAATTTTCCACCTCTAGAAAACGTACCTGTGTATTCTGGTCTGGATAAATTCATCATAATTTGTTCGCCTAATGGTGTTTCCTCGATATCTTCGAATGAAATATAGCTTTCTGCTATATACTGGCTGGACATCCCAAACAAATCTTTATCTTTGATGCTGAATACAATAAGGCTATTTTTTTCTTTGCGCTGTTGTTCGCTTAAGTTTCTGTTGAAGAATATTATAATATGTGACACAATTAAAATTATATAAATTTTTACTTACATACGAAACTCCTGTCGTAAAGTGGAAAACAACTTTTATTGTGCACGTTGTCTTGACTGTTGATAAATCGTTGAATCGGCTTGTAGGCATGAAGCTAGCCTTAACAAATGAGTCCACCGTGCCATTCGAATCCATTGGCATTAGATTGCGTGCATTTAAAATATTAACTATAAAATGAAACAAATTAAGCAAACATAAAATATTATGAGGATTAAGTTGCATACCAGTAACCCGGAATCAGTAAATTGAGCCGTTACAGTAAGTTGTCCATAGGGAGACGACTCTTGGTTCTTTTGCGTTTCCAGACGCTCCAAATAATACTGATGAATAAGATCTGCTGTTTCCAGGGAATACAGCCTTAGTCTACTTTGAATTGAAGACAGAATCTTTACGTCGATGTCTGAAGGTTTCCCATTTTAAAACAATCCATCATTGTCTGAAGAGTATTGTTTAAATTTTGGAAGAAGGCTGGCGGACGACGTTTCTGCAAGTAAAAATATATTGTTAAAAATGATCAGGGGGTGAGAAAATGGACTTACGTCAAGGTTTGATTGAATAAGGTCATACATATTATGGACAACTCAGACCAAATGCCATCCAGTATCCTTTGAAAGTTGATTTCATTAGAGTATCGTAAAGCGTGATAAAGAGCCTTCCAAGTACATCATTAATTGGTCCATTGAGTTGGAGTCCTTGGCGAGCACCTCGGCACCTTCTGCCAAATATCTTTTAATTGGCGGTGCCATTTTTCGGGCTACAATCTCTATAAGCTCAACGATCTGATTGCGCTCGGTGTCCAAGGCGTTTTCAATAACAGTTTTGATGGTGTTTGCGCATCGTTCAGCCTCTAAATTTGTGCGGTACTCTCCCAATCTCTTAATTATATCATCAATGCTAAGTTCCTAAAATAATAAAAATAAAATAATTATTGTCCCATTTAATGTATAAAAATTTACCTTTATGAATGAAGGTAAGGTCTGGCGGATGTAATCCATGTTGTTAATAGCTATGCACCACTCTTCTGACAAAACTATAAAATATATAAGTATGCTTTAATGATATGGAATTAGATATTAACCAAAGAAACTTACTGAAATTCTTATTATTATCATCAACAATGAAAATGTTTTCCACCCTGCGAGACATCTGTTGGGCATAAAATATACAGCACCGACAAAGATCCTGTAAAATTATGGTTAGTCCTGCAAAGCATACGATTATGGTGAATTAAATATCTTACATTGACAATTTTGGCCACAAAATATAGGAACCCTCGACTTCTGGCCAGTCAAGTTGTTGCCAAAATATCTTAATTTGATAGAATATTGAAAGTGTGTCCACTGCGGAAGAGCTGTATTTAACAGTTTCGTCCACAGCTTTCAGCTGATCCAAGTCAATTGCTTTCTGAATACGACTTAAAGCCTTAATTATTGAAATATCAACCAGTGAGTAACGCCCCTTTCGAACCAGGGGTAAAAGTTTCCTAGTTCCAGGCTTTCGGAGCAAAGAGATTCGCCTATAAATATGAAAAGCAAAGTTTTATTATTTCAGTTAAAAAATAAGTTTATAAATACTTTACCCAATGCAACATATCGTTTGAGTATTAAATAGACCTCGAATAGAGTTGTCCCATATTAACATTATCGAGATTTGGTAAATATAAGAATGATCGTCTGGCACATCCAATCTCTTAATGTTATTGCACACTTCTATTATAATGGATTTACAAATTTCAGCAAGTTTTGAGTCATAAAATAAATAAGGATGCGGAATATTAAGCTGAATTTTGCTGAAATGGAAGGATTATAAATAAAAAATCTTATGTTAAGAAATAAAAAACTTACTGGTAAAATATTTTATCAAAGTATTCCATTGCACGTTGTAGGTCAGACCGAACCATCTGTATGAGTTTTATGATGTACTGGAGCTTTCATCATCGGTTTCATTGTTTTTGGATTGCCGGCTGCCCTCCACTATGTGCTCCACCATTCCTTCGTCCCGGTATTGATGCATCCACAATGGCAGTGTCAATATTGCACGTTTCATCGGTGTCGTTTGTGTGCAACCAACCGTAAACTGATTGGGGAAATATCCACACTGTCCGGCACTTCAAGTCTTTAATCTTCTTTAGAATATCCAGCACTTCGTTAAGTGCTCTTACTATATTTTTTCACTGGTGTTTTTGGACCTTAACTTCCGTAGGACTGCGAAGCACGAGGGAAGAAGCCGCACTCCATCCCAGAATGTTTTCACATCTTCTGAATCATTCTGCATGTAGGTAATGACTGGCACTACAATGTCCAGAATAGAATTGAAAAGGGTAAAATTGAGTTTGTGTGTCTCATGGATGATGCTGTAGGCGTGCCACTGGCTAAGGGCACAATCGAAGGGAGTTAAGCCACTCTGGGCAGCGTGCTGGGATCTAATAGTTCGGCATTGGGACTGAACTTCCCGCTCCACCAGTAGTTGGCCACCTGCGAGGTCTCCAGCTCGTACATTAGCAGTAGTTTCAGTAAGTTCTTATGCTCCTGCACGGCGACATTCTTGTTTTCTCCGCACTCAAAGCCAGGTTCACCAAAAGTGATCCTCGACTCCGACCCTTGCTTCCCTTTTCCAGATTATACCAAACGGTTAGCCAGAAACTGGAATAGACTATAGAAACGGATGGTTATAATGGTAAAATATAGTACATTTCGATTATTTTACCTTCAGCGTGATGGCAGCTCTTCCTATTAATTCATTATCATGTTTTCCTGATGAAGCAGTTACAGCTATTTCTTTCATTAACTTGCTTAACCCCTTGACACCTTTCACTTCCAGGATTTTGTTGACTTTTTCCTTAACCGTTTCAGCCGCATCAAAGTCCCTGAAAGGTTAGAACATTAATTTCGTCACAAAAAAGAAAGTATTTTATAACAACTACTCTTCAAAATACGCAACCAATTTAATAAGGTGAATTTTGTAGATACCATACCTCTTGTAAGTTCGATTCAGACCGTAAACCTATTAATCCGTGATTAGTGCGTTTTAGGATTCAAGAAGCGTTATCAACTAGATAACTCAAGATTGATGAGTGCGTTTATTGAACGTAAGCAAACAGAATCACACTTACCAGACTTCAACGATAAGAACTTCTTCACGAGCATTATCGGTAATCGGCCTAAAAAAAGGATAAGTTCTTAACTATGAAAATTAATATTCAACACAATACTTACAGTGAAAAGTGCTCCTCCCATATGGGGTTTAATGTGGCAGGTTTAACAGATGAGTTATATCGATGGGAACCATTCGATTCTAGGTAAAGCGTTACAAAGGATCGGATAAGCCATTTGAGTCCTTGGACATTAAGTTCTCGGCCTTATAATCTCGACATTTAATCTAACATTGGGCGGTTCTTTGAGTCGCGCCGCCTCACAAATTTCCACATGTGTTGCATTCGGAATTTTGAATGCCTCCTGCACAAATTCTACTAATCCGTTTGTGCACTCGTCGTTGTTTTCACAGCCGATGTTGTTGAAAATTTCAAATAATATCTCTTCATACAGATCTGTAACCTGCAAAATAAACATGAAGTAATTCGTAGTATCTGAATAGCATCCAATTAAACGCATGCTACATTTATAACCTATCTATTCAGCGGAGTATTTTAATTGTATTGGAATAAAAATAGAAATAAATCACTTCTCTAAAGGTCACAGCTGAAGAAAATATCGGCAATTCCAGAAAACGGAAGTATAAACAAAACGTCACAAAGAAAACGGAAAACCAGACCCAGCTGATGTCAGGATTGCTTAGATACTTTCTAAAATGCATCCTATATATTATCCAAATCATAAATATTGATTCAGATAAAAATTCAAATCAAATCAATCAAGGCATACCCCATTCAAATTTTGGGCAAACAAATTCCATTGGTTTCTAAATTCTACAAAATTTCCAAACAAACGATTTATGCTTTTGCCAAAAAACAAGTACATAAATATATCCAAAAAACTGAAATACTCGATACACTTAACTCGAATGACTCAACAACAATCTTAAATCAATGAACTTATACAATCGCTTTTGTTTATTTGGAGCTCAAAAATCTGAATGCGATGAACTGTTTCCTTTATATTTTCTCTAGCAGTATATATATTAGGAAGATATTAATAACACCTGTATTTATCCAAACTTTTTACTTACGGTCATCGAATGGCAAACTGCCTTCGCATGGGAATCGAGTAAATGCTTATGTACGCCCCGAAAGTGTCGACTAGAAATGCTTCCATTTCGATTCAATATGCTCTTTCGTCGTTCAAAGGCTTGTTGAGTGACTGAGTGGAGGATGCTTTTCTCGGGAGTCTGATATCGTCGCATCCGGTACGCGTACTGGATCGGGTAAGGCTATTGGTTTTCGAATTTGGGTTAGACGTGTTGTGATTTTGGTAACCGAACTTGCTTAGCACACGTGGTAACGATAAGTAGCTCATGTTTAATTAATGTGTAACTATCTGATCACTCCACTGTATTTAATTTCTTTGGTTGCAATTTTTGGCAAATGTTTTCTTGGAAATATACAATTCGAAACAGACGCACATATTATCTGGTCGGGTGCAGCGGAAAAATCTCGGAAACTCTATGGACTTAAGAACACCGACTAGACCCAACCTCTTCGGAGAAGAGTCTGTATTTAAGTACAATAGCGTCCGGTCTCGAAAATCTTTGCGATATCCGAAATATCTTGACGTTGACCATGAGATAAAAAGTGTATGCGCTCATTTCGATTCAGTTGGCTTACTGTATTTGTGCATATGTACACGGCGATTCCAAAGTGTTTGTGAGTAATAATAAAGCAATCTTAAGAGAAAATGTTTTATTTTTGGATACAAAAAGGAAAAGCTCAAGGTGGTAATGAAAAATGTATTTTCTAAAGTACATTAAGCTTTCCTCTCGTTCAATTCGCCACATTGGGTTGTATGTTTGCATGTTCCCTACTGCTTGTTTATGTTGTCAGTATACATTATTCAGTTTGTTTATACAGACGGTGTATATAGGTAGGTGCATAGGCCTCTGGCAAGTTCATTTGTTTATTGTTCAAACGTTTCTATGGACACGACTTAATTTTTTCTGTTCAATTAAACACCTTCCCAGACGGCAAACATGCGAACAGCAAAATGTTGGTATAAGATAAAACATTGCACGGACGTTAAATGGGTAAGTCGTTATGCTCCGCTGCAAACTAAAAAACTGACCTATGTCGAAATATCCTCAGTAGTCAGGTTTAGAAATTGTGAAATGAATGTGACCAGTCTTAAAGGCCCCCATATCCACCAATACAACCCATGGTGGGTTGCTAGATTGTGAGTTACAATGGTTACCAAAAGCCTTTGCAGATGTTGGTACCGAGTTGAATTTGAGATACCAAAGAACTAGCAACGTTTTAATTCTACAAGCCTAGATATTATTAAAGAAGATCGAAGTACATTTGGATTACGTTCATAGAAAACAACCATTTTTAAATTTCTTTGTTCGTGTTGGTTGCTCAAGGAAGACATTCACAATCTTCAAATGGAAATATTTTGATTTTAAAAATATCTGTTAAACTTATAAATGTATGTGTCATCCCGCGTAAAACTTTCACCTTGTTGTTAATTAGCAAAACGTTATAAAACGATGTCAAGCCCTCAAAAAAAAACAAAAATAAACGTTAACCCTACCCTATTACGGATTCCAGAAATATAAGCATAAAAAATAAAAAAATATAAATGATTAAGGTAAATTATTTATTTTTAAAGAAGCACGTGTGGTCGTTCTTCGAAAGTTTGATTTATAGAAATTACATCATTAGGTTATTATTCGATACCGTTCCTAGTACTGTTTTTAGACAGTTAGACCTATTGACATTAGCTAGAGTACTTTTAAATGCACTGTTTGGAATGCTGTTCGATTATCACCATCCGCTCTGACCTTTCAGCAGCCTTGTCACCCTGATTCATAGCTTGGGGAACTCAAATCTTATGTACCTAATCAACAGATTTCGCCGTTTCTAAACTTACATTCATTACAGGAGATGAGTCCAACACTGATGCGCTAATATCCTTTTCAGAAGTCGATGCCAGTGTACTTTCCGTAGCAAAGGTATCGATACTGGTGCACTCCGGATCTTGGCTGCATTGTAGTGTGCCATCAGGACTTTCGTCGGATTCCTCAACACTGCCATTTTCCTCAAAAGGAGCCAGGGAAGTCTTCAGGACACCCTCATCAATTTGTGATTTTTGTCGCAAAAGGGATCCAAATTTTTCGAAAAATCCATCATCTCCATCTTGTAATCTGAAAGAAAAAATAAAATTAGTAAACCATATCTTGAAAAATGTATAACAATGAACAAACGCCGGCTAGTCATCTCTTAAAGGGGGCTTTATCTGAGGAATAGGATAAGTCATGGAGTAAGTCATAAGATATTGTGTGAGCTTGGGGATAGCATGAAAAATAGCAACAAGAAAATTCCCTGTATCTGAGTCATTTTTACTTTGGCGTGTGGGTTGTAAAATCGATCTGTGGCTTGAACTCCCTTACATCACTTTGATGTCTCACGCACACTTGATAATTCCACTTGATAATCTTTAATTTATCTGATGACACAGTTCCAGTTCTCCAAAATGTTCATATCTGTCTCAAGAATCACACATGCCTGCGAACAAATGTTCATATATCCGTGAGTTTTTGGTTTCCCACAGGTGTGCGTGAGTCTGTTTTTCGGATCGATTTAGCTAAGTAACTTACTTTTGTTCGTGCTCTGTGGGTGGATTCATTTTGAGTTCTTGCAATTTGAAGAAGAACCCCTTCCACATTTGTTCCTCGTCCATTTTAGAGATGATTTTATTAATATTTGGGGAGCAGAAAACACAGGCACGGAATGGGAATCCAACAAGTGTCACCGGAGTGTAGAAACATACTAACGGCTTATTTGCACCGAACAAACGATGTGATTCATTGCCAAAGCTGCTCTCCGACGTAGATTTTTCTCAGTAGTATTTCACATGCTCTGCCGTACACTATCACAAATTATAATTAGGTATGGATGTTTGTAAACCAACATTAGGCGAAAGTAGGGAAATGGGGAAGAGTAGAAAGATACATACATATGTAGTACAACACTGGTTACCATGGTGATCTCTGGATTTCATCTGTATTTTTTGTTTACGATCTTGAAATCCTGCTTTTCTTAATCTTATAATCGTTTAAAATGAAAATACATTTGGAACTAAGTGGTTACCATTCAAGTCTATTTAATGGTATAGTTGCCACACACACACACCTGCATAGATACATGTAAATGGTAGGGCTAGGTGTAAGTGTTGTTGTTGCAGCCACCTTTGCAGACCTTTTCATGGTCAACTACGCATTTTAAAGACTCCCTTTCCGGGGTTCACATAAAGTTTTATCAAACAACCAGTTATTTGTATAAATAACATACCTTATTTTGCCGAAGAACTTTGCTTCCGGACGCCGGAAATAACTCTTTAGCATTATTAAGTCCTTTGCAAGGTAGGGGTATTTGTTAGTTAGGAATAGGCAATTGGGATTATTAAATCCATTGGCAAGTCAAACTCATGCTCATTATACCAGATTAAATTAATAAAAGCGCTCGTTCAATTATGACCCTTTATATTACTATTAATAGATGATAAAATAATTTAAGATTAGATTAGATTTGTTTATGAATTTGGTATTAAAATAGATACTATTAAAACTACCGAATACCGTCATTCGATATTTCACAGATGGCAGCCCTGCAGTCCGATAACCAAAACAAACCCACGGCAATAACAACAATCTGTACATATATTTGTTATTTGCTCAATTTATAAATTAAAAAGTTATGAATCTGAAGTATAAGCGACGGTACGAGAGCTTAAAACGCTCTGTCAAGAGTTATCTGCTGGTAAGATCGTACAACCGAATCTGAACATATGCAAATAGGTGCGATTTCATTGGATGACTTAAGATGCATAGCATTATTTTGTGAATTTGTCTTCGCCTATTGCGCCTTTTATGATCCACTAACATACGTAACCCCATTCCAGGAGAATGCTTCCCTTACCGATGAGATCTGTCGCCTTCAAGCCGAGTTATCTGTCACCCGATCTCAAAGGCTTTACCTGATTGAGCGGCTTATGTTTCATGAGGGTCTCGAAAAGTCGAATAATGGACGGCCCAGTGTTTCTAATGGAAAAGTCGAACCTACTGAATCCGCTTTTGGAGGTCTGAAGAAAAACAAACCGGTGGTTTTGCATAAAAAACCAAACGAAGAGAAACCGAAAAATGTCACTGTCATACGAAAAAGAAGCCCATGTTTCCGATGAATTTGAATAATGTCTTGCTGCACTCACTGGGCGAGATAATATCAGTGAATCAAAATTTCCACACCGAGAGCTGGATATATCCAGTGGGCTACGTGGCCACACGAATTTACGCCCATCCCAAGGACCCACGTAAAAAGTGTGTATTCACATGCAAAATTTTGAATAACGCCGGGATTCCCCAATTTCAAATAATCCCGGATAATGATTTGGATGGAGTCTTCTTCGGAGAAAGCGCCAATACGTGTCACATGGAACTTTTAAACTCTATACAGAGGTCTCCCAGTGTAAAAGTAAAAATACCTTTTGACGTACAAGGCGAGGTCTTCTTCGGCTTGTCGAACCAAAAAACACAATCGCTTCTTATGATGGATCCTGGCTTTAGCCATTGCATAAATTTCAAAGGCTTCGCTGTGCAGAATGTTCAATCGTTAAATAGTGCTTCGTTGTCGTTCGAAACGCTACAAGGGTTTTATCTTGATAAGATATTTTAGTTTGCCTATAAAATAAGATTTTCATAAATATATATAAATTTATAAGAATAAAATAAATATGTATGCAAAAATGAATTTAAAAGGATTGTATTTTATTCCACTTGGTTTCCCTTGTATGACGATTATCACATTTATTAAACCAAACAAGAGTCTTTTTCCATTATAGTTATGATAAAATAAAAAAAAATATTAGTATTTTAGTCCCAAACAGCTGATATTTTGTTCAGTCCATTTTGTCATTGTTTTATTAAAAACGTAATAATAAAATATTTTTTTTCTTACAATTTAATAAAACAAATATGTTTTTAGTAAATTATTTTGTTTTAAAACAATATCGCAGTTATTGGTAGAATATCTAGTGTTAAATTTTATGTTCCGATTTCATATGGTTCATTATATTTAAAATCATATGGTTTTTGTATATAAAAGTGTGTGCATTCGTGCATATACGAAATGGAACAAAAAGTGCAGTTAGTTTTTTTGTTGTGAACTATCGACATTTCTATCTACGACACGAAAAACAGGCTGGCAACCTGCTGTGGCAATCGGAAATACAACCCTCAGGGAGAAACATATGTACACAACACCTATCTGAAAAGTATTAATACAACATTTTTGGAAAGTTGTTTTGGTTGGCGTTGAATTAACCGACAGCAACAGCAGCTGAGGATATAGCGAAGCACCTAAATCGGCCGAGATGGGGAGCATCGAAAAGGCGTGTATATCCGGATTTCTGTGCCGACTGTGTTCCGAGATGCACCGAACAGTAATTCATATTTATAGTGATCATGGCCAGCGTTTGTGTCTTGTTGAGAAAATCAACGGCTACTTACCAATAACAGTAAGTATTATGCAGTACTGGAATGCTGGAATAATTTAAAGGCTTTTAAAAATAAGGTTACACATCATTGACCATGTTTGTATGTACTTGAAAACAGCCATTGCAACAGAGTTTTGCGCAAACAATAGTTTTCCCGATAGGTCAATCTATAAACATTTTGAGGGGATAGTTTATTGATTTATCATAATTTTTATCATTGTTGCAGATTTCTCCGACTGATCCCTTGCCAAAAACCATATGCAAAACGTGTCTTCATCGCGTGGAACAGCATTATTCGCTGCTAATGCGACTGACAAGAATGCGTGAGGAGCGGAAATTTAAGTTAATAGAGTGCAAACCTCGTAGAGAAGTGGTGAGTACTAGAGTTCAGCCCAAGAAGACCCCTACCCTTTATCTATTGATTTGATTTTCCAGAGAAATCCTCGATATCCAGTGTGGAGTCGGACGAGGAAGTGGTGAGTTGTAGAGTATAGTCAATCAAAGAATTTAGGCACAATCTTTTGCTGATTTTCAGAGAAATCAACCCTCGATTCACGAATTCTCGGATGAGGAGGAGCAAGCGGGTCGCCGCAACGAGTCGGGTAATACCGAGACCGAATCATCAACTGGCCCACAGACCCAGGAATCCCAATCCCCCAAGTCAACAGAGACTGTAGTGCCCACACCAAACAGCAGCGAAAGCCACGATGATAGTGGTGCTGGCCCCAGCAATAGAGACCCAAAAGAGACTGGCACCACGGGCAGAGGCACGGGCAGCACCACCCAGGAAGGAGCCCACGTAGATTAATGACTGCCTAACCTCGTCTCTGGTCGGTGAACTATATATACCAGTACTTGACTATGTATATATAGACACAGTTGTGTGTACGTACGTTTAGATTGGAATAAAATAAGCATTTTATTTAATTAACTAGGTAATTTCGAATACAGATAAGTTAACCATTCTAAGGGCTCTTTCTATGTGGCCTCTAGCAGGTCTTTAAATTGGCAGGATGCCAAATCTATGTTAAAAGTACACTTATGGCACATCGCTCAACGTGGCATATCCACTTTGTTTACCTTAATCTTATCGTAGCACATTTTAGTGGCTACATTCTTTTGGCGTGATAGCAGAATGTTCTTTGTTTGCCTTGGCTTGCATCGGTTCCAGTTTATTATTCATTTCCTCGTTGGTTCATCGATTGGAATGGCACAGCAACCTCCATGTTATGGTAGCAAACAATGGTAGTAACATGGTATACATGCCTTTGTATCGTATTACTTGGAATATGGCTGAAAGAGATTTGTGCACCCCTATATTTTGCACCTAAAAATGTCATTGGGCAGGTAGTCTACGAACTACGATACATTTTTTGGGGTCCAGAAAAATAACTTTCGCTAATTCCGCAGTTTAGTTAATTAAAATAATTCTTTAATGTTATTTGATGAACATGTAAACATAGGTAGTTCTTTATACTTATTAAAAATAAGCATTTACATAGATTCGCATTAGAGCCTGTAACACGTGATATTCGAACTTGATAATCTGTTCAATCCTTTGATATGTTTATTATGAACCCCGTGACTATGACTGTCGTTCCAAATTCATATTAATCCTCGTCTGTCTTATGAAATGTTCTTTTTTATTGAGCCTAACAATACGCACGAATCGCTGAATACTTAAAATTGTCAATCAGAATGGTATTATGATAACTTAGTTTATCTTGCTTTTCCTATCACTAATGTTTCCTGCATATAAACGCACACTGATGGAGCACGTATACAATGGGGAAAACACTTGTGCTTGCAATTGTCGTTACATCTTAAGTTAGTAAACGTATATTGTTTTTAGTTGCGGCTTCAATTCTGGAGGTATCACTGGAGTGTGTTCCACTTTTCGAGTAACTAAGCGCTTGAACCGTCCACTAAATTGCTTGCGAAATCCTTTAAAGCTGCTTTTATCACTTGATGCCATCATGTCCTGGAAGAAAGAAATGAAATTTATTAGTGAATTTTTTTTAAAGTGGTAATGTTAGTAATACAATTCAAATATATACTGAAACAGCGAATGTATAAGATAAGCTGTGTTTTAAATTTGTTGTAAGTCTTACTCATTTTTTTGTTCTTTGATTGTGAGAGTTTGATTTCAGCTTATCAAAAATGTATATTTCAAAAATGCAAAATTCCTAGTATGTGTTGAGAAGTATTTTTTTAAAGATTAACTGAAACAGAGGGTTTCCTGGAAATAAATGCTGTAATTGATTTTTGGGAAAGCCCCTATCCGCTTTATGAACACACAACGAAGGTGAAAGTAAAACCCGGAAATGGCAACAAAAGCGATTTAGACCCTTCATTAAAGAATTCGCTGACATACGATCCCAATAACTTTAAGATTTATTAACCCCAGCTGACCTGAGTATGTATGCGCTGTATGCGGCTCTTCTTATCGCGAAAACGATTTCTCAAAATAGATCCATTAAATGCTGAATGCGGCAAGTGTAATGCCTATAATATATTGCCAAATGTCCGTATGTCTGTTCATACTTCCATACATACTAATGATTTAGACGGCAATTGTTGAAGTGCAAACAATTTGTTTCCTCTTTATCTTCCGCCAACACACGAGCGCACAAAGACTAGGAACTATATATACTATGTATGAACGGTCACCCGTGGAGTATCTAATAATCGTTACGTCATGATAATCTGCACTGGGCAGGAAACATGTGCGAATCGTGAAGAGATAGTAAAAGAACAATGTTCGAGGGAAAGTAAAAAAATCACATATCAAAAATATATGTAGTTCCTTTTCCATTTCATTTTGATATGGTTATAATCTTGAATCTTAAATGATCTCATATCTTATGAACTTTTCTTTCAGTGCGAACTTACGGGGCTCAGGCAATTGTAGATATGCGGAGTGGGCGCTTTTGGGGGAAATGTCCACTCCGTTTGAGACGAATTCCCATTCCCGTTCCCGTTGGCGTCGCAAACAGCTGGTGCATTACTGGTCCTCACGAACGTAACGCTCTGGGTTTGTTTGGCAGGTGGTGAAGACGATGTTGATGAGGCCTTGCCCCTGGACCTTTCCTCGCACGGTTCCTTCATTTTTATGTGGTCGTCCCAGTAGCGCGTAAATATATTTTTGGTGTGGACTTCGGCGTTTGTGGACGATGGATGCGGATGCGGAGTGGGGGTGTTCAGATAGTCGGTTACAGAAACATCACGTTGACAACATTTACTGCGGACAAGACGCATCGTTAATTTCCCAGTGATACCCTCGATCGGTGCAAAGTTAGTTCATTTCGCAAAAACGTTTTTTTTTTAGGTACACGCGTATCACAGATGGTTTATGTTTTTGTTTTTCTTTTTGGGGGGGGCTATAGCTATATCAGTATGATATGTATAGACATTTGCTATATGTCGACCATTGGCGGAAGAGGTTTTCGGTATACTAATGTCTCGCCTGTCTGTGTTTTATTTTCAGGTAGGCGCTACCCAGCGTTACAGCGCGACTAGAATATCGATTTTCTGTACATGGGCTGGCCTTTTGGGTGGTGAGTTAGTCATGATGGCTGCGCACTATACTTTTAGCTCAGCCCTACTCCGAAGTTTTGGCTTTCTGTGTCTGGGTCTGCGGATCTCCTTTGTGGGGCTAGCGTTGAGTGCCTCTATTGCGACTTCCTTCCCCGAGGAGGTGTATTTATAGGAACGACAATGACACTTTTCATCTTTTCAATGCTAGATATAACTTACACAATATCAATTTTTGTTTTTCACTAGGCCAGGCCAAACAGAGGTAGAAGCAGAAACAGAAGCAGACAAACGTGTCGAGTATTTTCTAGTCGTCGTGCAAGGGAAAAATGCGATTAATGCTGGCACTCTTCACTACATCCACAGCCACGCTATGGTTGTATGTTTGCACATTTTTTTTAACTGCTTTACACGTAAGTACACACATTAGTATTTGACTTCAGTTCGGTTTGGATGGCAACGAGTATCTGAATACTGAACTCGACTGGGACTCTGAACAAAAGCAAAATATTAATCTGACTCATGTGGCTCTCTGCAGCTCTGCAGCAAACAGCACAGCCAAAATATCAATCGAAAGTCGGGTCGGTCGGTTCGGTGCGAATGCTCTCTCGATCTCTCTCCCCGCTCTCTGGGGTAATACCATATATACTATATAATATTCGGATTCGTATGTACTCCCCGCTCTTTGCAAGACCTTCTGACGTCAACTGACATTTGGTGGGCACTGTGTTTTCACAAACCGCAGGCACGTAAGTGTGCGCGTTTGTATGAAATGGTATATAAATAGCGGGTTCTGAGTGATTTACCCAAGATAAAATAATTCCGATTCCGGGGAAAACGCTAACGACCGCAAAACTCCCAAAACAAAACAACACGATCGTGAATATAACGTTTTAGGAAACGAAACGCTGTTTCAAATGAAATGTTCCACGCCAAACTATCATCGCACTTAAGTAATTGGCTAGATTGCTAGCCGAGCTAGCCTCTGAACTCGGATGTTAAACGGACCGCAGTCCCGCTCTAAATATTTCTGTTTGTTTGCACGCTAATTAATTGAAACCAATTAAGAGATAGGAAGGTATTGTTTGCGATACAAATCTTTTGATACAGATCTTTTGCGATATCAAGTGCTGCGTGTTTCTATTCCGCCGTTCCCCTGGCGATTTCGTGGCGTTAGGAATTTCATAGTTGAATTTTCGCGCTCACTTTTTATCTTTGTTTGTTTACTTAATATGACATAAGCCAAGTGATTAAATACATGTACACTCATTTTTTGTTTTAGTAATAATATTAATTTTATTTCGATTTATTTTTTGCTTTTACTGGGTCCGAACTGAATATTTTGGCCACCTTCTTTGTAACAAAGAAGACGGCGACCAATGCAACAATACCCAAAGTCGCCAAGGATGTTAAATTTTCAGATTTGAAATAGCTCTGAAGTGGTCCCAAAAACTCGTTTCTGAAAGTGGGAAAGTATAGTTATTAGTTAAGTTATTCTTTATAATGCAATGTGTGGTATTAAATTCGATCTTCTCAAACCAGGAACTGTTTAAACCAGGGTAATATTGATTATCGTTATATTGTTTATGTACAAACTATTCAATTATGGATATTATACAACGGTTATAATTAATATTTGGTTTGATATTAATCAACGGAGTAATATTAACAATATTTAATGCTCAATGGTAAAATTCGGGTCTGTGTTGAATGCCCTCAAACTGACGTTATATGCAACCTTGCACCGGGGACTAAAAATCATTATTTGTTAAGTTAAAACGTTATAATAATTATGTAAACAATTAGTTAAAAGGTCAATCTTGCTCACTTACTAAAGACATGTTTCAGTTTCTCACAAATCCCTATAAAAATGTCATAATCGACTTTGAGTTTAATATACGATCGAGAGAGATATAGTTCAATAGTAACTAAAGAATACTTACACGGCACTGGGAAGTTCTGGTACTGGCTGAGGATGGCTCTGGGTTAGATATCCCTTCTCTGCAAACTGGACAAATGCTCGGGAGTGTATTGCTTGGCCGAGTACTTGTACATCTTTCCCTGCCGCAAGCTATGAATATGTATAGTTAATATTGGTTTTTCATAGACAAATTAAGTAGTACGTACAAGATAAAAGCCGGTGATTCCAAAGCTCCAAGTCTCTTGGCCGTTGAGATTCCAGACTCCAAGCTGTTCATGCGGGCTATATTCAACTTTCGCTTGAGCTTTCCGCCCACGGATTCCCAGACGGCATAAAGCCGCTGACATACGGTACACTCGGCGGAAGAGCTAGAAGTGGGTGTTGGTAAGTATACATATTTTATGACGCTTAGACGGCGACCTCAACGCATGACTAATATAGCTTACAAGAAGATAAACCAGTCTCCGGTGGTGGCCCCCGATGAGGCTTGTGTCAGATGCTCAAAGTTGTCGTCGGAAAGCTCTTTGACCGCTGGCTCCAAATTGTCATTGAAGAAGTCTAGGATTTCGTCATCGTTAATCTCGCCGTGGTAAGAATGGGTATTCCTCGCCTGAAGAAACCAGAGCCGGTTCCTTGCTGGGGTCATAGATGAAACAAGATTGCTATCCACCGACTGAACCACTATGGCCGACAAGGTCTCCTCCAACTGGGGATGTATCTTCGTGACCACATTCTCATACTCCAAGCAACGCTGGCAATTGTTTTTGTCTAAAATTAAAGGAGTTAGTTAGCCAGTAACCGGTGTTAAATAGTCCATATGCACACTGTACACGTAAGCTGGATTTCTTTTTGTATATATACATATATACCCAACTTACTGAATAGGACAACCACATTGCTGCTGCCGGTAAGGAGTTGAATCAACTCGGTGTCGTCCACGCGGCGCAATTCCTGGCCTGCAGCATTGCCCAGACTTAGACCTATAACTATTATGAGGATGAATTGCAGCATTATCTTGCTGTGGAAGTGGAAGTGGAGGAGCGGAGTTGATCACTGGTCAGTTAAGCTGATCGGAACTTTTAATGCCGAAGCAGAGTGAGCCCGGCTATCGATAGTCGTGTATCGTCAACAGTGATGCGAAAGATGGCAGCTCTATGGTTTTAGGAAATTTGATTAAAAAAAAAAAAGAATATTGAGAATAAAATATTTTGCAATAAAAATATGTATCAGTAACATAAATTACATAATTCAAATAAATAAAGCGGAACAAATATAAAAATTCTACAATATTCTAAAAAACTCTTATGTTCAGTCGGAACCGCACCACATTTGACCAAGTTTATAAGACCTATCCAAAGGAAAGTACGCCGGAAATGAAAATTACCATTTGAATTTTCTTCATATCTTTATAAAGTGTACGAAAACATGGATTTAAAATAGTTTCATCGAAGGTTACATTTCTGAAATTACTTTAACGGCACTTACCTTATTTTATTAAAAACAACAGGTGTAACATATAATTAAGTTTTATTTACATATAAGCGAAATTTAAACAAATAAATAATCAAATGTAATACAATTTGTAATAATACATATTCAACTAATTTTTGGATGGATCTACGACCTTCTTCCCTCAAAATTTTCTATAGAGTTTATTACGAAATCGTAAAGATCTTCAATTTGTTGAGCTAATTTATCTGAAAAATAAGAAATATTAATTTTTATTGAAATCAGTTCATTAAAACACCTTACCCTTATCTGTTTCTACAAGTTTACTTTCCATGCCATCGCTCTCGCCAGATCCAGACATCATGTCGTCCTTGAAAATATTTTTCAGCTTTGGCAAAACCAAAAGCAGGAAAATCAAACCAATAAACTTGACAATTTTCTTGAATATCAAGAGCTTCAGCAATATCTTTCCAAGTGTATATAAGTTGATCTTGGACTTAAGTTTTTCCAGTAAACCTTCGTGCGAATGGTAGGGCATGGGGGGAGCTGGCTTATAAAAGGGTGGAGGTGGGGGCCATACGAAGGATATCCGGGGGAGGTCCATATTCAGGAGGAGGAGGAAGATAGTTGTTGTTCGGAGGGGGCAGGTAGTTGTTGTTTGGAGGTGGATTATATTGGTATCCATTATTCGGAGGCAGGTACTCCGGTGCGGGGGTGGCTGGAGGTAGGTAGCTGTTGCTCGGTGGAGAGCTATAGCTGTAGCCTCCATTGTCGTTGCCTAATACAAAACAAATAGTTTAATTACAATAGTTTTATCAATTATCAAGTTCAAGTTTCCGGACTGTTTAAACGCCCTAAGTCGAGAACATCCCATTCAGTTCTCTTTGCATTCTCTTAAGGAGTTTCGTAGTTAATCCTTTCCTTAATTCATCTATCTCTTGGCGTATCTCAGAATCACAAAAATAATCCTTCAAAAAGAAGTATTTTTTTAGATTTTAATACATAGGTACACAATAGAACTTTTATATATCCGTTCAGGGGGTTAAATTTGGTTTTCATTATTAGAATTCAAAAATTTTCCACATATTTCTTAAATCTTTTTGTAATTCACGCACCGAAGTCCAAAGAATTAGAACTTTGAATATCCCCGGAGTAGCTATCCGCAAGGCAACCACAAATGCAGGAAGCGCATATCAGAACGGCAAAGTATTTATTACGCATTTTTTCGATCGCGGTGAGATATGAGTTAAACGGTTCCTAAAAGTACAATAAACGGTTTTCTTGACTACCGTCTCTTTATAAATTTCGACTCGAAAACATTGTTGCAAAGAAAATATCTGCCCGACGCATGTACGTATGTGCAAGTATTTATAACTGCCATTGCTTTTCCCCCGTAAGGCTTGGCCCCTATAGTCATAGGGCATATATGCAGCGTTAAGTTGAAGTTGAATCACTTGTGTATTCTTCCAAGAAATGCTACCGTCTCACGTGCTGTTCAGTATTCATGCTACGTGCAATCGCTTGGATTGTGTTGGAGATTTCGAAAGAGACGCAAAAAGTTCAATATAACTTTCACTACCCAACTTTCAAAAAGCCTGAAAATAGCAACTGCCTATATAGTATTTGCGAGTTTGAGTTTAGGGTTTGGGGTTTCGGCTATTTTTTTGACAAATTGTTAAACCCGTTTGGTGGGAATTAACGATTTGCATAAGTGACCCAGATTGATGACATTTCAGACAAGTCTTACGAATGCAATACTTTGAATGACTTTGGGAAGATTTGAAAGTCTTGAACATCATTGTTTTCATACTCAAACTATTTCAATAGGAATATGGCATAGGTAGTTGGTATGCACCATAGTAATTAATATCTAATATAGTCAACGGATCTTCAGCTTGGTTAATGGGCCACCACACAGCTTGAATTCGAAATGAATTTATTAGTTTTTAATTGAAGGTACACTGGGACATTACTAATTTAATAATAAAATACATAATGGTACTTAGATTGACTTTAATTAAAAAAAAAAACTGTTTTTACTATTTAAATCGAGATGAAAAGGTCCAAGGTGAAATATCAACAAAATGACCTATTTTGATCTGGTATTGCTGTGTCATTATCCAATCTCACTAATTTAGATTTGCATTATATAATCTTTCGGAATTGATCGATTATACCAGATTCTATAGAATTTCAAAGATAATAAGAAAGTCAGCACTGTAATAAATTCTTATTTATTAAGACAGAAAATAACTTATATAAATATGATTTCAAATATTTTAAAAATGTATTTGAACTTTGGGGAGTATTCCAAATTCCACCGTCCCGCATTTCACCTCCCGTATTTTGACGCGCATTTGCATTTGAATATTTAAAAATCCCCTAATTTTCGGCAAGCGGTACGGTCTTACTACGCCTTGACTCAATTAGTATTTACAATTGGAACGCTGATAAAAAGTGAATAAAATTGTTGCATCGCAGGCGAAAGTGGGATCAAATGGACTCGGCACAGGAAGACGGGACCTGCACGGATGTGTTTCTGGTCACGGCGAACGTTGGCAGCCTCTTCGAGGACGTACGTAGAGCCGTGAAATGGATGTGCCATGTCCATAGGGCTAGGAAGTATACATGTTTACGTACGGCCCCCCATACATACACGATGCGTAAATCGCATATTTATGTATGGACCGCTGACATAAATATGTATATCCGAATCCGTGTTTCCAAACAAATTGGTATTCCGTACGCCCGCCCCCCGATAATCGAATTTCCAACAAACTTTGCAGCCGGAGAGGCTACTGCAGCTATGGCTCCACGAATTCCTCGCCAAGATATCGCACGTACAGCCCCGATTTCTGGCCCTCCACCTTCAGGAAGTGGGCGGGAAGACCTACGAGAAGTCCATGGAGTACGTCCAGGAGTTCATCAGGTGCCTCTGCGATGCCCCCGAAATGGGCGACTTCACCTGCGTTCACATCTTCATGGACGAGGATTTCAAGTCAGCCGAACACTTTACGGTGGGTGAATCGTGTTTCTAGGTCAATCAAGCACATCGACAAAAGATTCGGATGAGATGAGGCAAAGGCCTACGGAAAGCACTCGTTCAATTAAAAGTATACCGAAAATGTTTCAGAACTTTAATTAAGTCACTGGGCTTAGTCATGAAGCATGAGTTTGTTTTCCATTCATCACAGAACCGCCATTTCCTTGGTTCCCAAAAACTCGTACGCAAAAATACACACAGCTGTGTTCAAAAATATAGGGTTTTCAAAAAACCAAATAATACTGATAAGGAACCACTTAAATAGGGCTATTTTTAATTTTTTCAACGTATAGTTTTATTTATTTCTTTTTTAGGCCCTTGGAAGTCTCTACTTTGTCCATAAGGATGTTGCTTCCTTGAAAATATGGAATTTCCTAACCCACAGTTGGGAAGAAAGTCTTCAAGATGTTAAAGATAAACATATCTATTCCGGAAATATTGAAACCATTGCCACCAAGGAGAAGTCCAAATTCCCACAGCATTTCTTTCCGGAGGTAAGTTTTAAGACTACTACCAGTATATATAGATTAAACTTGTCCTATATACGATTCAGTGCAAATGGTCCCGAAAAGGTTTTATGCGAACTCGCTGGGAAATCAATGGCACAGTCATCGATCTAGTCAACATACACTTATTCCATGATGCTTCCAATTTGGCAGCATGCGAAAACTTTCCTTCCGTTTATTGTAAGACTCGGAGAAGAGCCTTGGTGCATACCATTGAAAGGTAATTTTAATTATAGTTATCTAAAAATAATATTAACTTGACCACCTATAAACAGGTTCCATTTGGACGAGCAGAATGGCACTGTGCCATTTTTCCTCTTTGGGGATTTTAATTTTAGATGTGACACTGAAGGCGTTGTGAAAGTAAGTTTACTATCTAAATTAGCCAACAGAAATATAATAAATATTCTTTACAGGAATTAACTGAAAACTTGACCCCTCATCGCGTTCAAAATGTCAAGAATGAGAACGATAAAATCCATTATCGCAACTCCACTGGAAACAACGTACTTACCGTTGGAAAAAAAGAATTTAGTCATGCCGACCATCAACTTAAGTTCAAAGAAGACTGGGTATGCATACATTATCTATTACAAAGTCCGATAACTAATATTTGATTTATTTAGCTAAAGAAATTTGACAGAGAGCTGGAGCCACTTAAAGACGTCCTAGTCGAATATCCCATTAAGTTCGTACCGTCATATCCCTTCGAAGAAGACCCAGAAATGCCCACCGACTACATGTCTACTCGCTGCCCGGCTTGGTGCGATAGGATTTTAATGAGTCCCCAAGTCCAAGAGATAATTCGGAGCGACGATTGGACATATGGAATGATCGGTGAAGCAGTCTGCATGGGCGACCACAAGGTAAAGTTACTTACAAATTTTGAATTTTTTTCCCCTTTTTAAATAACTACAGGAGCAATCTAAAACTACTTACAAATCTGGATTGCCTTCAACCTTTGCACCACTTTTGATAAATATTCTTGCTCTTCGCTATTAGAGGCTTCGTTTGTTTCCAAATGTCTTACACAAACAGGCTGTTTCTAATTCTGCTTCCATTCCTAACAACTATGTTTCCCCTCAGCATGGTGTCGCTTAGTCCACTTGTAGTGCGCTTACTATACCCACTTAAAATGATTGTAAATCTCTGAGGAACTTGAAAACCCTAAAAATATAGGGAAGGATCTTTGTAAATTACCACTTCATAATTTCAGATGAATCTGCAAGGATATTTAGAGGCTTCGGTTTATCGAAGTTAGATTAAATAAGTTTTTAGCTACGTAGAAGTTCAGAATTAAAGACACGGTTAGTCAAGATCATAGGAAACTCATATGTATAAACCATTTGCAATGGTATTATCTACTTCAATCGGTCTAATAAATATTATCTCTTCTTTTTTGTCATGTAGCCTGTTTACTTAACTGTCCGTCTTAAACCAAACAAAGGTACTTATAGATCTTGTGATTGCAACTACACGAATACTTACGCCAAACCCAACGACATCTCAACATCACCTCTGCCCGCAGTCAAACTGAAATACTGTCCCTACTCAAATAAGCTCTTTGAGGATATAGCGACCAGTTCACAGTTGATAAATGGCACCGAGGCTCGCAATGTGTACAATTCCCTGAAAATTAGTCAAGACGAGGAGGCGAGCAAAACGACTTCCTCGAATTTCCCGAATATTAGTATTAACATTATTGATTCCGATAATATTTGCATGTGCTTGTGCGCACACCTGTCTACTAATAGTCTGCTGCAGTTTGACGACTGCAATCGAACTGGCGAGGCCATTTGTCCCATGTGCCGGAACATAATCAAAGGCAGCCCGTGGCGCATCGCTATAAACTGCTGTCCAAGCGTCTGATGCTAACGCAGGATATCATAATTAACCGCATAGATACGCAGCACTTGAGCACGGACTCGGAGCGCCTGTACGAAGATCCTTACACCCCGGAGAGCACTGAGTCTCACTCGCCGTATCCGGAGGTCACCAGCTCGTGCACCTCCACCTCGAGCAGTTCGCGCAGTCCTCTGGAACGCAGATTAGCGCCAGACAGGACAGCAGAGGGTAAACCAAGCGATTCCGATATATCGCCCTGCCCAGAGGTGGCTAATACGGTTGCGGAAAAACCCCCCAGGGGCACCGTAACTCCCGGCCAGCTGAAGTCACGGCTGGAGAACCTAAAGCGCTTATCCATCAAAGACGAAGTCGAGAACGAAGACACAGTTGATGAGGCGGAAGCGGGTGATGTTGAACCAGTTGACGCTGTTTGCTCCCCAAAAGCTGCTCCAACGCGCACAAAACGCAGCTCTAGTGTTACTCCTATGTGTTGTACTATCCACTAATTTCAGTTTTTTGTTATTTTGATTTATATTTCGTTGATAAGAGAAGTATTTTAAAGCCGGCGACTAAAATACCGCTTGTTAAAAAGCTATGCATTATTTAATACTTATTTTTGTAGTAATATTCTTAAATTTATTTCTATCTGCATGCGGATTTACCAAAAAATACGGCTATTTTTAAGTACTAGCTTCAATAATTGTTGTTATTTATGCAATTATTTTAAGTAATTGAAATCTCTAATCTCTGCATCTTTGAAACTCACTTTAATATTACTGTAGAAAATATTCCAATATTTTTTATAAAAGTCCGGAGGTAAAAACGTCATGGTAAACAACTTTTTACTTCGATCTGTACCAAATGCTTAAAGCGCACTTTATCTTTGAATTTACATTGTGTAAATATATACTTCTGTAGAGCTACTGGAATCATTTGTAAATATATCGAGCGATTGTAGTTTTACTTGTAATTTTTGAGCAATTTAAAAGCCATATCGAAATCTCTTATACCAATCGTATGTAATCTGTTCCTTTTCGCAGTAGCAGCGATCAGCTTAAGCCCGTATTTGAATCTGTGTTTTAATTATGTATATTGTTTATTATGTGTTCGTCTTATTTAAGAAAATAAATTACGTTTTTTACCTCACTTGTCTTCTTTTCTTTTCATTTGTACTTTTATGGTCGAAAGCGTCAATATTTTTCAGTTCTTTTTACGCCTAACATCAAAGTTGCTAGCCGATCAAAATTGTGGATTACAGATCGACTTGCAGCCCAGTTCTGAATGCCTCAAAATCCTGTAATCTTAAATTTGTATTCTTGTAGGCCCATCGGATCCCACTGGAGTTTCGCAGTTGCCGGAGAGCCTGTCGAACTTGGTGAACCAAGCGCTGAACGACGACAGCCTGTGGATGGAGCAGTCCGTGGTGGACGATTCGAATGCATCCAACAGCTCCGTTGCCAAATCGCGCTATATCTTGATGAAGAAGGGAGCCTCAAGTCCATGCAAGGAAGCCCCCGACGAAGCCGGGGCTTTGGCCATCAAGAGCGACGGTCTCGACACCGAAAGTGCAATGCTGTTAAAGGAAACTACCGTCTAAGAGCTTCAAATCTATCAATTTATGCCAGCTGAGCCAATAACTTGTAACGTGTGGTTTTGTGTTATGTACCTGTTATGTTATACGCGTCCAATACGAGCTATTTATTTGTCACACCGCCAAGACATTTGGGAAGCAGTCGCAGTAATAAAATATACATACGTGGTAGATGCATTTATTTCAGAAAAACGTTCAAAAGATGAAAGGAATTAAACCAGGTATTCAAAACACAGTTCCACGCACGCATTAAGACTACGGCTAGACGACTATTCGATGAGTTTTTTGGCTTTGAAGTATCTGCGGAGGTACAGAACTTGCCACGTCGCCAAACCCAGAAGACAGCACATACTGAAGATGCTGAAGAACAGGACGCGGCTGTTGGTTTTCTCTGTGGGGAAGAAGATGCATAAATTAGATGGGTTTATAAGAGATTGGAACATTCAACACACCATTGGTATCGCGCATTTCCTCCTCCCGCTTGCGCATAAGGACGAAATCTCGCACAATGGAGTCGGAAAGATCCTCCAAACGCTTAAGATCAACTTCCAGGGGCTTCAGCTTGGAGGCCTCCCCAATCTGTTTTGGAGCAAAGCAATGAAAAGTCATTTAAGAGATAAGAAAATGAGGCTTTTGTGAACTTACGCCTTCGTAGCTCTTGGTCTCCACACCCTTTTTCGTCAGGAGTGATACTTCCTGAACAACACCGCGTTGATCTGTAGAGAGACAAAAAATATTATTAATATGACAATTTATCAGTTTCAAAATCTCAAATATATAACATTTTCGTTGTTTGATTATAGAAACATAAAATTGTTATACTCTAACATAAGAACTTGAAGTACGAAAAAAAAATCATATAGTAGGTGAAAAAAATAAAAATTCACCGGGTAGGTTTTAAGCGCGAGGTTCAAAATGTAACGATATTGTGACGTGTATTTTTTGTGTACATATGACATGTAATGATCATAACTAGCCCATAACTTACGTGCAGGAACTTTGGATATGAAGCAGATCTCGTAGGCGTCGTACACCTCGGACATGAAGCTGAATTTGCCCTTTGTGATGTGCTCTTTCTGCGACAGGATGTGTCCTTGGTGTCGCGAGCCTGTTGGACGTAAAACCCTAGTTAAATCCATTGAAAAAAGCATATATCAAGAGGAAAACTCACTATATAGTCGATGATTTGGCCGGGCACGTCGGTCACCTCGTACTCGCCCATCACCAGTTGGTTCGCCTGGATGTCTTCTTTGAGGCACTTCTGGGTGTTCGGCGTCAGCTTGAACATCACGGCATGGCCGCTCCAGGCACAGGCCATCAGAAGGCACACGATAAAAGCCCCTCGCCATAGCTCAGAATTTAAACCAAATAAAATCTACGGCTGACAAAGATGAGGTGGCTACTTTCTAGAGCTGGGACGAAATCGATAGTTTTTCGTGCAGCCCTGGTATGTTTGTCGTGGTATTTAGTGCTTAAAAATACAAAAATATAAATTTTTGTTTGAAATTTATTATAAATATGATTTATGAGTCCAATGCTTTTTTAAGTGTTTCAAACTTTTCCTACATAAGTTTTCCCAAACGATATTCAAACCGATAGCCGTTAATCTAGTGTTGTCAACGCCGCTTTAGTATCCGCAACGCCGTTGCTGAAAATACGCGGCTTCGGAAGCGTTAAGAATTTTATCAGTGTATTGGTTAATGTGCGTGTGGTGTCAGTGTATGTGGTTCTTTAAGTAAAAAATATATCGGAGTTTATAAAAACTTTTAAGCAACAAATTCTGCCTGCCTTGTGTTTTTATATCATTTATTTTAAAAGGGGTAATAAAGCGGCACCCTGCGAACCGAATCACACCGCAATACTAAGCCATTTCCTATTTGCAGGCAAAAAGTGCAGCAAATGTCAGGCGTGGATCAGGTAATTGTATTTTGCATACACACATATGTACATATGCTCGATTCGATTTATGTCGGGATTTCAGCAGGAAGATTTTCGTGTTTAAATCGCGCTCTTTGTGTACATCGCAATGGTGGATATATATAGTATAGTACATGCTTAATAATAATGTTATTAACCTGCGGTGTGTTTTTGTTTCAGATGAAAATACCAGGAAACACAGGTATATAACCTACCACCACAGACAGAGAGCGTTTTCCTATAGACAGGAACTACTCTTCGACAACGACAACCCGACTTTCGATCGTATTTCTTGCTTAATGTGCGGTTTTAATGCAATTTTCTGTGTTTACCATGCCCCATAATGTAGCTAAATCGGTCGAGGAGCGCAATATACCATGGAGCCAGCAAGTCGATGAGGCCTCTTACGAAAATCTATCCTCTCCCACTCACGATGAAGTCGTCTCTGGTAAGTTCCTGACCATAAAACTTCTTAGTTTCCGAACCATCTAACTTTTCGCATTGATAACGATTTCCCCCTCCCACACAAGTCAATGAAAATGCAATGCAATTCCAATATCCGCCGTTTAACTTTAAGGAGAATTGCAACACTCCATGGAATAATATGAACAAGGGCCGAAAAGCAAACGCCAACCATGGTATGTATAGTTGTTTTCACCCAGTACTCGTACCCGTACCCAGTGTGTAATCGTTCTCGCTAACTGGTTTTTCGACTCTGCGAATATGCATAGGTCGGTGCATCGGGAAGTCGATTAGTCCGATTAGCTTCCGATTGGATTCACTTGGGTCTTATATCTCTAACTTAATCGCCTCAAATATTCATATCATATCATCACAGATCGCCAAATCAAGATCAAGATAAAGTGGCTTTAAGCTACGGTCTACTGGTTATAAATAGTTTAGTATACATTCAAGCGTGTAGAATTTCATTTCCGGGAAGCACAAACCCAGTTTCTGAAGTTTAAATGGAATATTTTAAAAGATTTTTCCATATATCAATGAAGAAAAATACCCTCACTTTTAGTATGATATCAAAATATTTTAGGAGCAAGTCCAAATAACGTACGTACCTATCAAATTTTAATTTTAAAACAAGATTTTTAACACTGGCTTACATTATTTACTATTAGCAAAGTTACTGCACACCAGTATCTGTAGGGGTTGAAATAATATTAATAATCAATCTGGAAGTACTCCATATCAACATTACCTTTGCCTTTAAGATATCCTCAGCCCAATCCTCTGCAGCCATATTTTTAATAGCAGTGGTCAAGACCTTTTGGAGGTTTTCAGCCTGCTTCTTGAAGATGTAAATTATTTCGTGGGTGGTGGCATTCGGCTGCTGGGCGCACCAGCACTCCATGTTGGTGACCAGGCCCAAGGAGGCGTACGGGATGCCGGCCTCCTTGGCCAAAACGGCCTCGGGACACAGAGTCATGCTCAGCAAGTCGGCGCCCCACTTACGGAACATATTGTTCTCGGCAACGGTTGAGTAGCGAGGTCCTTCGAGGGTGAGGACAGTGCCACTGGATCGAGTGGGGAAGTCCAGCTCCTTGGCGGCATTCAGGAGGTGCTGTCTGGTGCGTTCGCAAAAGGTGGGATTCATGGGCACATGGCAGACTCCCAAAGGACTGCCCACAGCTCCGTCGTAGAAGGTCTGAGCCCGCCGCGTCGTATAATCGATCACATCGTCGGGCACCACCAAATGACCTGGCTGGAAGTTGTCCCTCAGGGAGCTGAACGTGTTGGTCACCAGGATGTGGGTGCAGCCCATCTTACGCATGGCCCACACATTGGCCCTGTAGTTAATGTTACTCGGCATGATGTCGTGGTTTCGGCCATTTCGCGACAGGAGGACACATTCACGCCTTCTATCTGCCCGTCGATGATCACATCTGATGGTTTTCCAAATGGCGTGCACACAGCATACTCCATGCGCTCTGCCAAATAGATGGGCTTGTCCAGATTGGCCTCTCCAATTATGCCGATTTTGATCGGGATGGTGTCCCTTTCCAGTTCGCTCTGTACCTCCAAATTCTCATCCATTGCAAACGTAAATTTCGATAATTTTCTTAAAATCTGTCTGCCTAAAGGTGAAATAAAAAACAAAATGTAATTTCAAGTTGCTTTGCCTCCTTAAATTTGTAATAATGCATTTTCACCCACAGATAACGCAAGTTTCTTATGGTATTTCAAGAAGAAGGTCCTTAAGGATGTGTAAATTTGTTTTAAGATCATTAACCATAAATCTAGCAGAGTGCAAAATATGGATAAGTTTATTGTAATTTTATTGTGATAATAACACTATTTTAAAGAGGATACTGATGTATTATTGTACGCAATATTTTTAGATTCATATAAAAGACATGGACATAGTATTCCCAACAACACACGACGCGATGAGCACCAAGTAAATCCTTGGAATTCCAGAAAACCAGCAGCACAGGTACATGAATATAAATAATACAAATAATTTAAATAAGAAAATGGTACTCTTATTAACATATTAATCGTTTATTCATATTTCTTTAGTCGATTCGAAATGAGAACGATCACCCAAAGCTGGACAACAGAACAAGCGATGAAGCACAAAATCAAGAAGTTGTCGCCGCACCCAAGAAGACAACCTGGGCCTCTATTGCCTCCCAGCCGGCCAAACTAACATCCAGAGTGAGTACTCCCGGCACCCTTGTACACCGATCGAATGCATTCATATCCTGCTATCCTCGTACACAGGCAGCGTCCACCACTTCCAACAATAAGAAAAAGGGTCCCGGCATGCCACCACCACCAATGGTTCCAGGAAAGCACAATTTAGATGTTAACGTATGGGACTTGCCGAACAATAAACCTCCTCCTGTACCTTCTCCCCCTTCGCCGATTGACTTGGGCTATTCTGACTTGAGTTCTGACTTTTCCATATCGGGCAACACAGCAGCAGCACCGCCATTGGGCGCCCGAACCGAGAAGGTTCACAAGGACACGGAGAACTTCCAGAAGTACGAACACAAGGGCGGCTTGGGCAGCAACAATAACTTCAGCAGAGCCAAGGTTTCGCCCACAGGCCCAGTTCGCAGGAATCTGGGACCCCAGCCGCCTGTCCCAGGCCACCATGCAGCCCCTCGTCCAGCGACCAATGCAGGTCCACCCTTTGGGCCACCTAACACCAGGCGGCACGAGGGTGTGCCCCATCCAAACCGAAACTCCGAGCGCTCTGGCAACTACTCCAGTTTCCGCAGCGGCGAGTTTGATAATGCTTCTAAGTTCGAGTACCGGGACGAGAACCAATCACGACCGGTGGAAGTCACATCTGCAACCGAGGAGGTGCCTGTCGATCCACAACTTCTGTTGGACGAGTTAAAAGACAAAAACAATTACAACCCGAAAGTGGTGGACTTAAACAAAGCCACGGCAGCCAGGTACATTTACTACATATCTCTTCGTTCTGTATTTCTTCTAATTATAATTTTTTACCCCTTTTCAGGTTCTTTGTCATCAAATCGTATTCCGAGGATGATATCCACCGCAGTATAAAGTATGAGATTTGGTGTTCAACCGACCACGGTAACAAGAGATTGGACGACGCCTTTAAGGAGCGCCACAAAGAGGGCGGCAACATCATGTTGTTCTTCTCGGTAAATGGATCTGGCCATTTCTGCGGCATGGCACAAATGATGACGGCGGTCGACTACAACTCAACGTCGAGCGTCTGGTCGCAGGACAAGTGGAGGGGCAAGTTCAAGGTGAAATGGATATATGTGAAAGATGTGCCTAATGGTAAACTGCGCCACATTCGACTGGAGAACAATGAAATAAGTCGGTGACGAACTCGCGGGATACCCAGGAAGTACCTAACGACAAGGGGATCGAGGTGCTCCAGATCTTGCACTCGTACAACCACTCAACGTCCATATTCGATGACTTCTTCCACTACGAAAAGAAGCAGGAAGAAGAGGTCTCCTCCAAGCGTCCGCCAATGCATGTTCCCGATGGAAACAACCAAGTGCCGGCCCCACTTGCCCGCAGTTTCAACCGCCAGGCGGACGACAAGGACAGGGATCGGGATCGCGATCGTGATGGTCGTGGTGGCATGTCACAAAAACACTTCAGCGCTGGAGGAGGAGCCGGTTTCCGTAATCCAGGTCACAGGGGCGGTCCCGGAAGTGGCGGCGGCTCTCACAACAACTACAGCGAGTATCGTCGGGGCTTCGACATTCAGAAATCAGGCGGAGACTATCAGTTTAAGGACCGAGAGGGCCAGGACTTCGACAGAGAAAATGACTTTGGAGCCCACTACGGATCCAATAACCGAAAAAATGAATATCAACAGAATAATACGAACAAGGCCAGGTTAAAAACCCGCGATCGTGATTTCAGTACTGAACAAATTAAAATCGGCGTGCGCTTTAAGGTGGGTTTGTCCGCCTCTAAGGATTTGCCAAGAGTGAGTCTCTAGCGAGTCGTCGACGATGATTTCGTTAAATAATTCCATTGTTTCCATTGCAGGACACCGACAAGGATAAAATGCGAAGCAATGAATATTCATAAATTTACTGAGCTGCGGTAGAATTCTTTTTTAAATGATATTGAATGGACTCCCACAATCCGTTGAATTGCTTAGAGACGTTTAATTTTAATTTTTAGATTTTTTAACCATTGCGTGTACAAGATAAAATCCCGATTCATGAAGAACGTATAAAACAAACATGTGGGAACTAGGATTAATGATTAAAATATGATAACATTTTTACGTAATTATTTATTACAATATTTATATAAATCTATTGACGCTCACATTGAACAGTTCATAAAAAATTAATGATCGATTTTGCCGATATATACAACATTTATAAACACCAAGGAGTCTGCTTCAGCCATTCCTTGTAGTTGCACTGTAACAATTTATACAACTTATTTGAATCTAAAGTGTACACGACTTATGTATGTATAATATAATTAAAGTAACCAATCCATCATTTACTCATTGACTAAATTACCAGCATCTCTTAATATAAATGCGCTATTTGTAAGAGATTGAGCGAAGATTTCCTTTCCAACAAGCATAAAATAGTATTTTCGAAATAATACTTACACGTCAAGCAATATGGGCCGAATATTAATACTTTCACAGCGCTATCCAATAATTATACGTTAGTGGAAGACTGAAACAGTATAATAAAAATAGAGTCATGTACGTAACAAAATTAAACCCTACAAAAAAGATGCAAACATAAAGCGAACTCATAATCTAAAATGCAAAAGACTTATTTGATTAAAAGCTATTATTTTTAGTTTAAGGAAACATTAAAAAGTTTGGTCAAAATCAAAAGAAACTTTAAAGGATGAGATTTGGTTAACGGATTTTATGGAATTCCAAGTAATGGAAATTAGTTCGAAGGTATATAAAAACAGAAGTTCTTGTTTTATGTATATCTTAAATGGATTTAAGTGGTAAGTAATTAGTTGAGATTATATAAATCATAGTTCAAAAACATGGGCGATTACTTGCAAGTTTGATTTTTGATAAAATGTGAATTTCAGTTGTTTTGTAATGATCAGTGGACTTCAAACATCCCATTTACGAACTTTAATCGAGCATTCTGGTAAAAGAGAATCAACATTGTTCGTTGCGCGAAAGCAGTTTGAATTCAAGCAGTTTGGCGCCACCAGGATGCAACGGCCAGCTGGCCAAATAGCATTGACGCCGACCTGGTCACACTGCTGCGCACACGGTCATACTAGAGACTTTTCGAGGCGTAATTTACACTCGAAACATTTGACAAACTTCCAACAAAGGGATAAATGCAACAGCAAAAGCATCGTTTGAAATATGAGTCGAAAGGGAGCGAGAGAACAAAATGATATATCGCTGATCATTGGGACGCTGCCCAAACGTCTGCAGAACAAAATCGCGGCCAGCTGCAGCCACGCAGTAGCAGCAGCAGCAGCAACAACAAAAACGTCGGAGGCGGAGGTGGAAAATGCTGAGAATGCGGAGCCAGTTGCTCCGACTGCGATTGCCTCAAGGCCAGGTGAGTGTGTGTGCGGATGATTCACGATAACGTCTATAACAACATCTCTCGATTTCACCATCCAGCCACCAGTCGCCACGTCCTGACCAATGCAGCTACAGGGAAACCCAATCTCCACGCCCAGGCGGCCCATCCCGTTTTGGATACCAGCGGGAAAATGACGCGGGAATGCGGAATTCCGGGCATCCTGCGGGTGGCCACTTCGATGGCAGGAGCAGGGGGAGGAGGAGGCGGGAATAAAAGCAGTCAGGGCAAAGGCGCGGACACAACGCTCGTCGCAAGGGTCGCAACTCGCATCTGGGCAAGGACAAGGAGCACGCTGCTCCACAGTCGCCAGTGACGCGCACCCGCCTGACCACCGAGCATCCGGATGGTTTGAGCCCCTCTTGAGCCTGCCCCATGCCAAAAACATAGTCCAGCTGTACGATCAGCTTATGGTTCTGAATCAGAGGAATCTCATATGATAGTAAGTTTATATACAGTATCCCAAAAAAACCATTACTCATCAATGAATTTCTCTAGAACTGGAAAAACTTCTGCTACATTCATGACCAGCTGCAGGACGCCTTCAAGCAGCTGCTTCTGGAGCACTGAAATTCGTTGCGAGCACAAGGTCGATGTCTTCTTTTGGAAACTGCTCTTCTACAATGTGCGGGATTACCTCAAGCGGCAGCAATCGGATCAGGCCCACTCCCATACGCTTCTTTTGATTGAACAGGCCACCAAGTTCTATCGCCTGGCTTACGAAAAGCTAATGGCCAAATGCGTGGCATCGCCGCGCTGCGAGAGCGCCCTAAAGGTGGTGGCCCAGCGGCTGCTCATTTGTCTGGGCGATCTCTCGCGCTACCGGGTTAACCATGTCAAGGCAACGGACTACGTGGAGGCGGCCAAGTACTATCAGCGCGCTCAGGAGCTGGTGCCCGGTAATGGAGCACCCTATAACCAGCTGGCGGTCATTTCTATCTATCATGTAAGAATAATCGAAGATCTATTTGAGAAAGTCTTGCTAATCTTCATTTACTTTCCTCTCAGCACAAGCGCTTTGATGCCGTTTACTACTATGTACGCAGTTTGCTGACTTCCAACTCGATTCAGACGGCCAAGGAAAGCCTGCTGGATCTGTTTGACGAGATACGGCGCAAGTACGAGGAGACCGAGATGAAGCAATCTCCCATGCACTATGCAGCACCGAAGAACCAAAAGTCCAAGCAGATGCGCAAGGAGGTGTGGATATATCCAGACGGAATCCGCCGCTTGCATCGCACCGATGACAAGGGAAACAAGGCGAAGGGCAATAAGGCCACCGTGGCCGAGGTCACTCGGTACGAGGAAATGGCCCCCGAGGAGCTTATGCCCCGCGTTGTCTCCTTGTATCTGTACTTGATAGGAAAGCTGTATACCGGCACAGAGTAAGTTTATTTTAGGTGAAAGTGAAAGCTGGAAACCGGTGTATCACATAACACTAAAATCATTCACAGTGTGGACTCGTTGTACCCGCTGCTGAGGAAACTGTTGATCCAAATTGGCGTTGCGCTCAAGCACGAGAACCTGTTGTCACGCTCCAAACTGCTGAAAATAGTGGCACTCAACTTGTTCGTCGTCGAACACAACAAGCGAAAAAGTATGAATGATAACGTCTAATCACGGTTAAAATTAATTTATTTTTGTTGTTGTGCAGCGTCACGCCGCGAGATGCGTTATCACAGCTTTAATTTTGCCAACTCATTCTTTGGACTTATGCTGAAGAAAACAAACCAGTTGCTGGCCGGTTTTGTGGAGGACTCTACCAACATCCAGTGTCTCCCTGAAGAAGAGTAGGCTTGAGCATTCCCCACCTTAAGATTTGTTTATTGACTTTCTCTTTTTTAAGCTTTACCACTGTCAACACATATCTGCAGTATATCAAGGTTTATGTGCATTGGTTGAGCATCAATGCGGATGTTTGGGAACCAGTGAGGTCAGAAGAGTATGTATCAAGTCTCCAAGTGTTATAACATTATATAATCAATGTTCAATTCCTGCTCCACAGCCACTCTTTCATCGATTGCTGGGCTGAGTATCTACCCTCTTCGAGTACATTGAATGCATGCTGGGAAAGCAGAAGCTGGAGAAAAAAGATATCGCTTTGGATGAGGATATTGCCCTTAGCGGCTTTAATCCATTGGGTCGTGAACCGATGAGCAAGGATTGCCTCAAAAGAGGACCCGAACGCCTCCAGTTTTTCGAACGTATACGTAGGATTGGCCGGTTCCAGGTTGCTATGCCCAGCATCAAGAGGCGCTGCAGCAGCCTCTGGACTCTAGCTTCACCATTGAGGATCTAAACGCAGCGATGAAGAATGCGCTGGAATGCTTTGATGCCGAGAGTTGTGGCTTGCGGTGAACCCCTTGAAGATGCAAAACCAGTTGTTGAGGAATTGCTGTGTCCTTCAACCGATGCCGATGTTTCGCAGTTGTGCAAGCTGAAGAAGGAGCTTGAAGCCAAGGCTAAGGTTAAGCAGATATGCACCAGCAAGCTGGAGGAGATCCTCAAGTTCGTGGACACAAAAATATACATCGAGGTGCGTCCTCGCTACCTTCTACCCGACACCAACTGCTTTATCGACTGTCTGGAAGACTTTGAGAAACTGTCCACAGAGTTCAAGCGTTACACTCTCATCATACCGCTGACTGTGGTCAAGGAACTGGATGGTCTGTCCAAGGGTGTTAAACTGGATTCGTACCGCAGCTCGAAGCAGACGCAGCGCATCCACCACTTCGACGAGGTGTCATCGCGGGCCAAAAAGTCGTTGGAGTTTATCAAGTCGGCCAAGAGCAATGTGAAGTAAGCTATTGTTGATTTCTTTTTCCGGGTTCAGCAAATAATTCCTAGGTTACTGATTACGTTTTTAATGGCGATAAGCTATTTTATTGTTTTCATTCCGGTAGAAAATCTACAGTTTATAATGTAAAGACCTTTTTTGTTATTATTTTATGATGTCAGAAAGACTTAGTCATGGTTATTAGCAATATTTACTGTGCTGATCATTGCTTATCAAACTCTTTTTTTTTAGGTGTGCTACTACTAAAGGCTCTTTGTCAATGCCTCGGTGTTTGCCCTAGTTGAGGAGGAGTATCTCTCCAATGACGACAAAATTCTGGCAACAGCTATGGCTGTATCGAAGACGGCCAAATCTGAACAATGCACAGGTGAGCATGGTTTATTTATCTCCTAAAAGCTAAACTAGTACTAAATCCTTTTCAGATGGCAAGTGTTTTATTCAAACGGAATTAGTTCTGATTACCACCGATCGTAATTTGCGTGTGAAGGCTCTTTCTCGGAATCTGGCGGTTAGTGCTTTGGACGAGTTCCTGCAATGGGCCAAGGACTGCCGCGAATCGACCTGAAAGCCTTTTTCTATTGCGAGTGGACCGGCTAACAATGTAAAAGGACTCGCCCATCGCACGGTGCGTTGCGGAGCGAGCTTGAGCTATTATATTACCTACATTATACATAAATGACTATGTAAGTCGGGGTCGGCAGGTGCAGACACATACGCTGGCCGCGAATACGTACACGACGTGGGTTCCTGAGGACTGGACACGGATACACAAGCGCGGATGTTTTGATGCTTCCCCGTGGTGATGCTTCGTCGGAGCACATCACGTTGGCTTCCAATCATCTAGTTTGTTTTTTCTCACTTCAAACTTATATTTTGTGACTTTCGGAATAATTAAATCATTTGGATTGTTGTTCAATCGCGTTTGTTGTTATTGGTTGGATAATCTTAATTCCCGCAGTATAGGGGCTTTTGCTAACGACTTTTAATAATGAAAAGCACATTAAACATCAAAGGAATATTTTAAAAAGAGTTTATTGTTTGATAATTTATATTTAAAGATTTGTAATACCACAGAGCCACCTTTATTTTTATATCATTTATTGCATCAGTGTTTAGTTTATTTGAAACTAGTTAAACGGTGTACATTACATATAGATTGTGTTGCTTTGCACTTGGTATCCTAAATATGCTCTCTTTGATGTAGAAATATAAAATCTATGCAGTATATGCAAATCTAACAATCACATTCGATTAAAATCTAACATTACAAGCGACAGATAAAACAGACATCAACAACAAAAACTACAGATCGTTGATCATTTATCATTGGGCATCGGTGTCGACATCGGCATTAAATGCCCTCGACACGAATCGGTTTAGTGATTTTTCAAATCGAATATTTCACGCAGCAACGGCTCCACCTGGGATGGGTTAACATTCAAATAGACATTAATAATGAATTTGTTCAGACGCTCCACATCTGAAATCTTTTGGATTAGCTTGATAAACGCGTCCCTCGCCTCACAGCCGGAATATACACTCTCCAGATATCTTCGCAGAAGATAATAGTAGGAATTCTAAGGGGAAATGGAATTGGGCTATTATTTATTTCTAGAAACGAAGAGACGAGACTCACCTGTTCCAATCTAATCACGTCTTTGTGTATCACTCGTGATCGAGCCGAGGTAAAGAGGACAATGGCACACATGATCAGGATAATGTTCTCGTCCATGCGCCACTTTTCGTCGAAGGTTGTGATGAACTTCTGGTGCTCCTCGTAGATGTTGCCCTCGGCGAACTTGAGCAGGTCAGTGCGTATGTTGCCCATGTTCTCTTTGGTGTGGGGTACCTGTATAGTACATATTTGAATTTTATTATCCAAAAAATATAGTTTTATCATATAAGTTACCTTCCATGAGTCGCGATCGTCGTCGTATATCATGACAGAGCGCATTATCATCATTTCTGTGCAGCCGCCTTTGAGTAGGGCCACCTGGTCCTCCTGGCACATGTCACGGAATGCTGTAATCTTCTTGGCCATTTTGATAAGCCTCTTGATGGCCACCGCCGTCAGATTGATCAGCTGCAATAGCTTTGGGTTGTGGCGAGTGTCGTCGGGCTGCGGGTGACAAACAAAATCAGAACAAGCGCACAGGTGGCCATTATTATCGTCATAATCGTAAAGAAGGTGACTCAATCGAGTGGTGGAGCACCGCTTATCATAGCGCCCAACACCTGGCTGCTCCATATTTCGTCAAAATTGTATCGTTTTTCCTAATTAACAATACTGAAATGTGCTAATTGCGATGAGGCGAAAACGGTAAACAGTCTAAGCGACAATAAACCGGCAAATCGTCGGTTGGGAGACTCATGAGCGCCTGCTGGTGCTCTTGATAATGGTTGATAATGTCACAATTGACACGCCCATAGGCTGATAAAGCCACTGTCTGCCCTGCTCTTGGCAGAACAGACGCTCTGATTGCTGGAAAGCTAGGGTGGCTCAACCATATGGACAGTTCGTGTTATGTGAATCATGGTCGGATATTTCCAAGCCATTTCGCTGGAGAACAAAAGGTCTAGTGAAAATGTTGACACATCTCCAAGCATAAAGATAGAGCCAGTTATAAAAAGATGTTTCTGGTTTAAACGAAAAATAACCACATTTGTGTTTACATGCTCAGCTAGAAAATAAGAACTTTATATAGAGTGGGTGTTTGTCTAGTTTGGGGTCTTAGTTTAAGGCCTGTTTTCGTAATCAAAAATATAAAATCTTTCGCTCGCAAAAACTTTCTTTCTCTTCAAGACCTCATATCAGCTTCTATTAATTGTTTTTCTCCAGATTCTTTGAAGCACAAAGTCCGAGTCACCCATTGAAAAGTGTGTTTACATTTGGGAGAGACGCCTTGCTGGGAACCCAGAAACTGGCTGGCGACGATCGGCCCACAGGCCATCATCGAGATACGTACTGAATCACCGAGTGGCCACCAACTGCCAGGTGCCGAAAGTACATATATATCGCTCCGCTCGCACACTCCGATTAGATAAGCCGTGTGTTGAGCTATAAATGAAAGAACGATAGGCTAATACCGTAGGGTGGTGGTTACCTTAATGCGATCATCGCCCATCATCAGGGCGCTCAGGTCCTCGTCCACAGGATCGTAGAGAGCCTCGCTGGCCAGACGCAGCTCCCGCAGCTTCATCTTTTCCGCCTCATTCAATTCGCGATCCATCTGCACGCTGGAGGGGGCGATGATGGGCTGCTGCAAGTGCTGCTGTTGCTGGTAGTGTTGCCAGTGGCATGGCACCCTCCGTAGGTGTCTGACCGCCCTCATGTAGGACATCTCCTCCTTAACCCGCGACGCAGCATGTATGCTATTGAAGGCCTGGTATTCAATGCGGATCACCTCAGAGAGCACAGACTCGATCGAGTTGATGCTAAAGTCGCTATCCAGGCTGGGCTCGTCGTTGTAGTTGGTCTGCATAAAGTCTTCAAATCGAAGTCCGGCGAGTTAGCTATGTAAGGCAACGGATGGCTACTCGATGTGCTGGGTTGCTCCCGACGCCGGGCGAGTGGTATTGCAGATCCACGGCAGCGGGAACATTCGGAGAAATTGGCGGGCTACTGCCCAGCATGCTCTGGATGACGGTATCCGTTCGCTCCGCCGGCGGAGGAGGTTTCACCGCCGGCTCCTTGTCCAGCAATGGCTTGCGCTCTCCCGTCTGCTGGGCTGCGTTCGCTCCACTTCCGCTCAGAATGCGGTTAAGGATGCGCAGAGCCTCCGCCGGGGTGTTCATAAACTTATTCATTATGTCGATGGCATCTTCCGGCGAGTGCATCAGGTTCTGCATAAACTCCACCACGTCCGCTGGAGAATCAACTATTTTTGAGATGATTTCCACTCCGTCCGTGGGTGAGCTCATAAACTTGGTGAATACTGCATTTTTAAATAAGTAAATAATAAACAAAATGCTACAAAACAAACAATTTTAAATTCCAACCTGTGAGCGCATTAAAGGGCGAGTTCATAAACTTGGAAATGATCTTGAGGGCGTCACCTGCATCGAATCAAGAGGGTTGTGGGTTAGCGGAGAAGGCCACACGGTTTAAAAAATGTAAAGGAACCCACCTGGGTAGTCGATCAAGTGGGACACCAGCTTTAGGGCATCCTTTTGTGAGCTAATCACCTTCTCCATCACAGCAATAGCCTCCTTCTGGGTGCGCATCAGCCGGTTTATGGCCTGCGAGGCCCGATCCGGGTCGGATACAATCTGGTCTACGATCTTCTCGGCGGTCATCTGCAGCGGATTGACCTGAGTGCTTGTGGATCTGGCCTGTCCGCTTGAGCACCCATTTGCACCGCTGTCAGCCGAGCCGCAGCTCTGCGAGTCCTGTGAACCGGAGTAGAGCTCATGGTTGCTACTGCTGCTGTCGGCCGGCGCCTTGTGGTCACCTTCTTCGCCTTCGCCATCGTGGTCCCCGCCATCAGTGCCGTTCTCCATGAGGCGACGCTTTGCCCGGTTCGTCTCGATCTTACGCCGCTTGATCAGCTTGTCTTCCTCGGACATGATGTTCTCGCTCTTCATCCCGATGTCCAGACACTTGCGCAGGCGGCACTTCTGGCAGAAACGGCGGGTGACCACGGTGATGTCGCAGTTCTGGTTGAAGGGGCAGGTGAACTGCTTCTTGGCCAGCGCATTGCGCCGGAAGAAGGCCTTGCAGCTCTCGCAGGTGACCGCGTTGAAGTTGTAGCCCAGCGCCTTGTCCCCGCACACCGCGCAGTTCTTGGCGGCGACATTTCGACGGAGGCAGCTTTCAGCTTTCAATTAGGGCCCTCTGATTGATTTTTTAATTGCCTTTCCTGGTGTGGTGGAGCAGCTGCTAGTGGCGACGGAGGTGGAGGAGGAGGCGCTGGGTGGGTGGTTAGTTGGGTTGGCCCAGGTGGTGTGTGTTGTGGGGCAGGCAGGAAGTCCGCGAATCAAAACAAGTGTCCGCGCGACAGCATAGCAATTAGTACCCACGTCAAACGCACGAATTGCACGCAGAATTCGGCAGCTCGCGTTATCACCACATATTTTAATGAATTACTGTCCGTCCGAGCGCTCCAGCCCAATCCCAATAACAACAAGCGACGTGCCCGGGCGAATGGCAAACGCAATTATGAGATGTGCACTGGGAAAAAATAACTATGTTAAAGGATATGTAAAGGACAGTCAAAACCCAACGCAATGGCCAGCCTACAAGTTTTGCTCTTGAATAAAAATATACGTATTTAATTTGCATTATGTTATGTCTAAAAAGTCCGTTTCTTTACATATATACGTAAGCTCGAATTTATATAGCGATTATTGGAACTACAAATTTTTCTCAATGCACCATAGTTGTCGGCGATAAATTATCGGCCCTGCCTATCGGTTTTACAATCTAAGTTCACAGCTGGAAAATATTTTTGCTAGAAATTAAAATAGAAATTGATTAATTAAAATGAACCGAGTAAAGACCACGCAGTCCAAGACGGGCGAAATCATCGCCTACAGCGAGGGCGCCATCCGGAACAACATATCCGCCGTGGAGTACTGCCGAACCTCGATGGCCGCCATCTCGGGCTGCGCTGCGGGTAATTGGACCTAATTTATGGTGTTTCAACTCATTTAACAACCCAATTTTTAGGTATTTTGGGCCTGAGTGGAACCCTGGGCTTCCTGTTCTACTTCCTGTCCGTCTTCGTGCTCTGGATCCTGGTGCTCCTGAAGTCGGGCACCCAGTGGCGCAAGTTCTTCATCAACCGCAGAAATCTGCTGACCAACCAGTTCATGGGCGGCCTTTGCACCTACGTGCTCTTCTGGACATTCCTCTACGGCATGGTTCACGTGTATTAGCGCATTTACAACAAGTCGAAACAAAGCAAACACATATAGCGAAATAAACATAGGATCTTTGGTTTAACACAACCCATCAGGTTTGTACCGCCGAGGCGGCCGCTGCCGTTCCGGAGCAGTCGCACCACGGCGTTTTATTAACATCACAATCGAGCAAAATGTTAGGATGGTCACCGGTACCTGGTCAACGACCATCTCGTGCACCTTGAGTATTTTGTACTTGACATTGTCCAGGCCCGTCTTGTGGTCCCGCTTGCGGGTCATCTCCTTCTGATTGAAACACTTCTGGGTTCCCGCTTGCGATGATGGCGGTTGTGGATATGGCTAAGAGATAATATCATAAGTTAGACCTATGGATTTGCTTTCCGAAGAGCTGACCTCACCTAAATGTATCATTAGTGCCAGTCTTAATGTTCTGTGGCCGCGTCACCTGGAGTCCTGCATCCCGGATGCGCACAAAAAACTCATCGTCCTCCAGTCCCCAGCCCCAGTACTGGTTGGACATGCCGTTCATCTGCTGAAAGTGCTCGCGCCGCACCAGCAAGATCCCTCCGACAAAGTTATCGTAGTGGTACTTGGGATGCAGCTTGGGACCGGCGATGTGCAGTGGGCCCAAGCTGCTGGGATACTCGTAGCGCAGATCGTCGTTCAACGGCAACAGGTCCACGTCGTGCATCGCAATGTAGTCGTACACATCGCTGGCAAACTGGAAGCCCACGTTGATGAGGGAAGCGCGATTGAAGCGGAACCTGTCCACCTGGTTCAGCACGAAGATGTGGTGCGCCACACCCTGGCGCCGCAGGAAGGTTGTCATGTGGGGCACGAATTGGAGGAGCTCCTCGAATCGATCCCGGAACGGCACCAGCAGTGCCATCTTGTGAACGGACGCACCGTGGTCATGTGGCTCCTTTAGCTTCTCTGCCAACGGCTGTTTCTGCACAGCCAATCCTCCTCCTCCTCCTCCGCCGCCGGTCAGCCTGCTTAGCGGATTGGACAACGGGCACACGCAGTCTATAAAAAGAGCAGTTCCGGATCAGTATTTATAGCAGGTCTTCATATTTCACATACGCACCTGAGCCCAGCGGCATGAAACTGAGCACCGCAATCCCGCCCAGGCAGAAGGACAGGCCGCAGACGAAGAGCCAGTTTACGGTGGATATATTCACCATTTGGAGGAGCTTATACTCAGAGGTCCAGGGGCTTGAACGGATTCAGTCCATAGGCGGAAAATGTTGTAAACTTTTGCTGCCGGTTGGAAGTATGCCCGCTGCTGAACCGTCAAAAAATACCAAACGACCAGATATATTCGATTACTTGGTTCAAAAGCATCGAATTCTCCAGTAATATGGTGAGCTCTAACGGTTTTTTAAATTTCCAATGCAATTCTCGTTTATTTTGTGGTATGTGTTTTAAAACAGTTGTTTCCTGCTCTGTATCGACACTGTCAAATGTTTTCTTCAAATCATCTTCAAATATTTAAAAAATCCATTATGATATTTACGTTCGTTCACTGAGTACAGGAATATTTTAGTTAATAATGCCCTTATAAACATCATATAGTTTTAACCAACTTCTCCCCAAGCAATTCATTTTCAGTTGCAACTGATATTCCTAGATCCATAATTTCCATTTCATTTTAGACTTCCATTGGTTCAGTAAATACTCCCCGTATATACATTTCAATAAAAAGCGTTGTATTTATTTATTAGATTACAAAGAATAGCTGCATATAAATTATGATAAGGTATGGAAACACAAGAGCTGTTCTTAAAAGACATATCAAATAAATAAGATCTAAATTAAAATTTATTTATTTATTTTTAAAATTAAATACTTAGGGCTACAACTATATTTAGAGATTATATAAAACTAATTGATGTTCGTATTCATTCAGCGTGGTTGAAACGTCTGAAGATTACGGCTTATTGCTAAGGCTCAAGTGACTGAAGATCCAGGCGTTTCGTTCTATTCTACGACCAATAAAGTAATCACCAGCGCGGCAGCTGGTAGTTAAAAAAATAGTTTACAAAGGTAACTCCTCTTCGATCTGTGCGATTTTCAGTCAGTCGAGCAGTAGCCATAGTTTATCTGCGGTTCCGTATTTAGTTTCCGTTTCCGTTTCAGTTTAAGTTGATCTAAAAATTCTATGTAGACTACGGTTTGGCCACCTCATGTGCACCTGACACTGGTGCAAGTTTCAGGTGCAGCGGGCGAAGTACAAATTCAATCCGTTAAAACTATGCAATTCGTGCGTTCGTTTGTAAAATTGCTATAAAAACTAGTTCGTTCGTTTCTCCACTCTACACGTTTTTTTTTGTATATAAAAGTATGAAAGCTTGGAATAGTTCATAGAAGATACAGTTTCTCAACTCAACTCAACTCAATTTGATTCAACTGGTCCGATCCGATCCGATGCGATCTCATCTGATCTGATGCGATCCGATTCGATCGATCGATTGATCGGGTTGTGCGCGTGTTACAGGACGATTCCGTTGCTCTTGCAACAAAAGAAGACTAGAAGCAACAATTATACACAAAAATAATAATGTTTAAAATAAGGTGACTAAAATACTATAAAAGCGCATTGGAGAAGAGTGAGCCGCCGGATGGGGCAAGTGTAGAATCCGGTCCGGCGGCCGAATGCCGTGGCTTCGTAACGCCATTGATTGCGATCCGGTTCCGGAATATTATCGCTATACATTTGCATTGTATGTTGGGGGTGCTGAGAGTCTCCTGAAAGCGATTGTATGGCGGCGGGCACAATGAACGACCTTACAAGGCACGCGCTACGTCGGCTGCTGTGGTGGCTATATGTCCTGTCACTAGGGTCACAAGCCCAAAAATACTAGTACACATACAAATAAGTAATCGTTTTAAGTGAGCGCGTCTAAATTAATTGCACCTATACTATGTATACAGTACAATATCACTGGTTGCTTCGTCACCGTAACGTAACCTAATCCGAAACAAGTGGGCGTAATCCAATTGAAAGAGTGCGAATGTCGGCAAACCCAAATTAACACTATTGCATCTGGTCCTGGTTTAGGTTCAGGTTCACTATTGCTTTTGGCTTGGCACCTATTCTATTCCGATTTCCGGTTTCGGTCTTCAAGATTCTTTATCTATCTGGTCTGTGATGGTATCTGTTATCTGGTGATTTCTATTGCTATTGCTGCTAGTTGGCGAGTGGTGCTATCTGGGCTGGTTGGTTCGTCGGTTCGTGATTGTTGTCTGCAGTGCTTAAGAATTAGTTAAATTATATTTAGTGAGCATGGCTGGTGGTTCATCTCTTGCGTCCCGACGCCACGGCGGCCATCACCTGCTGCATGGTGGGTTCGGGGACGCACTGCTGGGGATCGCACTTCATCTTGCCGTCACCGCCGCAACTGAAATGGGAATGAAATCCGGGTTAATTATGGGTAAATATTCAATGATTTAGATTAGGAGAGACTATTCAAAACATCGCTCAAAATAGATAAGTGGTCTCCATCAGAAGCAGTGTCAATGTGTCGGCAAAGCTTCTACCAAGAAAATGTTTATCCCATGGGCTGCCCACGTTACTTCTGCTGGTGACCTCTTATTTGGATCGTTTAATTCTATTCTACTTACGTGCAGCTGATGCAGGGACCACTCGTGGACTCGATCTGCTCGCCCACGCGGTAGGAACGGCCGTTGATCAGGCAGCCGGTGTGCTTCACCGCCTCGCCGTGCGAGTAGTGGAGGAAGTGGGGCGGCAGGGTGGTGCTGGTGGTGGTCGTGCTCGTGGTGATGTTCAGCACGGCGGCCATGGACACTGGGCACTCGTAGCGCGGGCAGCAGAAGCCGGAGATGGGCTCCTCGTGGCAGCCGGCGATTGGCGGCGGGCACGATTGCTGCAGACAGATGATGTCGCTGCGGAAGCAGAAGCAGAAGTCGCAGGGATCGTCACGTGGAATCTGCTGGGCGGACACGTATAGCTTGCCGGCGTATCGGCAGGTTCCGGGTCCGAAGACCTCCTCCTCGTCGTACTCGTCCTCGTACTCGGGGGCGTGGCCGTAGGGTGGCGGGGTGATGGGCTGTTGCTGTTGGCTGGCCACCGTCGTCGTCGAGGGAGCGCTGGTCACAGGAGCCTCTGTGGTGCTGGAAGCACTCAATTTGGCGGTGGTATTCTCTTCATCATCTTCGCCAATGCGATCATCGATAGCTGGTGACTTGGTGGAGCTGCTGGGCAGGTGTGGGAACAGTGGGTGGCCAGTGGTGGGAACGGCCTCTTCGCTTGGCTGCGGAATCTCCGAAACCACGGCGGGAACCTCAGGCTCCTCTGGCACGGGTTTCTTGTCAGTCTCCTCCTCAGTCTCCTTGCTCTCGTCCTCCTTCTCAGCTGCCTCCGTAACTGGAGCATGCTCCTCCTCGGACTCAACGGACTCCGCACCCTCCTCGGTTGAGTCCAAGCTGGGCTTCACGATTGGCTCTGGAGTGGTCTTCTCGTCAGCCGACTCTGGCTGTTCAGTGGCCTTCTCTGGCACCTCCTTCTCCACCTCTTGTTGTTCGGTGGACTTCTCTGGCACCTCCTTCTCCGGCTCTTTTTGTTCTGTGGTCTTTTCTGGAACCTCCTTCTCCACTTCTGGAGCTGCGGTCTCCGGCGTAATCTCCGATTCAGTGACTGGAGATTCGGATGGCACAGCTGGCGCTGGAGTGGATGGCTTCAGTTTGGCATCACCTGTGGGCTCATCAGTGCTATCCTCAGCATCGTCGATAGCTGGTTCGGTGCTCTCTTCACCAACGTCCTCAGAAACAGAAGGCTTCTCGCTGCTAGGCTCCACATCGAAAACAGCAGGAGAAACTGGAGCCACTGGAATGGGAATCTTCTCATCATCCAGAGGAGCTGATGTCGATGGAATCTTTTCGTCATCAATAGGAGCTTCTGTGGCTGGAATCTTTTCATCATCCAAAGGAGCTGATGTAGCTGGAACCTTTTCTTCATCAAGAGGAGAAGATGTGGCTGGGATTTCATCATCAGTCTGAGATGACACTGTAGCTGGAGTCTTGTCATCAGTCTGGGGAGCAACTGTAGCTGGAATCTTGTCTTCATCCTGAGGAGCTGCTGTAGCTGGGCCTTCCTCAGCATCCTGAGGAGCCTCTGAGACGGGAGTCTTATCAGCATCATGGGGTCCGGTTCTAGCTGGAACCTTAGCAGCATCCTGGGGAGCCACAGTAACGGGAGACTGTTCTTCATCCTCAGGGGACTTGGACGCAGACTCTTCGGCGGCATGCGGATCAATAGTCTGGGACATGACTTCATCCATGGGCTTCGTGTCGATGTCAACGGCAGAAGGAACACCCACAGATGGAGTGGTGGCAGTAGAATCAGCGGCGGGCGATGCAACAGTGGTGGGTGCCAATGGAGCCTCGGTTTTGTCTTGTTCCTCTTCCTCTTGGGCGATGGGAGAATCGGTGGATACATCAATGGATGTCTTGGTATCGTCCTGGGGAGCAGACACTTCCTTCTCATCGGCCACTGGTTGAACAGTGGTGGCATCCTTTGTTTCATCTTCCTGAGCAGCAGGCGAAGCTGGGCTGGCAGCAGTGGTGACATCAATATCGTCCTTCTTCTGAGATGGGGTACTGGATTCGACCTTGGTTGGGACGGCGGTAGAAGCTTCCTCAATGGGTCCAGAAGTTGCCGGGGCAGCTTCATCGATTGGTTGCTCTTCAGATTCTTCGATGCTGGGCTTCGTTGTGACCTCCACTTCTTGTTCATCCAGGGCTGGTTCCTTTTCAGATGGTTCGGGAATCTCAGCAGCTGGAGCGCTGGTTGGCTTGGTCTCTTCTCCCTCCTCCTGGACAGGCGAGGCAGAGGTAGCTTGCTCCTCCTTTTCAATATCTTCACCAGCAACTGGGGCCGATGTGGAGGAAGGCACTGTCTCCTCTGGAAGCTCAGGCACTTGGGTAGCAGACTCTGGTTTCTCTTCTGCCTCCTTCTCGTCCTCGGGCTTCTTGTCTTCAGTCTCTGGTACCTTGTCAGTGGAAGATGGTTCAACTTCCGAAGATGTCTTAGTTTCATCATCTTCGGCCGCTGGTGGAGAGGCAGTAGTGACTTCTGGGCTCTCGTCTTCCTCGCTGGAAACTGAGGGAATCTTGTCTTCGGTCGGAGCAGAGGCATCTTCATCGGCGGACACAGGGGCAACGGTTGTAGGCTTTTCGGGAATTTCAGTTGGCAGTTCTGTGGAGATTTCGGGAATCTTCTCAACTGGAGCTTGGGCCGTGGACGAGGGCAGCTTGTCTTCGGGCTGCTCATCAACAGTTCCTTCAGTCGATGGCTCAATTTCTTCAGAAGATTCAGTAGATCCCTCCTCGGAAGCTTCAGTAGAGGCAGACTGAGTTTCAAGCTTATCTTCTGGGGTGGCAATCTTGGTAGGACCCTCAGTAGATATCTCTGTGGGCTTCTCCTTTTCTTCCTCAGATGGCTGCTCTTCAGTTGGTTTCTCTTCCTCAGATGGCTCTTCTCCTGTTGGTTTCTCCTCTTTAGTTGGTTTCTCCTCCTCTGGTTTCTCTTCCTCAGTTGGCTTCTCATCCTTCTCAGCGATGGAGCGACTGTGGTGGCTTCTTCGTCGATTTCAGCGGATGGGATTGAGGTGACAGCAGGTTCTTCTGACTTGGAGCAGCAGTAGTTTCGTCCTCCTCTTAACTCCAGTCTCAGTCGATGGTTGCGGAATCTCAGCAAGGACCTCTTCAGGCAGTCTCTGTATAGCAGGCACTTCATCAGCGGTCGTTGGAGCTCTGGTGGCACCGACAGATTCCTCTTCCTCCTCTGGAGTCTTGGCAGGTGCTTCAGGTTTCTCTTCTGGAACCTGAGATGGAGTGGATGTTTCCTTATCCTCTTCTTCGGAAGACTCTGGAATTCCTGTGACGGTTTCGCTGCTAGTTTCCTCCTCTACAACTTCATCAGGCTTGGCAGAAGGAGCTGAAGTGGCAGTGGGTTCCTCATCGGGAGTGATACTGCTCGTTGGAAGCTTCTCATCAGCAGGAGCAACGGTTGCGGGCACTTCAGACTCAGGGGTTTCCTTGCTCTCATCAGAGGCAGGAGATTCAGTGGATGGTTCGACAGACTCTTCCTTAGTAGGAGCAGCAGTAGTTGCACGATCAGATTCAGGCTCGATCTCATTTTCAGTGGAGGAAGCTGTAGAGGTCTCATCCTCAATGGGCTTCTCGCCTTCTTCGACTGGTTCTGTCCTTCTTGGACTGGTTTTTCTTCATCCTCAACTGGTTTTTGTTCCTCTTCTCCCTTTGTTGGAGCTGGGGTAGTAATGGCGGCAGGCAGTTCCTCTTCAAAGATATCCTGGGGTAGCTTGGGCAATTACCCTCCTCCTCATCGCCAATAGCTGGGGCAACTGTAGTGGCCTTTTCTTCGGCCTCGACAGTCTTCTCAGTGCTCGGGGTCTTGTCCTCGCCAGCAGGTACAGGAGCAGGAGTAGCATCACCTTCGATTTCATTGTCGGACTCGGATGTTTCATCAGAGGTATCCTTTTCGACCTCAGCGCTTGGTTCAGTGCTGATCTCAGCTTCAGTGGAGCTTTCATCGACTGGTTTCTTCTCTGGCTGTGCTGGAGCAAGTGTAGGTAGTGGTGGTCCATGGATGTCTGGCTTCTTGGTGCTAACTTCAATATCGCTTTCAATGGGCACAGAGGTTGCAGGAACGATATCTTCATCACCAGTTTCGTCAGCAGCAGCAGTCTTCGATGGAGAAACGGTAGTGAACTTGTCAGATTCTTCAATCTCATCTCCAGCTGGAGCACTGGTTGAAACTTCGGGAATCTTATCGGACTCAGGTGCCTCGGTGGATGCAGATGGTTCCTCGGCCTCTGGCTTCTTGTCGAGATCAGCAGTTGGCAGTTCAGTCGAGGCCTCTGGAGTCTCCTTCTCGGGCTGAGCAGTGCTGGCAGGGATTTCGACATCGGGGATTGGCTCTCCCCAGTGGGTTTCTTTTCATCGACTGGCTTGGGCTCTTCTTCAGTTGAAATGGGAGCAGATGTAGTGGCCAATTTATCCTCAGCCTCCTTCTCGGCATCGTCGGCAAACTGGGCGGGAGTGGAAGCCTCTGGCTGCTCAGTGGCTGCCACGAATTCTCCCTCCGTCTTCTTCTCATCCTCGGGCTTGGGTTCCTTTTCAAGGGGTTTCTGGGTCTCCTCTTCGATCTCACTTGCAGGAGTAACAGCAGGCGAAGGCTTGTCCTTCTCTTCTGAGTCTTCAACTGGTTTCTTATCCTCCTCGGAATCTTCAATTGGTTTCTTGTCCTCCTCGGATTCTTCAATGGTTTCTTATCCTCCTCGGATTCTTCAACGGGTTTCTTATCCTCCTCGGATTCTTCAATTGGTTTCTTATCCTCCTCGGATTCATCAATTGGTTTCTTATCAGCCTTAGCAGCTGTTGTAGATTCATCAACATGGGTGGGAACAGATGTCACTGGGACGATCTCTTCTTCGGCTTAACATGAGAAAGAGGCTGGTCAGTAATGCCAGTTGGCATGCCGACATCCTGGGGAATTTGTTCGGTGCTGATCTCCGAGACATCCTCGTCGATCTTGTCCTCAGGCTTGGCAGTGGAGTCCTGTTCCTTCTCAGCACTTTCAGTGCTCTCATCGCAGACGTAAGTGGGACAGCAACCATCCACCAGATCGGAAGCCACGGTACAATTATCCAGGTTCTCGGGCAACTTGCACTCCACCTGTTGGCAGGCCACCAGGCTGCTGATACATCTGCAGGATACGTCGCAGGGAGCTGTGGCGGGCACGATGGTGTTGTTGGCATAGGTCTTGCCCTCCACCAGGCAGTCGCCTTCGCCAGGAATAACAGCGGGCAGATCCATTGCGGGCAGGAGTCGGAGACAGGGCTCTGATCCTCGCCACTTGGTGGCTGGGTGGGTTTCTCTGTCTCGAAGTCGTTGCGATTGTCAACCTTAGCAGTGCTGGATGGGACTTCCTGGGGCACTGGAGTGGTCTCCTTAGATGGTTCCTCTTGGACAGATGGCTCTGTCGGAGCTCCCGATTCTTCCGCAGAGTCTATGTCTCAGCAGGCGGCAGATAAACAGCGGTTGGCTTATCTGTAGCGGCTTCATCGCTGGTCTCGGGTTGACTAGTAGAGGCTTCGGCATCGCCAACAGAAGGCACAATATCAGATTTGGCTGGCAGATCAGTGCTTGTCTGTACATCTTCCTCGTCCTTGTGATCCTTGTCTGCGGTTCCTCTTTTTCGACGGGGCTAGCAGTTGAGGACTCGACTTCCTCGGACTCAGTTGAGGACTCCTCTTTACCTGCTCAGTAGTTGTGGTCTTTGCAGTTGTGCTGTGGACAGCATCTTCGACTGGCAAGTCGGTGGCATCCTGTTCGACTTCTTCGGGTTCCTTGTCCTCGGGAGTTTCCTCGGTGGCGCCGGTTTCCTCATGGTCTCCAGCTCGGGCAGGAGCAGTGCTAGTAGTTTCAACTGAAGCAACCTCGACACCTTCGGTCGAGGAAGCAATTCCTGGAGCACTGGTCGAGCTTGGGAGCTCACCCTTTTCAACTGGCAACTCGGTGGACACTTCGGCGGTTTCGGGCTGCTCTCCCAAAGTCTTTGGTGTGGTGGCCTTGACAAACTCTTCTTCGGCACTGACATCTTCAGTTGGAATGGGAGTTCCAGCAATGGGCTCTTCCTCAGTCTCAGGAATTGGCGTTGTGGGCTTGGCCAAGTCCTCCACTTCTTCTGCTGGAGCTTCAGTGGCAGTCTCTGGTTCTTTCTCGTCTTCGGTTTCGACTTTAGGAGCTGGAGTGGTGGCCTTAATGACTTCTTCGTCGCCTTCGGTGCTGGACTCTTCGGCAGGTGTGGTTCCCTTGACGATCTCCTCTTCACCTTCGCTGCTGGGCTCTCCGGCAGGTGTGGTTCCCTTGACGATCTCTTCTTCGCTGCTTGGTTCTCCGGCAGGTGTGGTTTCCTTAACGATCTCCTCTTCGGGCTCACTGCTAACTTCACCGGCAGGAGTGGTTGCCTTAACGACCTCTTCTTCACCTTCGCTGCTGGGCTCTCCGGCAGGTGTGGTTCCCTTGACGATCTCTTCTTCGCTGCTGGGTTCTCCGGCAGGAGTGGTTTCCTTGACAATCTCTTCTCCTTCGCTGCTGGATTCTCCGGCAGGGTGGTTTCCTTGACAATCTCTTCTCCTTCGCTGCTGGATTCTCCGGCAGGGGTGGTTGCCTTAACAATCTCTTCTCCTTCGGTGCTAGATTCTTCGGCAGGCAGAACAATTTCATCTTCGATGCTAGGAGGTACGGTTCCAGGGATGATCTCCTCCTCACCTGCAATGCTGGCTTCTCCAGCAGGTGTGGTTCCCTTAACGACCTCTTCTTCTCCTTCGCTGCTGGCTTCCTCTGAGGATTCGGTGGGCTTGGCTGGTTCAATATCTTCAATTGCTGATGGAGCTGGAGTGGGCTTGCCTTCTTCCTGTTCCTCACTTTCTTCGGGAGCTGGAGTGGCTTCCTCTTCCGCTTCACCCGCAGCCGGAGCAGAAGTGGGTTTGACTTCCTGGTCTTCATCACCACTGCCTTCAGTAGGCTTGGATTCCGGTTCCTTTTCATCGTCACTTGCCACTGGAGCGGAAGTGGGCTTGGCTTCCTCTGGAGCTGCTGTGACCTTGACTTCCTTCTCCTCCTCACCGCTTCCTTCCTCCTCAGGCGTGGGCTTACCCTCAACCTCTTCTTCGCTAGTTGTGCCGGCGGTCGTGGGCTTAACATCCTCTTCCTCCGTTGGTGTCGCTGTGGTGGCCTTGACCACTTCCTCTTCAGGGATGGCCTTGGGAGGAGCAGAAGTGCTGACCTTGATGAGCTCATCTTCGATGATTTCCTTCTCGGGAACCTGGGCAGGCTTGGACACATCCTCTTCGCCGCTACCCTCGGGCTCTGGAGTGGTGACGATCTTGACGATCTCTTCCTCGGCGGCTTCGGTGGACGACTCCTTGATTTCCTCAGTGGACGAGGGCACATCGATCCTGGAATCGGAGGGAATGCCAGCGGTGGAGGACTCGGGCTCGAAGGAGAAGTCCTTCTCGTCGGTGACCTGGACTGGAGCGACCGTGGTGACCTTTTCTTTCTCTTCCTCCTCTTCGTCCTCAACCTCTCCGCTGCCCAGCTCCGCGGCAGGACTTTCGGTGGCGCTCTCCTTCTCCTTCTCCTGGTCCTTCTCCTCGTCATCGATGTGCTCTTGCAGGTCCACATCCTCCTTGGGGATCTCGGCGTGAATACCCTTGGCTGGCACCGAAGTAACACTCTCAGGCGTGGTGATCTCAACGATTTCAGTGGTGGCACTATCGTCCTCGCAGACGTAGTTGCTCGGACAGCACTCGCCATCGGCGGCTGGCATTGCTCGGCAGGACTTGCCATTGGCTGCCATCATGGGCACCTCGCACTCCTGGACGGCGCACACGATATCTCCGCGCATGCAGTAGCAGTGCTCGCAGGCATTCTTGCCCTTCAGGGAGGCTCCGTCGGCGAAGACCTCACCATCGTGGATGCAGTCCATGGTCGTTGGTGGCGTCATGGTGCTGGCCAGGATGAAGCCAGTGGTGGGACGCACTGTGGTGGTTGTCGTGGTGGTCGACTGGTCCACAAAGTCCAACTCGTTCTCATGGTCTGAAAAGGGGAATTAAATATATGAGTTACGCGAATTCTTCAGACATCTCTTGCCATATAACTTACCGCAACTATAACGCACTGGGCAACAGGATCCCTTGTTGTAGATGGGCAGGCAGCCGTCCACATGGAGGTGCACTCCTGCATGACGCACTTGGTCTGGTTGTTGATGCAGTAGCAGAGCTCGCAGGGTTTGTTGGGGTTCGATGGCACTTGGGCGCCCTCGGGGTAGAACTTCTCCTCGATGCTGCAGCCGAACTTCTCGGGGATGCTCAATTCGGTACCGGGTTCCGGGGAGTGATAGGCACATCCACGGGAACTGCATTTAGAAAGAATAATCAATAAACACGGTGACTTAAGGGAACTTCGCAAAGACCCACCTTCTGGGCAGGTGATGATGGGACAGCACTGGTCCTCCCGCTTCTCCACGATGCAGTCGTGGCCAATGGGCTTGGTGAAGGGGCAGACGCGCAGATAGCACATCAGCATGCGGTTGTGGCAGGTGCAGTTCAGACACGGCTCATTGGTCATGATGCGGTCGCCCTCCTGGTAATGCGCATAGTTGTAGTAGCACCCCTCTGCAAAGAACGAAAAGATATAATTCGAGAGTGAGCTCTAGAAATCTGGGCCGCAGCCAGTCTGGGAACCCGGTCCTCAAACAATGCTTTCAAACTTTTCCAAACTGGCTAATAAATTCCAGGCATAAGTTATGCAAGCGGGTCATCTATATTAAACTCCCATGTGATTTTCCTCGCGATGTGTGCTACTGTGTCGTTTGGGCCATAAATCGGGGGCTTAGCGCCAACAGGCAGTCGACTGTCATAATATACATACGTGTAGCTATAGACAAATTTTATTGCTCATCAGTGTCGTTAAACAAAAGTCAAATGTCGTTGAGTCTTAAAATATGCGCACGTCTTACGTCTGTTTTTGTCCAGTGCTTCTGACTGGCTGCCTAATTTAGTGACGTCCACCCGCAATAAATTTCACATCACATCATTAACACGTTAAGAGCGCCACTTTACCCGGCTACTGTGAGCCGGCTAGATCATTTTTTGATTGAAATCTTTGGGTTTGGAGTTGGGTCTTTGGGCTTGGGTCTCTCTGCTCACGTTTCCTGTATAACTCGTAAAAAACAACGCTTATTTCTTTATGTTTCCATGTGTTTCTCTTCACACCTTGGTTAATGGGGCTTTATGTCGGCGATTCGGTCGATAATTGGGCTCCGATTAGCGGCTTATGACAAGTGGACAGACTGTTGTGTATAATTAACCATTTAGGCTCCGGATCAATCATATCGATTACAATATTGATTAAATATAAGAAGAGCAAGATAGCACTCAAGGTAAATATGAAAATGTTGCCAGGTATCATGAATCGTTCACTTCCGCATTGTTAAGTGAAAATGTAATCACCATAAAAACAGATCTGAATGCACTTTTATTAGGCTCCTGTTCTTTCATGGTTATGGCTGCCAGTTAATCAGCTTCCACGCTTAAAGACTGTGTTTTTTTTCAGACTTACCCGAATACTGTTGGATCTCCGTATATTCCTGAACCGGGGCTGCAATGAGAAAAGGTAGAAGGAATCTTTATTATTTAATGAAATGCCATACTTGCAGTTCCCTCCATTACGGCGGGAATTTTACGATGGCCATATCCGTTAGCCATCGCCATCGTCATGACCATAATAAATTAATTTATCCATTGCCGCGAATGCCGAACTCTAATTGTGCCAGCATGCAATTGAAATTGGCCGGGGAGCTTGCGTAGGCCAAGTTCCTCTCCAAAGTCTTGATAGCCTTGTCCGGCGTGATAACAGGGTCTCGAAAAGCCAAGAGCCGTGAGCCATAAGCCAAGAGCAACACAAAATTGCAGCAGCAGCAGCAGCAACATCTTGGCCTTTGTATGCGTGCAACGTGTTATTACCACATAATCAAAATGCAGCCTAGCTTGGTTGCAACATCCAAGATCCAAGCATTGGAACCAGGAAAAATGGCACGTAGTGGCCATTCTGGCCAAGAATCTTGGCTGCGTGTGTCCCACACAGCAAACTGCACATTGGCCCCCTAGGAGAAATGGCTCAAACAAATTGTCTAAGCTGACAGTTGGCCAGGAAGGCCAGATGTTGCTGCTGTGCTGTTGCTGTTGCTGCTGCCACTTGTTGCTGCAGAAATGATTTGACAAATTGCTGTTTTATGAATTGCTGCTGCTGCTGCCGGCCTCAACTTTGATTAATTGCGTCTAGTTGAAGGGTTGACAATTTCTCGAATATTTCACATTTTAATTTCCGCATACTCAGGGTGGCCAGCGCAACCAATGACTAGGCTCTTTGCCGAAGTTTGGCAGCGAGATCCACATTTAAATCGGAGGCAAAAGGCAAAGGCAAAGGCAAGAACCTGGCCCATACAATTTGGCAACAAATTGCTGGCGAAACAACAATGAAAATCCTAACGGCAAGTGCTCATAAGCATGAATTTGGCCGCGACTGAGGCTAGAATCCAGACCCCGAACGGCAGCCACAAATCAGAGTAGCAATTTCGAACTGGGAAAGCCGGGGGTCTAGAGAGCTGGAGAAGATGGAGCCTCCATCTCACTCGAAGCTAACGGATGTAAATTACATTTTATGCGGTAAGAACAACAACACGACCGAGCGAGCCTGGCAACGCATAAAAATTCACACATTAACTGTTAAGGATTGCCGGCGAGGGATCGGATTGGGAATGGGATTGGGACTGGGGAGCTGGAGAGCTGGGAGCTGGAGACGGAGTCTCTCCACTTGACCGAACTTGAGCAACTTGGCAGTGAGAAGAATTTGGCTGCGGACTTGGCATTGGGAGTCAATCATGTGGCCAGCAAAGCAACCCAACCAAACCAAGACAATCCCCAGTTGCCAGGGAGACCGCCTTGTAATGCAAACTTATGCAACAATTTTGCACTGCGCAAGTGCAACAACTAAAACAAGCCACATATACATCATCATTACGATGGGGACGCCTGAGTTGCGCGTGCTACCACTGCCGGCGAAGATGATGATGATAATGATGACTGTGGTACACATCAAACATGCTCGTGTCGGTCCAACAAACAGAAGTCAGTCAGTCAGTTAGTCAGTTAGTCAGCCAAGTTGCTGCTGCTGCTGCTGCTTGTGCTGCATGTTGCTGGTGTTGATGTGGATGCAGCAACATGACACTGACCAAAAAAATACCTATCTAATAAGGAACAAATGATGTTTCTGTCAAGGGCAATAGAAATACTCTTCTTGTACAAGTTTCTAAACAATTCCTCAAGAATTCACGGTCTTCGTTTAAGATTTGATTTCTCTGCTGAATTCCTCAAAAATTCGCGGTCTTAGCTTAGGCAATGCTTTCTCTCAATTCTTTCCCTCAATTTGTTCTTAAACTGTATAGTTTATACTTTTTTTCCAGTGGAACAGCAGCAACTTGGCTTCTTCGTGTGCTCAAGCAGCCAAGAGCAGCGGGCCAGGAAAAAGCCAAAGTTGTTGGCGGCTCTCGGCCGAGTCGTGCATTTTGTTTATTCTAGGAAAGCGCGCGCGCACCGCCTCCGCTCCTCCTGCCCTGCTCCATCCGTCCCACCTGCTCCCCTTGATGCCCCCGATTCCCCACCCACCTGACCATGGCCATGGTCTTCTGCACCACAACAAGTTGAATGACCCGGCGCGCATGTGTGCAAAAATGTGTACACAAACCATAAAATACAAGCCACAAGCACGGGCAGCCTTACTTACATAAGTAGGCCTAGGTGCTCCGGCTCTGGGACTCTGGGATTGGGATTCTCTGGCCAAAGTCACTAAGTCCCATGGCCTAAACTCAAAGCCCAAACCAAAAACCCATAGCCAAACTGAGACCCCAAGTCAGGCACGCCTTTTGCTGGTTACGCTTTATTATTTAGTGCTGTAGGTGGACTGGACTGCCTAAGGCAGATGCGAAAAAAGTGGAAGTTCTCCCAAATATTTCCCGTTGATAGCCATACTTTCCCCATGCCCATTCCCTATACTAACACTCCACCAACTTCTGGCTATGCGGAAATGCAGGCGAGTGAAAATATTTGCCATGCCACAAATATTTCAAAGATTACAAAATAAACACAAATCTTCGCCGGCTTGTTGTCCCCAAATGCGTTGTCGTTAGCTCTTTTCTATTTTTTTTTGTATTTTTTTTTACCGCTATTCTGCAGCTGCAACATCAGCAACAACTTGACCACACCCACTTCTGGAAATAGGAGGACCCAGTCTCCTATCCATTTCTCACCCTGCTCTCCTGCGTTTATCTGGCTTCTAATTAGATGCAGCCAAAAGTAAGAAAAAACAATGCCCCTTTGGCAGAGGAGCAATAAATCGATCTGTAATTGCCAGACTCCTCTAGCCAGCAAATTTCCATTGCAGAAACAATTTCCATTTTCCCTGGCCTTGATCACATAATTTCCATAATGCCGAGCAGATCAATATGGAGTGAGCGACAAGCTAACAACAGAGGTTCTCCAGACCCAGAACCCAGTACCCAGAGCCCAGACTCTCCAGGCCCCGTATCATGTCCATGCATCAATGCTGAAAGCAGCCGGCAGCAACTTGCAACAGGCAGCAGCAGCAACTAGCAACATCAGCAACTAGCAACATCAGCAGGCGCCCTAACAATGCAACTGAAAAGCAACTGAAAAGCGGCGGCGGAGGCCTTACTGGCAAATGAATTTGCGAGTAATTTAACATGATTATGTCGGCGACAAGGTAGCAATGTAGACATCGAAGCAGCAGCTTCTTTGCTCCTCGATTGCGGCCAAATTGGACGCAGTTGCGCAAGGCTGAAACCAAGAAGTTGGAGTCTGCGGATAGGGCGCTACCTTGGCGTGACGCTGTGTTTTATTACCAAACTGGCTGCCCAGAGACCATGATTCCTTCTAAGTAAATTATGCCCGATGGTCATGATGCAGCCGGGAATGGAGATGGGGATTGAGGTTCGAGGATTGGGGGATTGGGGATTGAGGATGCCATGAAATTGCACCAGTACCAGTCGAAGGCTGTTCTTGCTGCCGGCGTGCATATGAAACAATTACCAAGGCTAAGGCTAGGGCAATATCGCCGAGGTCTAGGCCTATTCCGCCCGTCTATATGTGGACATTGTAATTGCAGGCGGACTCATGGTTAAGCTCCACCTCGAGCCCATCTCATATGCATATTTATGGCCGGTTGGTGGCTTGTCTGGGCTGCTCGATGTCATTAGAGAGTCAAAGCTTCGTATGTTTGTCAGATTGTCAGTTTGTCAGTTGGCCAGGTCGGTGGAACAACTAGTATTCCTGACTGCTTAATAGATAATAATGAGTCTGGCCTTGGGCGCTGTAATTAAGCAGTTAAGGGAGGAGTCGAATGAGCCAACATTCTTTCCCACAGTTCCTTTGGGTTACCTAAAAACGCCCTAGAGTGCCCGAGTGTCCTGTCTTTGATTTGTTTTGATGGCTTTTGCATGGCTTTAATGAAGGCTACTCCTCATCAACTCCTCCTCCTTCCAGCAATCAATCTGTCCGGCTGTCAGTACTCTTATCCCCATCCCCCAGCCCCAGCTAATCACAGAGCTAGAACTTGTCTAGTACTCAAAAGATCTGATCATCTGGTATCTGGTATCTAGTATCTGGTGCTAGCAAATATATCATAATTTTGTTTGCGCAATTTTAGACAAATTCTTATGGCCCCAATTTGTAAATGGGTGGAGTCGTTTTCGCAACGCTACCCGTTCAATTATTACACCGCTAGCTGTTATTGATAACAGCCCATTGATTACAGCAATTGCCGAAATAATAGTCCCGACCAACGGGAGATTCCGATGGAGATTCAGATACGGATGCTGGGGATGGGGAAGGAGATGGACCTGGAGCTGCTCCACCGACAGGTGATGGACGCCTAGAAGTCTCCATGATGGACTACATGGACTTGGCAATCAGCGAACAACAAGTTTTCCGCTCTGCGCATGCGTAACTGTTTATTAATTTGCACTGGAAAAACTCTCACGATTTGGTATCCTTCCTGGCTAAAGAAAACCGCGATTCAATTAAGTGCCACTCTAAGAGCTAATTGCTCGCTGATTTTGTTTCCCGGTTCTATCTGTGTATCTAGCAGGTAGTATCTAGTATATGGTATCTCCTCCCACGCTGGCACGGCATTTAGCTAATGATCGGACACCGAAGATAGCAGATAGTGCAGGTTCTAGGGTTCCAAGTTCTGGGCCCCAAGTTCTGGTTGCAGAAAGCTGCGTGTTCTGTCCCACAGCCAGCCCAAAAGCCATAAAACTCAATGGCCCAGCTAGCTCGCACGGGCACTCCATACATCATGTGCAGAAGATCAGCAAAGCGATAATTATACAAAGTATTAGTTCAAGCGAGAGCGTCTGACTTGGCATGACCCGTCTCGAAGTTGGAGACGGGATCGGATGGGATGGTATGGTATGGTATGGGATCGGATCGGAGATGGAGCTTTGGAGCTGGAAGAGCTGGTCTGTCTGTGGTTGCCATGCGATGCGTAAAGGTGCCAGCCAGCTCGGAGAGTTGATTGAACTT